AATTTGCAGCGGCACAAAACTCAGATTGGCAGATCCACGAGGTGATATCGCCGGATTCGAATTTTCTCGGGGATCGCTGATGCGGTCTCCATGTCTATTCTGTGCTCTTGCCCCTGCCTCTGTCAGGGCTCTGTCACCAATTGTAGCGTTTAAAAATCGAAGGCGAGGATCAGAAAAACGACAAACGTTAACTTTGAAGCTCGGTGATCAACTAGATCAAATTTATTATTCGTGACAATTTTACATCAGTTTCAAATGTAGGCGGATCATATAATATGTCTATTAAAATATAGAGCAATGTCAAAAGTTTGCACGTAACACTAGATACAGTCGAACATATTATTTGTACATTTTGTTGAGGGTATGTCGTGGTAGGTATTTGGAAATAAACCTAAAAATTCCTATTCCATGCCTGGCTTTTGAGATGGCAGTTGTGATGTGACTAGAAAAGGACAATTTGGAGTCCAATATGATCCAACTGTGTTTTTGCCCACTGCACGTTTTTCACGTGGATGTTATTGAAGAATTACTGAACTGAGACTACATTAGCTATTTTCCACATTTCAGAGAAGACACCTTGACTTAAACTATTTCCATAGACAAATCTAGGGGGCAGTAATAAAGACTCATGGCAAAACTTAATCATTCGAATTGAAATATAATCCCATCCGTGCAGTGGCGTTCCGGCCAAAAATCTGACTATCGACGAAATGAGATAGAGGCTCGAACACACCCTTTAGACCACACCCATTTCCTGGTCACACCCAGTTTTCTAAAATGATTATTGCTTTCTACAATTTCTTATGTAGACCATTTTCAAGAGACAAGCGGTGCTTTACTGAAATTTCATGTATCCTTACAGCAAGCTTGAGAAGAAATAAATATTCTTATTCAATTTTCAGAGGATAGATATTCTGAAAAAAAAATTACGGCATTTAGCCGAGGAGCACCATAGAATTAGAAACAAAGATACATTTGGCAGAATTTTGAAATGTCGCCTAAAATTCGCATTAAATCGCACAATTACTTATGAAAATCAGACCTGTTGGAAATTATAAGTTTAAAAGCCAGATAAAATCTGCAATTATTGAGAGCAACTTTTGTTTAAACAAAGAATCATACTTTTGGCGCACTTTGTAGGCCTGACTTTTAATCCTGATGCCTTCTTAAATTTTAGAATATTCGAGTCTAAATATTCTTATTAAATATATTCCTAACAATATTTGTGTATTGTACAAAATACACATCGTCTTTGTTTTGACGTTACAGTTTGCCCACTTGCAGAATATGTAGGCATCCCCCTATCTTTCTGTAACGTTTGAGCCGTGTTGAGCGGCAGTACTACCCATCTGAGCGGTAGTCAACTCGGTTGTTCATTGGCTGTCAACAAAATCTTTAAGCATCCCCCCAGGTTGGCTGTGATTTCTGATAATTTGATTGGTTTAGGCAGGCTGACTACCGCTAGGTGCAGCTCGAATCCGCTCCACACCGACTCAACCCCCCTAGCTAGCAAGCCATGATTTCATCATCCCCCCATGCAAGCCATTTAATTGCAAGCATGTGACTCGGCCAATTGGCACGCAACTTCCATAGCGATAAGGATTAAAAAGTATTTCTGTCTCTGTTGAAATTTCAGGCATGTTTCTAGGAAGGAATGCTTGGTTTGCAGCGCGATCAAATATTTTCAATTTTTAACTATGGTTTAATTAAAGTAGTAGGATAAACATGAAAATGATCCTTGTTTCTATAATTTTTTGAATAATCTGACTACCGCTCGAGCGGTAATGGCGGTAGTCTGGATCTCCCCCTGCCGTGTGCTTCATTTGCATTCAATGACCAGATGATTTTCAGAATTTCCTCGTCAGAAATAGTTAATTCAGTCAGAAGTGGAGCAATTGGGAGTATATTTTGAGAGATTGCTCTGTCATATCAATAGTTGTGCATTGCTGCATAAAGTATTCATTGAAGATTTCAGAGTTTGCTGCGAATTCTCATATGAATAAAACATTTTCTAATCGGGGAGGGATTAATGGTGCTTTAGCTTTGATCTAGATTTTACTGATCATTGATCAACAGTTTTGAATCAGGTCTCTGGATTTGAGTGAGTTGTTCCTGTTCCCTTAAAGTATTTGTCATTGGTACCTTTAATTAGTTTGGATCCTTGAGATGTCATAGCGCTCATGACCTCTAGTTGGTTATTTGAACAACCACTCCTAATAAAACTCTTAATAAAAATATTTCGAAATAAGATAGTCAGAGTTGGCAGCTTCTTTAATTGATGCCATCCTTTCATCATGGAGAGCATTAATTTCATATTTTGAAAGATCCGAAGAGGAACAAGCAATAGGATTTGGAAAACTCCTATAAAACAAAGACAACTTGATCCTCATGTGCTTTTTTGGTGATGTGTTATTTCTGCTGAAAATATTCCAGAAAAAGCTACAAGCTGATGTTATTACTATAGTAGATGTAGTTCCAGAGACTACAAAGTTCGTAAAAAGCTCGGGAAAGCTACATGAAGGCCCAATTTTGGGCAGTTGGGAAGAGGCCTTCAGGAATGCTTTTGATGAAGAGAAGGGTACATTCTTCTATAAAGTGCTCTTGCACAAAGAAAGTCGCTAAAGAAGGATTAATTAGTTTGCTTCTGAAATAAGAAATGTCAATGCCATAAGGTTGGAAAATTTGCTTGCATTGGAAAATTTCATGAGAAACAGATTGGCACTGGATGATAATGCCAAGGCCAGTTTTTCCAATTTCGTGAAATTCATTTCAGATAAAGATGGCATTTGTGAGGTCCATGATGCAGTTGCACCCGATATTGACCTTTGTGTCTTGGCTGACCAATACGAAAATGTAAAACAGAGCAGCATGGATAGAAGAAATCCGAAAGCAGTCTTGCGAGCTTTGTGCACCTTAACTCACGATTATGATGCCCTGAAAATTGGTTTTGGCCAGGATTCTTGTTTGCAAGCCCAATTCATATTCACAAAACTAAATTAAAAAATTAAACACATATGATCTATCCCATTGAGGTCTATCTTGTTCTTGGTTAATATGTACGGTCTTTGTTTTTTGAAATAATTTTTAGCTCTTTGTTTTTTATGTGGGACCCTCTTTCAATTGTTAGTATTGTTAGTTTTTAGTTCTTAGTGTTGTAGTGACTCTTAGTTGTAGAGTTGAATTGAATTGTATTGAGGATTGAAAGATAAAGAATGAAACTTGAACTTGAAACTTGTTGCTTCTAATTTCGTTCGCTAAAACCGGCTGGTGACCCCTTTTGCTTACAAGTAGATTATGATGCACTATTACAGAAGCCTGTTGAGCACGTCTAAGGACTGGAGATGTTGCCAACATTTTTGGTGACAAAGCTGGCTTTGAGCCTGTCAGAGAGAAAGCTGTTAATCTAAGAATCTAGAAGTTATTGCAGACCATACAGAAGGAGTTACAGAGGGAGACATTTCTGCTAGACGCATGCAAAGGCCTTTATAAATGTCGATGTAGATCATAAAGCTCTTGCTTAAGGATCCCAGACTAGGTTTACTTGGCATGAAATCAGATAAAATCATGTACCATAGTGTCCAGGGGCGCAAAGGGTTTGGGGCTGTGACATCCCCTAAATGTTTCCATCCAGTCAGTTCCAAAGTTCCATGATAACTGTGAAAAGAAAGTCCTTTTCTACATCTCCGTGACTGGTTGAGAACATTATGGCAAGAGAGATTATTGGCCCATTGACTACCCAGAGTAAATAATAAAAGGTCCATTGTAGGTCCTTTCTACGGCTCTGGGAATGGAATGCTATAGGCAAGAGAGAATGTTGGTCCACTGATGAGCACGAAAATATCCTAGCCAATATGTGGAGCTTTGTTGTTATCCGTTCTACAAATTTGCGTAAGACAAAGATGTATGTTACGAGTCTCGAACAGATATGCCTTTAGCGTTTTGCTCGAAAGAAGCACGTAACCAAAATCTAATAAAGCCAGAAAATGTTTTTTTCGACGTATTTTTGAATTCAGTATGACACGAATAAAAAGAGACTACAAGTGGTTAAAATTGTGTGTCAGTTGATACGAAATGAAATAAATTTGTTGTTAAACTATAAGGAAACATTAAAAAAAACTAAGTTAAACGCAACTGTTGAGAGAATTAAGCTCTTTTAGGTTAACTCGACGAAGCCTCGTCAAAAAGAAACATGTAATCAACGTAAAGTAGTATTTATAGTCGTCTATCTAATTTATCTTTTTTTAAGAACACCATAGCGGTTGGGTTCATCCATTTTTAGCTTCGCATGCACTTTTCTTCTTTTTTTATGCACCTACGTTCGTGAAATCACTTTAGATAACAGTAGGGCTAAAGTAGGGAGTTTCAATTAAACAGCGGAATTGTCGGGTTATTAGCTTTTCAGGAGGCTAGCAGAGCGAAAGGGGATGCTTCAAAATTTAAAATTTTCTGGGGGAGCATGCCCCCTGACCATTATAGTAAAATGAATCCCCAGCTCAGTTCGTGTGCCTTCTTCAGTGTGGTATCCTCTAAACATAAGTCTTGTACTTTTACTCTTGTTAGGCGTATGATTTTAAATATCAACAAGTTTAGTACAAACAAAAAGCCAATATTTCATCTGGCGTCCTTAGGTTCTCCTCAAAGTACTTAATGCAAAAACAGTCCCCCGTTTTACCTAAATGCCAAGAAAATGAATCACCAATTTTATCACATTGCGAGGTCTCTTGTCATTTCCTCAAACGTAGTCTTTATACATTTTTATTTTGGATTCGAAGAGTCGGTCCATTTCGTGTGAGAGTCGGTCCAATTTGTCCTGACATGAAAGCCTCGGAGAGCTTGACGCTTCCTGTGATGATCATTAAATTTGAATTGGATAAGCCATGCATGAGAGAATGCTGTTCAAATATCTAGTCTCTCCTGTGGTAACAGTCTCATATTGCAGCCTCCAGGACAATTCAGTGTCATTACGTTTGAGTTGAATCAAAAGTACAGATTACTTCCCATGAAAAAGGATCTGGTAACGAAAAGGGAAGTGAGACTGTCATTTAAGTAAACAATGAACAATTGGAATCAGAAATAGTATCACTAGTAACACAAGAGTGCTATTCCTCTTTGAACATGCGCGTAAGCCAATTTCACATATGCTGACAGATAATCTAAATGGTTGAAGACAGTGCAAGAATTTTGCAGGTATTTTTCACTGGGACAGAGGTTGTGCCCAAGGGTCCAAGGAGGTGGGTTAAGGGGGTCGGGAGGGTCAGGGCACAGCCTCTTTCAATTGTTATATTATTGAATAATCTGACTGAGGGATGAATTTTGTAGACATATTTCAGTTCAAGTTGTGTTTCTGTACTTACTTGTAGTTTTACATCTTTTTTGAATGGGCCATATCTGAAATTTCTGGAGATATCATCAATCGTCCCTTAAAAGCTATCTATTGTAGGATATTTTCATGGTATACTTTCTGCGCCGTTTTGAAAAATATTTTATACTGCATCTATATTAGGCACGGACACAGCAAGGCAGAAGAAATTGTCCAATACAACAATGACATTCCATAAAATGGAGACATTCAGAGAAAGGTGCATGTTTCTGAATTTGTCTGCAACAGGCTTCAACTGTTGAACTTGCGAATCTGAAACAAAATAGCAGAGTTATTTCTCTAAAGCTCCTTTAAATCAAATCGGGTTAAGCATTAGTTCAATGGCAAAGCATTTTTCAACAGTGCAAAACACACTCATTAATAAATACTGCTGTATCATTTTTAAATTCTCATGTTTTTCTATCAAATTTGAAGTTTATGCACAATGATGAGCTCCCACAACTGCCAATTATGTAGCATCAATAAAAGTATAAAAGATTTCCCAACAAAGTTCTATCTTGACTACCTCTTATATTTCATTTAAGATAGTCCTGCTATCTTCTTCTTTCGATTGAAATCGTTGATAGCTCCCGCGACTCTTGACTTTATCATTGGTGGTAAATAACACCATCTGCTATATGTGTTAGAATAAAACTTGCACGACAGAAAAATTATCAAAAAGTCTTAAAATGCTTTGAAACCAATTAGGTGGGTCTGCATTATCAATACAATATCCTCAACTAGACGTAGTTCTAGATAACAAGAAGAAGAGTCTTTTTTGCTTTGCACAAAACCAAGTAGTGTCTTCACCTCTATGAAAATTGTGCAGTATAAACATCATAAAGATTTAGCGTGAGGGAAGTGCACGGAGAAAGGATCAACTATAGATTAGTTGCTGTATTCCTTCTTTGGTTTTTCTAAAGGTGAACAAAAATGCGAAAGTTGCTTGACCTCAAATGAAAGCTTGTCGAACATAAATATCAGTTTTTTAATATTCAACATAGTTTTTGAGTTATTGAGCGTCAAAGTTAGCCAGCCAAACCTTCTCGAGCATGTACGAGAAGGCCCAAGCCTTCTGCATGATAATGACGTCACAAACACCATGTTCAGATCACTTGAGCAGCATGACTGTCCGGAAGGCCGTACGTGTGCGTTATTGTTTTAGCGGAAGAGCATTGATGCATAAACTTATTAGGTTTTGGCTCTATTTCAATAACCTGATTGTAAAATAGATTATGGCTTCTTTGCAAACTTTTCAGTATAAACTTTGCAAGAAGATTGCATGATTCAATGCGTTTAAGCCCCCTTCTTTCATCTCACATGGCCCAGTTTGTTGTAGGCAAACATATCAAATAATGGAAGCTTTAATTATATTGGCGATTGGAAAAATAAATAGTAATGAATTGTAGTTTTCAGCTTTAAAAATCTTTGTAAGTGAAGTGATTCAACTACGAAACGATTCCTTCGTGTAATCTACTAGATTGTCCACATTGAATTTTTTTTTTCTGGAGACCTATCTCGTTAACTTCAATATATGCTGCAAAAATTTTGTAGCCTTCAATATAGACGCCATTATTGTCAACCGAAGAGCTTCTTTTCATGGTTAAATTCCTTCAGAAAATGTCCTTTGACAACATGCCACAATGTGAAATTCTAGTGTAAATGCTAGTTTTTTTTTCTGGATGCACATCTCCTTAAAATGTTATGTCCAGACTGAATGTCAAAAATGACTCATATCCATTATTAAAGCATTATATTAAGGAGATTTGTTAACAATTATTTCGCAAATGAAAAAGAAAAAAATGATCAGAAGTTTTCATTAGACAGGCTATTTAACATAACAATCCTCAAACATGCCTAACTGAATTTTTTTGAGTTGAATTATAAAAGTTATGTCCACTGATAATTTTAAGTCTTGGGCGCATTCTGGGAAGTGACCGGAGGTCACGTTGAACGGCCACCTTAAACCAGAAAAATGCATGAAAAAAATCAGACACTAATGTGATTTGACCTTTTTTAAGCAAAAATTCATTGCTATCGAAATTTTTCGTTTTGTCAAGCAATATCTTTTCCTGAAATTCAGTCCCTAGCAGTTGAATTCTGCATTTTATGCTGAACGCATGAAAGTACATATCTCGATAAGCTGAATAAGTTTGAATGCATATCAAGCGTTGAAAACTTCATCAAATAGGCCATCGCCTGTCATCTCCTATCTTACACATCCGCTACACAAATCGCGAGACTAAAAAGTTCCTTTTGGAAGGAGCGTGTTTATATCTTGTTATCACTTTTCTGCAAACCCCCCAGTAAAGCTTTGCACAACTAGGAGAAAACTGTCCTTGAAATCATGCGAGCTTTTGCATTTCCACGCAGCGGCCATTACTATAATCACTCTTGCGTGTCTGTATGGAGCAATAAGGTTGGATAGGGAACCTTTTGTTCTAGAGAACTCCTTAGCGTCCCCGTTGGAAACTGACTGTGAGAAACAAAGATGGCGAACAATGTCGTTCAGAATGCAAATCGAAGCAGGTAGAAAGACACGGAAACAAACGCGATTGGCCAATCACAATTTTGGCCAGGTTGAGCCATTGCAAAGCATTGCAGTCCAAACATCATAGTTCCTCACAATTTGCTAATTTTTTACAGAATGGAGAAAACAAACCATGCACATTAATTCAAAGAGTGATAAAAGAAGACAAAAGTTAGTTACAAGGAAAGACCGTCTTCTGTGGCGGAAGTTGAAGTTGTCATAGATGAAAGACTTAAAAGCAATCACGAGGAAGCAGATACAAAGCTGATTGCTTTAGTGAATGCAGCAAACCTAACGAATTGGGATTCTGTGGTGGTCAGATCACCTTCCAGGAATATCAATGTCCTAGTCCTTTTTGCTGCCCTTGATTTGCGGGAATCCAAGTTCCAAGTATTGATTGACAACAGAACAGGTCTAAATAGAAAAATTGTAAATGTAACGTCTTCAACACTGGAGGTCAAAAAGAGAAGAGCACTAATCGGTCTTCATGCCATTTCAGGAAATGACTATGTTTCTATTGTTTTAGAAAAGGGAAAAGAGCTTTTATGAGACAAATGGTAAAAAAGATAGTATACGTAATCATATTTGCAAACCTGGGAACCCCGCTTCAAGTACCCGAAAAAGTTGAAAAGGGATTGGAAAAGTTTGCATACGTTATCTATGAAAAAGGAAGGATGCATACGGTAAACGACGTGAGAAAGAAATTTTTTTGCATAAATTTGAAAATGGAAAGAAAATAACCGATATAAGCTTGCTGCCACCTTGTAAATCGAATTTAAAGCTCCGCATCAAGCGATCAAACTATGTGGCTTCCATTTTTGACAAGCATGTCGCTTCATGGTGGATATGGACAACCTAGGAAATCGTGGATGGGATGAAAGCGGATCAGTTGTTTGGAGTGATGTTTGCTATCCAGATGATGTCGCAGAGCTGCTGAATAACGAAATTGTGTCTACCGATGATAAAACAGGCAAAATGTAATTGACGGCAATGAAAGTGCAAACGATTTTGATGAAATTATCATTGATTTTTACGTTGCGTCATCATAACAAATTCATAAAAGATACTTTTTTATACATATATTGAAGGAAATTGATTTAATTAGACTGATGGATTAATCATAGAATAGTTGAATTTCGTAGCGTCTTATGAACAAGAGCGTTTTTTGATTTTGAGACTTTGTTATGAAGTGGAGCCAGAAAGACCCCCAAAAAGCCTTAGAATAAGTACACCGCATTTACCCTATTGCGCTAAATTTGGAAAAATGAGGAATCTTATCAAGCCAAATCTGTCTTTTGTGCTTGAAAACGATATTTAAACATGGATTTGAGGCCAAACGCCCCCTTCTACGTACTTAGAAAATTGAATTTTGGAATCAGCATCCTAAAATTATGTAGATTCAATGTATTCTAGATACTTCCCCGAAGGGTGGACCTTTAAAAAGAAAATGCCTATATTGTGATTGAAAACGAGACTTTGGCATGAAATAGAGGCTGAGAGCCTCCAACTTTCCCGTATAACATCGATTTTCGGAATCACCACCCCAAAGTTACCCGAGTGGGACCCTTCCCCCATTCTCCGCCTGGTCTACATATGCCCTTTGGCTTACTTTAAACACGTTTGGAAAGGTGTGAATTCTCGAATTAGCCCCCTAGTTCAAGTCACCTTCGATTTATCCCCTTCCCTAAAACAGATAATATTGATGACCCCAGCCTCACAGCAAGCATTACGGTCGCACGGTCATTGACCAGAGGAACATTTGAGAAACAATAGAAATATGGAGAAAGATTTTGGTAAAACAGAATTTAAGAAAAAATAGAGACAACTTATTTTGCGCTTGTTTCTTTGTTGCGCTTTTGAAACACACGTTGCATCTGTCGCAGAGCCGAATGGTGAATGGTGGCACGAGCAGAATCAAAATTTCTAGACCACGCCCTTTTACTGTCAGAAAACATATCTGAAAAGAGAATGCCGTTCGTGTTCCATGTCTTAAAATTTTTCAATGTATGATATATCATGTTTTCATCGATTTTATCATTCGAAATTAAAAAAAAATATCATTCTTGAGCTGTAATGTGATTGGTATTCTAGCAAAGTTTAAACGTATGCAATAATTACCATCAACCCGAACACATAATTTTGTCTCGATTTATAGCGTCTGTAACCCCTCCCTAGCCACGCCCTGTCCAAGGTGCTTGGTTGAAAAATTGGAGAAAGGTTTTGACGAGGAAAAATTCGACTGGAGGGAGGTTGAGGACTTTTTTGAACTCTACAAATCTGTATTTTTCATATTTCTTACATTGCTTTCCCACAGGCTTCGACCTAACATTTCCCTCATTTTCAAACCCCACTACAACCCCCCCCCCCCCCAAAGAAACTTTGTATCAGTAACAGACATCATTCGAGTAATTGCGATATATTTAGTATGTTAATGGAATCGTTAATGATTTAACCCAAATATTCAATTTCACCAAAGGTTCCTTTGCAACTACGGAGGAAAATTCTGTGCCCCCGACCCCCAGTTTTCTACCAGGAATTCTACCCTAATTTCCATAAGAAAAATTATTTGACAAAAAAACCAGTCAGAAATAGGTTTTTTTATTAATTGTGAGTGATTAGGACGTTTTATCGTTGCATTACTTTCACCGATGATGTCATCGGTATGGTAAAAGTTTTGCCCCCGGTATTTCGCTATTATGCAAAGATATAATTGGGGAGTCGTTTAATGTTGATCAGCAAAGTCACAAACTACATTTCTGTACAAAAATTCGTTAGTCTCGCCATATGTGCAACGGGAACTTACTTCTGTGCCTGTTTGAAAGCCACAGGCGACGGCCTAAAAAGGTATTTTCAGACTTGTCTGATTCCTCTCTCTATTTGTACGAACCTCGAATGCAACTTGATATCTTCCCACAAGTATGAGCTAAACAATCTTTCCTCTCTTTGCTTTTCCGCAAGACTTTGACTGATTTGCTTACTAGATATTTTCCTTTTCTTATTTCATATACTCTGAAAAAAGAAGAAAAAATGGGAAAAAACTTATCTTCATTACTCCTTTGCATTGCTGTGAAGATACTCGCAATTAACTGCTGCTTGGCGACAAGTGAGTTCAAAATATGAACCTTAACTATCCAATTATTGTTCATGGCGTGGTGACGTTAAAAACGAGTCCTCCAAACTCTATCACGCAATGCCGATTTGTAATCAAGGCTCCATCTGGGTACCACGTTCAGCTTGAAATAACAAACATTGGGAGTGGCTATAGTAACTGCAATTACAACTCGTTACGACTATTCGAGGGAGGAAATCCTGACTTCGTGAATGATATTCCCACTGCTACGTATTGCAGCATAAACAGCGATCGTCCCACATATCTCTCTCAAGCCAGTGCCCTTACAGTTCTGCTTACAAGAAGATCTGGATACAACTTTATGTATCCGACAATACATTTCAGACTTGTTCCAGGTGAGCATTTCTTTTTATGAATACTACTCAATTCTCTATCTAAACAGTCTCTTTAGTTTTCTTCTGCTTGTTTGTTTTAGAATGTTTTGATATTTTTGTTTAGTTTATTCAAATTGTAAAGAGGCTTGTTGTTCAAAGGTGGAGTAAATAACAGGCCTTGATTAACTTTCGAAATTTCCAGTTTTTTTATGAAAGACGATCATCACTTCAGGCTATTCATAGCGTGCGTGATTTGCAACCTTCTAGTCCAGCTGACTCTTAGCAGCCAATTCGAACGAAGTTGCTTTTAGAAAAATATCACAGCATTTTACCTTGAAGAATGAATTTTTTCTCTGTGAACAAAGAAAGTTTAAAAACTTGCATGGTAAATAGCACTGATGATTACTATGTTACTGTTTTAATGGGATATATACTGTTTTGGTATATTTTAATCTAAGAAGCATTTGATACAAAGATTTTACTTCAAAAGCTGAAGAAATATGGGAAAGATGGGCATGACCATTCGTGGCTCTAGTTAAGCAACTGTCTCTATCTCATCTATAATTAGACGTCAGTTTGCACGGTTAATGGATTATTCTTCCACAAAGGGTTGATTACGGTGTACCATAAGGTTCATGTTTTGGTACATTTTTTCCCAATGTTTCTCCAAAAATGCGATGTGATATGAGCCGTCTTTCCCAATGTCTCTCCGAATATGCAATATGACATGGCCCTTTCTTCCAATGTCTCTCCGAAAAGGAAATGCGACATGTTCCCTTATTGCCCAATGTCTCTCCGAATATGCAATGTGACATGGCCCTTTCTTCCAATGTCTCTCCGAAAAGGAAATGCGACATGGTCCCTTATTGCCCAATGTCTCTCCGAATATGCAATGAGACATGGCCCTTTCTTCCAATGTCTCTCCGAAAAGGAAATGCGACATGGTCCCTTATTGCCCAATGTCTCTCCGAATATGCAATGTGACATGGCCCTTTCTTCCAATGTCTCTCCGAAAAGGAAATGCGACATGGTCCCTTATTGCCCGATGTCTCTCCGAAAATGCGATGTGACATGATCCATTTTTTTCAATTGCTCTCCGAAAAAGCAATGTCACATGGTCCCTTTTTTACCCAATATCTCTTCAAATATGCAGTGTCATATGGTCAGTTTTTTCTCAATGTCTCTCCGAAAATGCAATGTGACAATATAAGTTAATGACATAATTTCGTATTTTCCTAACAACATCAGTGATCTAATAACAAGCCTTAACAGTTTCCTGATACAGTTAAAGGAATTGCTACAGGTATCTAATCATCAAAAGACAAAACCGATGGTTGTACGTTTCGGACAAAGCTAAGAAATATTTTTTAGCATAGCCAAGAGTCCCCATCATTTGGTATCGATGGCAATGAAATTGATATTGTTAATATTTCAAATATTTAGGAGACTAACTTGATGACAACTTAAGCTGGGACTAGAAAATGACATTGTAACATGGAAAATTTAATATTATAATAATTAGCAATTTGTTTCAGTTAGCAACGAGATCATGCTATGCAATCGGATAAATTAAGACAACTATTTCCATAAAATAAATGTATAATGTATAAAAGAAATTTTAATAAAAAGCCCAAATGTATGTTATAAGTTTTTGCAAAACCTGCAGCCACACTCGAAGTTCTCTAAAGATCTTTTAAGCAGAAAATATCAGGGGCTATTAACTTAACGGTAGAAACATGCGTTTCTCTTTCTTGATTGGTTGGCTAAGTAGAAGAAGGGCTTGTTTCAAGCATCCAGCTTGTAATGGAGGATTAAATAAAAAAGTGGCTCAGTATAATTGAAAGGGAATATAAGAGCTTTCACTTTTTAAGACAGGAGGTCACTAGTGTCATGAAACTTGATAAAAATGAAGTAACGAAAGTTGAAATGGGTGCCTTTTGTGATATTTTTGGTAATAGTGCCTCAAAGAAAAGCGACAGGGGGCTGTAATCAATTAGGAAATGGACCGTTAGCACTGAACACAGAACTCAACCTCTTTTTACAGAATTAAAGTTACAAGCTTCATTCTATGATTGCACAATTTCTTACACTCAATGGAAACAACTATACAATTTCGTCATACATAATAGAGGCCTTGAAAGAAAAAAATTTTTATTTTAATGTAAAAAACCCTAGTTTGGCTTCTTCGTCGTCCAAGAAAATTAAATAACGTCTCTATTGCCTATTTCCAGGATACAACATGGTATTCAATCTATCTGAAGGCTTCATACCTTCGCCAAATTTCTTGAACAGTCTCTTACCGCGAAGCCAGTCGTTCATCTACCGCTTGGAAGGAGCGCCTGGAATGAAAGTCCAGCTTTTCTTCTCCTACATGAACCTTGGGTCAAACCAAACTTGCAATGGAGCACGTCTTTCGATTTATGAATGTCCTACAGCGACAGGCGTGCCAGCACATACCAAATGTGGCAGAAAAACGACATCGTATTTGTCATCAACGAACACAATTTCCTTGAAGTTGGAGAACTGGGCATCGTTTCAGGGAGCATAAGGCCTTTTCAACATTTCATTTCTTTAATTTTAAAAAGTGGTCGTGTAGTAACCAGATTTCCTTAAGATAGCCTCACGCAAGTCAAACGAAGTTGGCAGAGATAGAGTGAATGTCACAAGAAGAATTGTTTAAGTGATTTGATACGCTTGATTTCTTCTAGGTTGTGAACGCACGTACTCTGAGTCCAGCGGTGACATCTCTTTTCCACTGTACCCATTCAAGTACCCAAACAATACAAAGTGCAAATATGAGATTACTGTAAGCCATGGACAAATGATCTTTATCTATAGGCCATACTATTATTCTTCCTATGGCGATTCCTTAAATATCTATGAAAGAATTGGAGCTACTGGTGAAGAAATTGTGACAAATCTGCTAAATGACGCGAAAATGACATACTGGTCAATCGGGAAGAATATAACATTGGTGTTCCAGAGTGATAACAGCAATGTGATTACAGGATTGAAGATGCACTACACCGCAACAAACGGTAATGTACTTTATTAATTATTATGAAACAGTATCAAGAACTTGTGAGCTATTATATTTTTACTGCTCTGGAGAAACTGGAGTTTTTCAATGTCGTATGGGTTGATAAGGCGTTCAGACAGCGTCAGGCATGCCCACAGTGACGTTTCTGTCCACATTTCTTTTCCGATGCAAAAGTAATTTTGAACCGTTGTATCAAAGAAGGAACGGTTAAAGTAGTAATTACGCAAACCAGGGCCGGCGAAAGGTTTTTGAAAGATGAAGAGCAAAATTATTAAGATTGTTGTAAAATTTGGAAAAAATCGCCATCATAGTGTTCCTCAAGAGAAACGTTAGAACTATGGTATTGTGGGATGATCATAAAATTCATCTAAATTAAATTTTGACCGAAGAGAATTCCGAGGCAATTTTTTAAAGCTCACATTCATCATGATGTCCTATAGTTTTCTCTTTTTCAATGTCGATATGACACTCAAAAGGCCTTACAAAGTTATAGAAGAATCTGTGTAGTGCTGCGAGTATTGTCTAAATTTTGTTAAATCAAAAAAGAATCCAAAATAAGTAGAAGAGGAGAATTTTATCATAAAGTTTAGACAGGACAGTTTAGCATAAAGATAAAAATATCAGCAGAAGAATTTCATCGACTAAAAACATATTTAACAAGTCTGTAGAGTTGGATAATATTTTGTAAAATCGGACCGTAGAATTTCTGTGAATAGAGTACTTACAACTAAAACGACTCTTTATTTGAAATATATAAAACATGGCTGATTAACACGCTTTTAGCTGGTATCTTTATTTCTAATGGAATATGTAATTATATCTGGAATTTCCAATGTATGCAGATACTTCAATTGTGTACTTTTAGTTGAGATGGATGACATAATCTATTCATTGCCCTCCTGGCATTAAATGCTTGTGTAACACACTAAATAGAATCGATTCATGGTGCCCTCAACGAACAAACCTACGGAAAGAAGATAGTTTGAAAGTTTACGATGGTGCAAATGACACCACTTTGCTACTAGAAAATCTATGTGGCTCACCTGATCTTAAGCAGTACGTATCCTCAACAGGAAGGCTGTATATGCGCTTCAAATCGAACCGGAAAAGTCGCTTCAGAGCACGGCTGACTTTTACCTACATATGTAAGTTATAGAGTCCTGTCGTCATGAGTTGGTGCACTGGTCGAATCTTGATTGTTTAACCTTTCGTATAAAAGATTTAAAAAGGCGCGATTAAATTATAAGTTATAATTTGCCAAAAATATGCCCGAAAAAGATTTGCTGACGCCATTTCAACATTGTTTACATTCGATGAATTTTGAAAAAAAAATTGAAGTTTTGTTGAAGAATCCGAAAAATTGAGTACTCTTCATTTTAAGCCTTTATTTTTCAGGCAGAGCATAATATTGCTTTGCCTGTTTCCTTCTGTTTTTGATATAGAAATGGGGGGGGTAAAACCATACAAAGAACTTTCTATCGGTATGGAACCTGGAAAGCCTGATCCATCCAGCGCCAGTATTTGTAACGCCCCAACAGTGGAAGTTGCTGCTGGAACTACTGCGTTGGACCTACATGACACCACCGATGACAGTGATGCAAAATCAGCATTACATAATCTGCGTTTAAAGAACATAGGTCGTATGACTATCGGAAATCTCAATATAAACTCCATTTGTAGGAAATTGTGAGCGCTCCTTCCTATCTTCCTATCTCTCTCTCTCTCTCTCTCTCTCTCTCTCTCTCTCTCTCTCTCTCTCTCTCTCTCTCTCTCTCTCTCTCTCTCTCTCTCTCTCTCTCTCTCTTTCTCTTTCTCTCTTTCTTTTGTATATAGTTGTTGTGGTTGTTGATCGAATTCAGTTGAAAAGAAGATTTCTTGCTTACGAACGACGACGACGTGAACGACGTGAATTATATCTCAAAAAGAACTCGCGATAGATGCGAACGACAGTCACGATGAAGGAAGATAGATGCGAACGATTCACGTAAAGAACAATATTCAAAATAATACTAAATCAAGACCTTGATGGACCGAGGTGACTTCGTTAAAATTCTTACTTTATTTTCTTCTCTCTGGACGTTAATTCTTCTCTCTGATTAATAATTCGTGGTTGTTTATGTCATTATACTCGCTGATGTTTATACTTTATCTTGCATATAAATTCGAATAAGAAATTATACAGTCCTCTGACTTTGATATAGAATTTGATCTTCAAGACGAATGAACCTATATGGTAATTCTAACCTGCCAAGTAAATAGATCTTAACTATTAACATCTTAGTAGTGATTCCTGGCAGGTAATTCTCTAAACCATTAGAAATAAATTTGATGCATTAAAAGAAATAGCTTCAGAGAATCTTGATATTCTAATGGTTGCAGAAACAAAAATTGATGATTCTTTCCCAAAAGACCAATTCTATACTGATGCTTATGTTGATTCACTGCGGTTTGATAGAAGTGGTGAAGGTGGAGGTCTGTTGGTCTATGTGAAAAGTGACATCACAATGAAACAGTTAAATTCATTCAAATTTGAATTTGACATAGAATGCATTTGTTTTGAAATTAATTAAGGGGGAAAAGGTGGGCTCTTATCAGCGTTTACCGACCATCTCGAAAATCTTGACAAAGCGGTTAATCATTACAGTGAAAACTATGACAAATTTTTATTAATTGGGGATTTTAATACAGTAGAGATGGTCAATGAATCTACCATCTACGCTGATGTACCTGGCTTTCTTTCACCATCAATCATAACTGGAGAAAACCTTCGCCCAGATCTTCTCTTGAAAACTAACAACAATTACCTATACATCTTAGAGCTTACTGTTGGTTTTGAATCCAATCTTGACAAAAATGCAACAAGAAAACACAGCAAGTATGCTTCTCTCCTATCTAATTTACAGCGGAAGTTCAAATGTGTCTCTTTTGTGAATCTTTCTATGATCTCTCTTGGCATCTTTGGCAGTTCCTGCATCTCCTTCTTCAAAATGTGTGACTTTCTCTCCATCGATCAGCAACAAAAACGGTATCTCATTTCCAAACTTTCCAGCATTGCCATCCGTACTACGTACTACATATTTTGTTGCAAAAATAAGCCATGGACAATCCGGAATTACATCCTTTTTAACCTTGGTTGTTTTTTTTTTCTCAGTTTTTCCTTTTACCTTACGATTTTTATAGTTTGTTCTTGTAAAACCAGGCTAGCCAATTGCAAATTACCTTGTAATAGTGAGATTTGTAATTGTAGTTTAAGTTGAATTGAAAATGAAATGTTTCCAATATCATAATTATTATCATTATTGTTATTATTATTATTATTATTTTTTTTTCTTTTCTTTTCTTTTCTCAGTTTTTCCTTTTACCTTACGATTGTTGTAGTTTTTTCTTGTAAAACCGGGCTAGCCAATTGCAAATTACCTTGTAATAGTGAGATTTGTAATTGTAGTTTAAGATGAATTGAAAATGAAAGGTTTTCATTATTATTATATTATCATAACTGTATACAACTGCAATACTTCTGCAGCCTGGTTAATTGTTGAGCGTGACAAATTTGGGAAAAAAACTTTTAAGTTACTTATATTCCTTTGAAGCAAGGGATTTTTTCAAACCGCTTTCTGTTTGCCAAACGTCGCCTCCGGAAATCCACACGGTCGCCTGTGACAGCATAAGCCTTGATGGGTAACATTGCCAAATAAACAATTTCTACCGGACCACACGAACTCCGCAGAGTCTGCATGTTTTCTAACAAACCTAATGGAAGAAAAAATCTAGAAGGCTGCCCGATTAAAGTTCCATTGTTCTCCAAAATCCCCATAAAGAATCCCCCTTTTCAGGATTCAAAGCATTAGAGGAAAAGAATTATAAGTACTTATTTTATTAAAAAAAGTTAGCTGTTCAGTGATATTTACTAATTTCTTACACCCATAGTCTATGTAGCGGCATGGTGCGCTTGATTTGGGTCTCTCTGTTTGGTTTTTTTTTTAATTTTGGCGCGTGCGCAAGTACGGCGACGAGCCTACATTTCTTTTCCACAGTGTTATACTTGTTAATGTTGGTTGTATGGAAGGGAAATTGAAATGTTTAGAGGATAAATCGTTTAGAGGAGACACAAAGGTGTTTTTTTAAAGTGAGTAGATATTTTTTAAACTTTGTTAAAACAAGATAACACGTATTTGCCCATAGTGCACCAACTAATGGTGACAGCACTCTATGAAATTTTTCATTAAAGAACCAATTTTTTAAGGTTAGCTAATTCCATAAAGGCCGATATTTTTCTTTATCTTGGAAACATCTTCCTCTATTTTCGAAGTTATATAAAATATTTAAGTTTTGCTAGCTTTTAACTTCCCAGCTACATAGTAAAAAAGCCTTCTTTTCCAGATTTACATTATTCATGGAGTAACTGGAAATTAGGTACACTACAATCATGGAACTACCCATACAACAATCCATACACATCGGATATCGAGAATGAAGCGCATTTCTACTTCATATGGAAACAGAATCATTCTTGTATTCACACATTGGAAAAGAGCACAGGTTGTAGCAAAGACAGCCTCAACATTTATGAAGGGTCAGTTTCAACGGAATCTCTTAAGTCGACAAGATGTGGAAGAGACGGTGATCCATATGTGTCCAAAACGAGCAGCATCATTTTGCTCTTCACGTCAGATGAAAGAATTTCAAAGACTGGTTACAGTGTAAATATTGAAGGTTACATTATAGTTTATATGCTCAATTTTGAAAATCTAAGAGTTCAATCCCTTGGCATCTGTAATAGAAATATTGTTTTTATTTAGTTCCTGAGTATAAGCGTCTACATGGGGTAAATTGCTGTAGTCAGCAACCATCATTGCTCGGGGAACAAGCATATACCGGTTAAAGAAAATACCAGATTCCTGTCAAATTAGCTGATTATTTGTCTAACAGTGATTTCTAGTGTTTTTAAGGTGTAAATGAAGCCATTAGCGACATCAATCCGTTTTTCATAGATTTATCCCACTTCAGTATCGGGAAAAGCAAGTGTGGACATGTAGGATTTAACGTCGTAATGATTGTTCTAGACGCAACCCCCCTGATTTGAAGAAGATGAGAAATACAAGACTGACAAGAGCAGAAATAACCGTGAACACGTCGAATGTGTAGTATTATTGAATAGTGGAAATTGATAACGAAGAATCTCCAAAGTTTGCGTGTTAATTTAAATGTTTTAGCTCTAATTAGCCGGGCAGGGCTATTACGCAATTTTCTTCCAAACATGCAAATTTTTTTCCGTCGATAGTATATGCAGGTCAAGATGCCAAGCTGAATTATATAAATTTTTACCAAATCTTCCAAAATTTAATGTTTTCTGAAATTGCTAAGTCAATCGTCAAGACAGACAAGAAATCTCCAAAGTGAAACTTTTTTGGCCCATGGGTAGAGTGTATCACAGCTGAGATTTAAATAAATTGTCCTTTGTTTCATTTAGCATGCAAAGGAGTGTACTCATACTATGAAAATAGAATCAGGTTCCCATGGTATTATTCAAGATATCCAAATGAATCCAACTGCCAATATGAAATTCCTGCAATGCTTCGGAATACGAATTTCATTCATCAAATTTTCACTGGAAAAAAGTCTAGATTGCAAAAATGACAATTTTTCAATTTACGCAATGACAGTCGCAAGTGAAAATTTCATTGCAACAAGATGCGGTAATAACATTACAGATGTCGTTTCAAGTGCAGCGAAGGTGATTTTGGTGTTTCAATTAAACGAGAAAATAGCTTATACTGGCTTTGCTGTTACTGTCCAAGGCTTGTAGCACACTTCAGGAATTACTGACATTTACGAATTAGAAAGCATCATTAGAAAATTCAAAAAAGCCTTGCGGAATTCGAGAATTGATTATCTAGTCCAGAAGCTTCATTTCGCTTGCATTCTTTTGTATTTGTATTTGCTTCTACCTAACATCCGAAGGTAGTTTTTAGGACACCGAGACTCTATTCTTATCGAACAGTGTCCGGGTCCTTCCTTTCGATGTGACAGCACCACGTGATTCCTACAAACTTTCCTGCACAGGGACTATTGTTTGGAGCGATAGTAAGTGAGAAAAGAAAAGTTGCATTTTTATCCTCCTTCTCCCTCGTTGCAGCTCCTCAACTGTTCTTTTCTTTCGTATTTCCTTTTTTCTTTACTTTTTTTCCCATTCCCAATCCCCTCCCCAATAGCCTCTGTGGAGGATGGTGATACTTACAATTGGAGAAACAGAGAGCTGACGACTCTTTTCACTCTAAATGAAAGTTTGGTAATGGCAGGAACTTATTAGAGCCTGATAGTAACTAATTGGCACAAGTACAATATTTTGTCGAAAGTTTCGAAATATTTCCAATATTGTTGGAATAATACATAAACCTATTGTTACCTGTCCAATCGGCTTATTCTCTATGTTTTCTCAATCATCAACCCGCTGCAAATTGTTAACTCTGAACGGTTTGCATTTAGTCAGAGAATATCATGTTCTGGCATTCTACCGCAATTCAGTGTTTTCTCATTGCCAAAAAAGTAAAAATTAGAAATGGCTGAAATGTCCAAAATCAATGATAGCCATGCCGTAATTAGATATTCGCTATTGTTTGTTTATCAAAGGAATGTGAAAGTCTGTTATGATATTTGTGCCACTAATGTTATAGTATATCAACCTATTTAATTTTAAAGCTATTTATATTTAATTTAGTTAATACTTTTTTTGTTTACATTTTCAATAAACACAAAAGATAAGATATTGTGAAAGTTTGAAAGAATAATGCATAAGAGATTATTATAAAAGTCATTCAAGCAAAAATGGGTGGGGATTTGTGCCTTAATACTACAATAGACATTTCCCTTTTTCAGCATGTAGCACATTATTCAGAAACGACACAGGAACATTGTTCTCTCCCCAATATCCTTACACTTATCCAACGCACGCAAAGTGCACATATTTCATTCGACTAGCCAAAGGTGCCAAAATCCAGCTGGTGTTTCGCAATTTCTCGCTCTTCTCTGGTCATGGAGATCAACTGACAATACATGATGTGCATGCATCTTTCAGTATTGTGTATGTTGTCTCTAACGCCAAAGACGTTTTAGCGTCAGGCAACGAAGTTGTGCTCACGTTTTCATCTTGGTGGAGGAGTACCACAGCAAACTCTTTCAAAGGATTTCGAATCTACTATTACGATCGCCAAGGTGTCTTATTCAATTTTACATCAACGTTATTCATTTACTTCTTTGAACTCAATAGTTTGAGCCAAACTTTCTTGCTAGATCACTTTTTCATGCGTGGCCTCACTAATCTGTAAATGACTTACAACAGTCTCTCTCTTTAATCTTCAAAGGACTTGCAAAAGATTTTTTAATCTGAAAAGGACTTTCAAAGGACTCTTTAATCTTGAAGGAACTTACAACAGATTCTCTCTTTGATCTTAAAAGGATTTTCAAAATCTCTAAACAGGCTCCACTTTCAACTGGCTATGCAAGGAAGTAGGCAAAAAGGAACTTGCTTGCTTTTTCCAGTTCTCTACCAGTGTCTTTAAATTATCGTTTATTTATCCATTCCTTCTTCGATTTCTCGTAAGTACATCTAATTTACAAAACTGGCAATATTAACTTACTTAGATCTCATTAAAGTTGTTAACGTAAGAACCGCTAAGGGAATTTTTCGGCTCTTATAAGAATCGTTTGAAAGATATTAGCGTTTATTTGAAACACAAGAAACTTTATTCCTGAAACCGGTTGTGCTTTAAAAGATTTTTTTTATTCCATCAAAATTAGTTCAACACCAAAACTATTTTTTAAAAAAAATCCAAAAAACGATTTTTCCACAGTGAAAAAGTAGAAGGCTCTGTCATCAACGTTTTCTTGCCTTCATATCCTGTCTTCCTCTTTTGTCCTTCAATCTAGATTTCATCAAGATCTTCTCGTGCCTTTTCGTTTGTAATTGGGCTCTACTTTTTATACATCTCATGTGGTGTTAGAAGACTAGAATTCTTCAAGCTTCAAGGATTTTGGTCATGTGCGCCTAGTTTTTGGCGTGACATAATTCCGTACATTATTGTACATTCTATATATTCAGTCCGCATAATTGCTAAAAAGTATTTCTTCACTCGTTATATATGTTTATTTTATTAAATGTTCGTCAACTAAGGGTTCATAAAAGGGAATCATGCCTTAGAATTGAAGGACTAAAAACATTGAAAGATAAGCTGACTGGCTACTTTCATTTTTTAAAGGTTTTTGTAGTAAGTACAAGCCCTGTCGCAACAATGCATCATGCACAAACATTGGAGATAGCAATTATACATGCAGCTGCTCAGATGATTTTAGTGGTCGGAACTGCTCTGTAAAGATCGTTCCATGCAAATCCAACCCATGTATGAACAACGGAACATGTACAGATCTTTATGGTCATGGCAAACCGATGTTCAACTGCAGTTGCACAGATGACTTTCAAGGAAACAGATGTCAGAATCAAATTGGTGAGCAATTTGAACTGTATGACTCATGATGGCCGAACTATTTAACTTGTGTCAATAAGTTTCTTGCCCTGGGCAAAGACCGTCCTGGTAAGAGGGGTTTTCAGGGGTATCACACCTTTTAGTTGTCGAGCCGCTTAAGGTAAAGTCTGCTACGGGTTTTTTGACTAGTAAGAGCTAACATTTTTTATCACTTCATGTTTTCACAATAAATCTTCATCTCCTGATCATCCGGCGCCGTACCTGGCCCAGTGTTATCGAAGCAACGAATCCGATTTTTATTAAAGATAGTTTTTAAGGCTATTTTTTAAAATTTCAACGAAAATTTATTTGATTATTGTTCTTCAGCGAAAATTATTGTTGTGTGCTCCGTGTTAATGAAAGTAAAAGTAAAAATGTAGCATTATCATAAGTGCTTCTTTGTAAACAGTATTCTTTTCTACAACAGCACGACTTTCACAGTTATACTATATTTTGTAGAAAATATTACAATTACCAAAGAGAGTATGCAACAAAACAGCTTGAATTAAGGGAAAACTGTATCTTCGTGGCACAACTATTTTTCTAATTTATGCTTCTTTGTTTCAAGCATAGGCGTATGGGTTGAGTTCAGGTAGAGGGGGCTGAAATTTTTTGCCCGAGAGATAAAAACGCCCAAATTTTTACGGAGTATACTTTAACACATGTGGGTATCTAATATTAGTCAAGAAATCGTTAAAATCCAACGTCATTAAAATAATGTTTACTAATAAGCATTTTTAAAACGATTATTTTATCGATATCTTTTTATGAACATGATTTGCATCATTTTCAGCAATTCACACACTTTTTTGCTTACCTGCTTAATCTTGTGATTATTGCACAATTTGTGTTCCATTTTTAGTTGGTCAGAAACACGAAATCCATTTGGTACACAGTGGTTGAAAAAATTGCTTTAGTTTATTCATTACATTATAGAACCAATGGGTTTATCCTTACAAAGTAAATAAGTGTCCTGTTCACTGCCTTCACTGACTCCCCACTGACAAGCTCAGTTCGTTGCGCTTTGACCCTATTACCTATAATTACATCTCTTTTGGTGTTGGCCTCAATGAAATAGTAGAGACATGAATTAGATCAAGTCCATTTCTCATTGACTCACTTGCTGCAGGAGTCAACTATAGTCCAAGGCAGTGGACAAAGATGGTCAGTGGAGAAGAGTCCTCTATCGCTTTGCCAAGCCCTTGGCTTTGCCGCTACAAACTGCCGAAGCATGTGACAACACGTTTCTACCTACGCTTTTAAGCCCAATTTGTACAATTGCTGAAGACTGAGTTTTGTAAAATTTAGCAAAAAACTTCCTTTCGGACACCATTCAGTGCAAAACTGCACAATCTGACATTTGTTTGTGCTGACGAAAGTTAGATGTTTCATAAATTGTGAGAGCATAACAGCCGTTCTTTTACTTCTTCCACAATCTTTTCAAGCACTGGTTGGGCTGTTGCTGTTCTTGCCGCTTTTTTGTGTTTATTCACCCAACAGATTTTTACTTTATTCCATTAGTTCCAAAAGCGCTCAGGATCACGACCATTTTTAAACATGTTCAAAATGTACTTTCTTTTATACCTTTTGGTTTTGGGGAAGGTTCCTGCTCGAATTTTGCCCGAAAAAATCAGCTGCCCGAATCTAGGTGGGCCGGAGGCCCCCCTCCCCAGCCCCCCGTCCCGTACACCAATGGTTTCAAGAATAACTATTTAAACTAAAATTGCCAAATTCACTTTGATAATGCCCTGCTTGCCTTTACTGGAAAGTATTTCCAATTTTGCCAAGATCGTCAGCGTGCGGGCTGGTACTTTTTCTTAGGGAATCCGTTGGAAGGCATTCTAATGTTTGTTCTTTCCGGCATGATATAAAAATAAACTTTTTTCAATTTTGCAAAGGATTTTGCACAAAGCACAAGCCCTGTCAAAACAAAGCATCTTGCACTTCAACTGGAAATGGTATCTACACTTGCAGTTGCCCAGTCGACTTTACTGGAAAAAATTGTTCCATTGAGATTGCCCCTTGTAAATCTAACCCATGTCTGAACAATGGGATTTGCACTGACATTTATGGCCGTGGCCCACCATTGTTTCAATGCAAATGTCTATATGAATATTATGACACATGATGTGAGCACGTAAAGGGTAAGAATAAACTTTTCTTGATTTTTATTTATGTAATATGGATTTACATTGGAAAATGGTGTTCAATTTATTGCTTTGTTTGTGAAATGCTAGAAGGTTTTTGCACTTCTTTTGAGATAGTGTATTGTAAAATAGAGAAAGAAATGAAAAATGCGATTTTTTCTTCAATGTTCACAGATCTAAGATCTTTTTTCAGGAAGAATTTTTAAAAGCTTTGCCTTTCAAAATTTTTGTTCCATGGATCTATGCAGTCACTATTTATCAGATGATACATGGAAAAGAAGCACTAGCTTCAAACACAACACATCGCGGACTCCTTTGTGTGACGAGGGTCTCACATCAGGATGGTATCGTTTCACAAGCAAGGCTGGTGATAAAATGCCCAATGAACCGTCTAGTATGGGAGCTTGCGGTAATCTACTGCATTTTCTCTGGGTTTGATTTTCATTATTAGCATTTCCAATCTAATTGAAAGTAATCTTTTGTTAAACAGTTTCGTTTTCAATTTTCTGAATATAAATTATGATTTAAAATGATTTCATTGAATACATGGTTCTGAAGAGTTGTCATTCGATATAAATCCATTCTAGATGTAAATTCCAGTCATAAGCTCTAAAACAAAAGACTTTAATGTTTTACAATGTTTCTGAATGCACCTCTTGATCTTTTTGGCTGATGTAATTAAAGTAAGTTATGCAATTGCGCAATCAGTTGTAAAAAGTACATAAAATTTCTTTTAGGAACACCTAATTCGATTTGGGCAAATGGAACTTTGCCAAAATCTGATGGTAGCTACAGTTCATTGGTGGCCTTTGTGAGAAACATTGACTCAACTTGTTCAGGGTCTTAGCCATTACCTGTGAAGCGATGCCCTGGAACTGCAGCCCTTTTTTGAATCAAAAGAACGCTGACTATAGCACATGAAAAGTCAAAGGAGTTACGCTTTGCAAGGCTGCAACTCCCCTGGCTGGGGGATTTTGCCCGAGTGCCCTGAGACATAGTCAATGCCTGAGACAAATACAAACCAAGCAGAGAAAGATCATCTATAACTAGCAACAGCTGTTTAGCTTGATGTGTACAACATAACTGTCTGTCTACAACAGCACTAAACAGTACCTGTACTCTTCGTACACAGCGACAGGATAACTACCTTTTATGTACGAAGAATGAGTACATATAGGAGTGGGGGGAGCCTGTAAGTAAGTAAGTGAGTAAGTAAGTGACACAGTTTCCGTAACAGAATGCTACGCGAAGAATTCCCATTTTCCTCTAATTAGTGTCCCGCTTTCTATTGCTCGCGGCTACGAAATGATGTTGACTCAAAGTCAATTTTGCAAATTTTTTTTTGGCGATGCCAAAAGAAAAGTTAGCACAGATTCAGAGGAAGCTGCGGCACACAATCCAGAAATCGTGCACCCGTACAATGGAAGATGCCTATAAAGGGAATTAAGGTTTCCTAATTTCCAATTATTGACAAAGCTCTTTGATACCGCTGAAACAATCTCCATGAAGAATCCGTAGAGGAACCATGTTTTGCTAGATGTCATATTGTCATATTACAATCTCATATTACGTACCAGACATTTCTCCGTACATAGCCATTGGGCCCCTATGTTCTGATATAGTAGGAAGCTTTATTGTGTTGATAATGTCAATGATCAAAGGACTAAGTGCCTATAGCTAAGCCCTAACAACGGAAGGGAGGACGGATTAAGAAGAGAGAGAGGACAGATCAAGCCATGTTTTATTTGTGCTATAACAAAAATTTTGTTTTTAGGCAAAATATTCTACTTTATTTGTAGTGTTTTTTCAATTATTTTTTATATTGTTTCAATCAACGGAACCAATTTTTCCTACTTCTAAAAGATACGAAGCTTTTTAATATAGTTCACTATTTTAAGTGTACCTTTTATTAGTTGCCTGTTAATCACATTAAGTAAAAAAGTGCCAGTTGCATTATAAATCGGCAGACGTTCTCGTTATCAATGTCGCAGCTTAAGCAATGCCAAACGGACTGCTTTTTATTGTTTCTGTGATGCCTTGTGTGTATGTTTATGTTAAGCTGTTTTATGTTACTCTTCAGAATAAAAGTACATTTCTGCTACTGGCTGTCATTGCTGAAGCCTGATGATGTTATGTATTTTTTAGCTACAACAGCTTTAGAATATTTAAGTGTGTATCAAGTTGTTTTTAGATGTTATAAATAAGCAGATAGCAAAAGTGGATCCTGACATCTATTCATTTACGAGTATTAATGCCGTGGAATATGATGAGGGTGAAAATTGAGGATCAACATTTTCATAAGGTTATTTTTGCATTGCAATCCGACTTAACGTCGTTTTTGCGAGAGCAATCTCTTATTGTGTTCCCTTTTCCTTCTAGAATGCACTGCAAGTAGCAAAAACGTGACATTACTGATTGTGTTGGCAAGTGTCGGGTCTGCAGTTTTTGCTGCTTTGATGGTTTGCATAATCATCAAAATAAAGAAAAGACCAACAAAAAAGATCACACCACGTGATCCCGACGAATCAACTTCAACTACTTTTAACAACAAGGCCTTCGAAGCCAACTGTGAAGTGGATAAAGCGCATAATTGAGGAATTGAAAAACATTTGTTCCCTCAAGTTATATAGCACACTTAAACATTTTTAAACTTTATATAAGTCTATTCTATAATAGTTTACATAATAAGTTATATAATCATTGTTCTGAGTTCTGCCTTGATCCAATACTGGCTCTCTGATGATGCAGAATCTTCAGTAACTAGAAATGTGCAAGAAGCTAGGCCTTTTTGCCCACAGTTGCATTATGATTGATAGCTTTTGTGGCCTTTACGTTTTTCAGGTCGTTCTGTTGTTTGATCAAAATGAATATTCTAGAAATTATCTTCTTCTTTTAAGTTCTTGACATTTAATTTCTTAATTTTCACTTATAGAAATTTAAGGAAGTTTTGATGTGAGGCTTCTTAGCAATGACTTGATTAGTTTTGTTAGTTGGATACACAGCTTTTTACCATATTTTTCGCCCAACTTTGAAAGATCGAGGGCTGAAGAGCTGCATCCATATTAAAAACAAGTAGCTCATTGAAATTACCAGCAAGCCACAGAAAATGATTGCTGATATTGGAGTCCAACGGAGAATTTTGCATAGAATTTAGCAACCTGCCTAACCGAATTGGTTTGAGCATAATTTACAAAAGTATATTCTTTGGAACGTTTTTGTAAAAGCAAAAAAGACACGGCTCTGACGATAAAATCCGCAAAAGCATGCAAAACTGAGTAAAAAGAATGGAACATAATAATGGGGCCTCTTATAGTTTATGTTGGGCAACATAATGTTAAAATGAGTTAGTCACGTACACGATGAGATGAAGAGAGCAATAATCATGAAGGCAAATAGAAAGACAGCAAGAATCATGAGAGAATTTCTAAATTGACTTACATAACAAAGAAAAGCTAAGCCGGCTGAATTTTTTAAGCAAAGAGGTTAGACATCTAATTTGCAATAGTCTAGGGCCTGGTAAAAGTTTCTTATTTTGCAATGTTTAGACAAGCGAAATTCGAAAAGTACATTGTTTTACTTCTTCGACATAATTCTTCCAAGATTCCTTGCCTTGTCTTCGACATAATGCCTTGATTGTCCCAATTACAGGATGGCTGGTTTCTTCTGTTTTTATAAACATTTCAAACAATTGCGAAGCTAAAGTTAATAGGCTAAAGACTTGGCGCATTTAGCCTCACCAAAATTGAAGTTGTGGCAGTTTCCAGTTTCCATTGTGGAAGGTTCAATCAATGCCCGTTAGGCAAACCGAAAATTGTGACAAGCAATTCAATCTCAGTTTAATGTGGAATGGAAACCAAAATTTTAATATAAAGTAGATATTAGTTTAAAAGTATCTCACTCTAGCACATTGGCCTAACTTTTGTAAGCATATTAGTCCAATGGACTCATGCTGGTTTTGCAAAATTGATATAATCCTGGGGTTGGGTCATATTGATCCAACGTGTTATGGCTATCTGAAACAGGGCTTTTCCTTTAAACGGTACAGAGCTACTTTGGGTTCAATGGAAAGTGCAGATTATTACGAGTTTGCAGTAAAATATCATTTCTCGTACTCTCTTTCAGTACGATCTCTTTCTTTAGTTTATTAATCTTGATTCGTCTAATGAAGCAAGAACCTCCATTCTTCTCCTCTGAGATATTATTCAAAATTTATTGTGATGTCAAGAGTTATGCGATGGACTATAAGGATAAACCAGTTAAAAATGGCAAGTTCTGTTATTGTAATATCAAACTTTTGCCTAAAAACCTTATAGAATACGTAACTTGCATACGAAGAGTAGATGCAAGGGAAACCAGGTCTATGATCATGAAGGTAATATTTGAGCATAGCAATTTAAGAGAAAAAGAAGATGAAGGACGAAGAAGAATAGAGGAGAAGGATGAGTGGTCAGTTGAGAACTAGGCTAGCAGAGAAGCGTTTTCTTCCTGTAAAGCCCTGAGTGAGATTTGTGTCTCGTCGGAAAAACTCCTGGGAAAAGTTTTCAAGCAAAAATTGTCGGTTCTAGTGAACAGTTGAGATTAAGAAACGGTATCGTCTTCTAAAAATTAAATTTTTTCTCAAGGACATTGTCGCTGAACCCCCATTTGATACAAGAGCATGTCCCGGTACCAAGTTGGTGTGTCGGGGCTGTGTTTCCTTTTGTTGGAGAGGCTTCTGTGTCTCTGATACCAAAAAATCTATTGGCAATTCCTTCAGCATTTAGATATTTTGATTATTGGCGTAATCACGGAACAGGGAAGCCTCACAGAAGAGCTTTCTCTCTTTTTTGTTCAACAGGGATTATTCAAACCTATGTAATTGGTTTTCAAGGACACCAGATCATAAGGGCATAAGTAAGGACACCAGACCATAAGGATTTATGCCCTTATGGTCTGGTGTCCTTAGATTTTCCAACAAAGCTCGAAATGATCATCACGATTCCAATGAAAAAAGAGCTCCAAATTTGCCTAAGGGCCCAGGTTTATTGGTATTTCTATAAAGAAACTCTTTTTTGGTCTTTTTTATCTGCTTTGGTTTGCTTGGAAAAGTCGATCCAGTTATTCCGATGTCAATCAATTGTGAAGGAATCGGTCAATCTTGTCCTCACACTTCATTTTTGCCCCTCAAAAAAAATTCAAGATATTGTATTTCAGATGTTCAATTAAATTGGCATGTAGATAAGTAAAATATTTTCTGCTTTTGTAGCTTAGATCAAATCTTTGAAGAAAGTTCTTAAAATAAACATCTTCTTTGCTCAAGGAATTACGGAAGATATAAATTCCTGACATGAAAAATACTGGTTGACGCACATACTTGCTGGTTGCCAACAAGGTTATAAATAACTTTTTGCTACTACGACGTAAGTACAGTTCATAACACCGAGTCAGGAAACTAGTGAAAATGTAGAAAATGTCAGATAAGTTTAGGAAAATCTACAATAACAAGCATTTTGTTGTAAGTTAATGTCATATTGGTCCAAATTACTTTATATAGGGATGTCACTCAGAGCACCTTCCAAATTTTTGTCGAAAAGACACCCACGTAATTTGTGCCAAAGAGACCATTTAGGGAGAATTTTGTTGTGGTATGATATCTTATGTGTTTCGATTGGTACAATTTATATAAATTTTTTTCACCTCGACAAAAATCAATTGCTATTGATTTCTTTAAATATGTTTTCCATTAAGACATTTAATAGAACAAGTTGTTTGTCCCCTAACAAATTTCGTCTTTTGAGCGAGACCACCATACAAACTTTATTCAGCATGTTAATTTGGTATTGAAATGGTGTTTTCCTTAATATTAGATGTTACAGCTTTGGATTTTTTTGGTAAGATTAACTCTTGTTTGCCTATCCCCAAAATACCATGGCGATTCTCTGGCTAGTGACGGGAAAATTACATCTTTAAAATCTTCAAACCACCAAGCAATTGTCATCCTAGCATGGGGTACCGTAAATTCCCTGGAGGTTTATTTATTTTTGATATTTTTTGGATGGGAGCTTATTCAAGGGGGGCTTATACGAGGGGGGCTTATAAAATTATTGTGGAAATTAAGAAGATATTATTGAAAGACCTCGTTTATTTTTGCAGGAATTTCTTTATGAGCATTAAATTAACTATTACCAAAAGCATGAATTATTGTTGTAACTTAATAAAACGCTAAAGGCATCCTCAGAAAGCAAAAATCATCAAATTCGAGGACTTACAATAGGTGACAAAACTGAGTCTTCGTATCAGCTCTCGATGAGCATTCGCCTAAAGCATAATTTGTTGTGCCATTGAACTTTACGTAGCGATATTTCCGGTTGTTCTTTGCCGGGTGTCAGTTGCGGTGAACTAAAGATGAAAAAAGCTTTTCAGCTTTTAGTTGCTTATGATACCACACAGATTTTCAACATGGCAGTTGATTCCATCGATGCCACAACTTCAGCACAGCAAAGTTAGTGTCGCTACCACCATCGTTGATCTCAGAAGCAGTTTGTGTCACAAAGTATCACAGATCTGTCACTAGAACAATTAAGTCTGATTTTCCAATTAACAATTGGTTTTAAAATTTCTATTGTTTTACAGGCTTGCCACCGACAATTTCACCAAACTCCTTTTGGCTCATTTTTTTAATTCACTTTTTTAATGTTGGTTTACACAATAATAGCTAATAAACAGCTAATTTACACCAACTTGTAACTTTAACAAATATATCTAAGAAAAATCGTGATGTTTACAAGTATCCAATATTAGAAATATATGGTGTGCAGAGTCTACACGAGCAAATAAGATCCGTTTGTTTAATTTTAGCTTTGAATACTTTACAATTTTCTGTCGATCGAATGTCTAATCGTATAGAATTCCACAATTCATTACATCTATAGGATATTGTATCGAGCCTATAAGTAACAGTGTTCGGCTTTTTTTGCATAAACAATTGATTTCGTAAATTATATGCAAGTTCATTCAACTGAAATATTCCTTTGATAGATACTGGATTTAAGTGATTTACTGTTTTGTATATTTGGTCAATGACTTGCGACGTCCGATACCAGATAACATTCACATGATCAAAATACAAAGTTTATATCAATCAATTAGGGCCTCCTGAACCCCTCCCTTCAATAACCGCACCAAACCCTGTTTATCCAAGTCCATTCTAGCTTGATGGCCAAAAATACAAATAAGACACATCCCCTTTTTCAAAAACATTCTTATCGATAGTCACTCCCCACCCAATCAAGCTGCCTTCATATACTCTGTGATACTTTCTGGCCCTGTACTGACTTTTGCGGAAAAACCTATCTTTATGATTTATCTTGACATTTACTTTTCTTTACTTTTCAACCATTATCCTGGCTGGAACTAGGAGTGCGCTGAATACCCACGCGAAATAGACTAACCTGAATTAAAACACCAAAATGTCCCTTATGAGATTCTGGCTGATGATTTGTCTATTTTTAAATTGTGTATGATTTGGCTGAAGATCACCTACATTATATTATATTTAGTTTTGCCCAAGCCTATTCCCCCAACCATATTCAAGGGACCTTTAAACCTATTCCTGGTCTTGGCTTGAAGTTGTAAGCAAGTGATAGTGGCTTATCATTTTCTTCTCTTTTTTAAAATTTTTCAAACTACTTGTTTTTGATTTGTCACATATTCGTTCTTTGGTTTTTATTTTTTATCCTTTAGTACACAAGTCAATAACAACAAGAAGCATAGCACCGCCCATCACAGAATGGCGACAAAATTCTCCTAGCTATAAAAAAATTCAAATAGCTTTCACAGCTTATCTACAATTTTCAAAATGACTTGGTAACGGGAAATGCTAGAGAATTTATCAGAATTTAGTAACAGCGATAAACTTGCAAAAATGTTTATTGTCATATTTCTAAGCAATATTGACTTTGCAGAGAGTGAAATCTTCTGCTTTATTGATAGTATTACCTGTAAATCATTTATTTGCAATGAAAAATTCCTTTTCTCCAACTCTTTAGATAGTTCGTTACGACGTATTCAAAGATATTGAGCTTCTTTTTGGAAACTGTAATTTCCCTTAATGCTATCAAAAAATAAGCTAACAGGTTTCTTCCAAAATTCATAAGTGTGGTTGGCTTGTACATTTCTGCCTGGCCTAACAGGATAAATGGGTGATGGGTGAGATTGAATGGAATTACAAACAGCGTGAACGAAGACGAAAGTGAAAGCCATTGGGAAATGTAGAATATTTTTCTCAGTGAGTAAGGAGTTGACGTTCCAGATGTTGTCGTTGACCGCGACGATGGGATCAGTCGCCCAAGACTGGTGCAACGGAAGGAAAAAATACTGATAACCAGCCAAAACGTCCTTGATGACATTGATACCCCTGTGATTAAGGTTATTTTTCGTTTTGCAGGTGGCTACATTTATAGGCACAATATATCTACGTGTAGCGCATTTTGAGCACAGTTTTATGCTAGATCACCCACATTTGCACCACGAAAAATGTAACTGTTTACGAGATATTCTGAAGGAGTAGTCTGAAGGAATATCGAACGCAGTCTTAAGGCTTATATATTTGATATTTTTCTTCATTTTCATTATGTTGTTTTTTGTTGTTACCTTCATTTTTATTTGCTATTTTTTTATTGTGTTTGATTAGACTTGGGTTAGAGACTTGTCAAGGATGACGCGCACGTGAGAAGATAGCGTTTAGGTATAGACTAGCTTCGATATTCACCCAATTCATCTCTTGTTTAGGAGCTTCATTTTTGTGCCTCTTGGCTGTTGTTATTTGTGCCCTTTCTGTGACGGCCATTCTGCTGTGACTTATGATATATTGCAGGATAATTGTTGTTCTTGAGTTCGGTCACTACGTGGTGCTCCATTCATTCTTAAACATAGAGCTTCTGACACAAATGAAGTTTATTCATCTTAGAATAATTGCTTTGACAATTTTTCCAGACGTGGTATATGCATTGGTAATTGATAAAGCATTTGATTCGATTTACCTTTTCCTCCATAAGTCTCCCAGGAGATATGTGCAAGAAATAGTCTCAAAATGTTACTTATTGAGGCCTATAATTCTCGCTAGTATAATTGCTATTTTGGAATATATCCTAGAAAGTAGAGTTCAAATTGATGATATTTCTATTGAAGGATATCAATAAGCGATTCTTAAATTTAGAAATATAAAATAGTCTCATAAAGTGTTAATTCTTTAAACTAAAGTTGAAGTTAAATATACCTTTTTGAGCAATTGTTGCATTTTGATTACCTAAAGCATTATATTTTACCTAGAGCTCATGTGTTAGAAAGAAGATATTCCTTGAGAAGATTTTATGGATACCTCATGAAGAATTCTATCTACTTTACGGCTGTCATTTGGCAACGATTAATTGGTTTCTGCCTGTATTTCAGAGAAGGTTTGTCAATTAAACGTAAAAATGATCTTGAACAATCGCAGGGAATAATTGTTGCTGATATAACTTTAGATGGCAGGAACATATTCATAGTCCATAGTGACAGTTTACCGCAGTCTTCATCAAAACAGCGAACAATTTGAGGTTTTCCTGGTCAAATTGCAAATGGTTGTTACCCGTTTCAGACAGGAGAAGCCAACTGCATTAATCATGACAGGACATTTTAATTGTAGATCGTCTCAGTGGTGGGAGGGGATCGAGCGATGATGATTATCCAGAAGTAACTGTTATAGGCAAATTTACGAGACAAATGCACTCGTTTTTTATGAACATCTTCATAAGAGACGAATACTGGGCAGTCGGATTGAATTTTTGAAAAAGGCAAGAACTCGAAAATTACTTGAAAATCCATTGATATGATTGACTGGCTCACATAATAATTTAGGACACGGAAAAAATTTCTTAACAGCAATGTCATGAGCATTTGAGACATCGCCAAAAGAATCATCGACAATTGCCTTTGTTTGCAGTTGTGCTGATAGCCCTCTACAACAAGTTTCTGATGGAAAATTTCTTGAAAAACTAAACATAGAAACCAGAATTTCTAAGTTCATGACACCGTAATTAAAGATCTCCTAACTAAGAAACAATGATTATTGCAATCTCATCCTTATGAGATTGCTGCAGACGTAGAACTTGGAGTACTTAACGTCCACCCCGGAATCAATATATGCGCTTAACGTATAAATAATGTACAGTCAAAGGCCCTAAATTTTACGTGTCTTTGTGGTGAAGATGTGTTCCACAAATTTAGCTAAAAGAACAAATCTTATCTGTTTACCTCGTTGCAATTCATCTTTAACGAATATGACCATAAATACGGATAAAGTTCTACAATCAATTTGCGCCCTTGACACAGACAAATCTCTAGTAAATATTTATAACAATATATCAGTTCATATGTTAAATATTTCGATAGAATGAAGAAGCTTGAAAATGAACCGGAACATGTGTCTTTACTCGTAATGATGTGATGATTCGATAGTTGAGCCCTTCAGTTTTATATTCAAAAATTCATTCCAGACATGAAATATATCATTCTGCTTGGGAAAAGGCAGATGTCTCTTGCAATAAACTAAAGCCTCCCATCCAGTCATTTTGCTAGGATAATGAAAATAATAAAAAGCCTGAGCACAAGCATTTTGATTGCAACTTGACTTTCAATCAAATCTTCAAAGTTTTAAAAGAGGCCTTCAGCCAGGCAAGGAGGGGAATTAAATGATAGGTTTTCTATGCCAGAAATTTTCTAGGATTGTGTTGGACCAAACTTTTCAAATAATTTGTGGGACTACACCTAGACTACGGGCGGTGTCGTTTACCACAAATTTGATCCGGAAATGCGCTGAACATCTACGCCATATTTTTAATAATCTAAAAAATACAAAGACTTATATTTTATATTTTACAAGAAGATACCACAAGGAGCACGAGGATACATTGTAGTTTATACTACTGAGTTTGGAGGAGGAATGGAAATTCTGCAGAATCGATTGAAACATATCTTTTAGAATTCAACAAACGCTAGTGTTATTAGATGATTGCTTTACTTGGTTCAAAAGTTAACCCCTTATCAGCATACAAGATTACGAAAACAAATATTTCATTTTAGAAGGTGAAAAGCCGTAGGACTTAGAGTTTTCCATCATATCTCCTCGTGTTGTTTTTTTGAGAAGTACCTTTCCATGCACCTGTTATTGCACGGAAATTTGGGCATTGAAAAGATTCAAGCTTTTCCATATAATATTCAGTGGTTTATTACTTATATGTTATTTCATATTGCTTGAATCAAAAGCTGTGCAACTCAGGTAAATTAAAGGAACATCTTTTTAAAACACTCTCTTCAGATGTCACTCTCTCCTCTGCTATGATAATCAAGCCGTTAGCTACAGCTGTCCATGTTATTTGTAAGTACTTATTTCAACAACATTATCTGTATATTTTATTGCTTCAACTTCCAGCATTCCAGGAAATTTGCTTGCAGAAACTCAGTAGCACAAACAATCTACAAATATTATTTCGCTTTATTCCTTTCTTTATGGCTTCCTTTACTCCAAAATTGGCACTGTAACTATATTAACAATTGATTTCAAAACAGCAAATCCTTCATCTTTTCTTAGTTTGAGCTAAATCACCAGCATAAAAAGAGATATTCATGAAGCTGAATATAATATTTGTTAGATTGTTAATTCGAGCGCTTATTCGAGGATTTTACGGTAAGCACACAACTAGCCTCTCCTGCTGCCTAATTTAAGAATAAAACGATAAAGCAAAACTTCCTTGTATTTTTCTTCCTAAATTCTTTAGAGCATGCTTCATTGGTTCATGACCAAAATGGATAGTTCCGTATCAGTAAGGTAAATTTATAAATAAACATGCGGAAAAATTCCCTCAAAACCACGGCGGAAATCCAGCTAACCTTTATATGAACAATGTTATAGTTTATTTGCTCAGTTTAAAACCATTATCATTAAACCGCTTTATCATCATTAAAGCTTCAGTCACAAATGCTGCCGATTCTTTGGTTCTAGTACATTTTCAGGTATTCATTATCAACACTTTCTTTTTTTCAAAACGATTACTTCCTCATTTTAATTAGGGGTTGAATTCTTGGTCGGGACACAAGTATACTTCGTATTTGCAGCAGTACATGGTGGAAGGAGAAGATTTTATACCCGTTCTTGATTAGGCAAATTCATCCTTTTTTCTAAGTCGTGAAGACAATTAACTCCAGTCACAACAGAACCCAGCCTTTTACTAAATTGGTAGCCATTCCAGCTGATGTTGTTAACATATGACTAGCCAACAAAAGTAGCACTTCGTTCTTCAACAAGAGAATTTACGAGAAAATGGGTCATGAAGTACCAAATAAATCTTTATATAGAATAATGACTCTTATGTACACAAACAAAATCCACTTTCTTCATTTCAACTTTTGCTTCAATTCATCAAATTATTTCGGAGCCATTGATTCGCTTCGTTTTAAGTGTTCGTCAAATAAAAGTTTAGCCAAAGGATTTAGCCGAAGTGACTTCATTAAAAAATTACATTATTACTGATCACTGCTAAATGATTGTTTTAAATTAAAAGTTAACTTTTCGGTAGTATTAACAACATCCTATAAAAATATCTCTAACAGAAACAGCATTCTGCATTTGTACGGAAGAAAGAAGTAAGTGAAATTTGAATGTAAACAAACAGTTTGACAAAGAAGTATGAAATAAATTGAAAAAATAGTTAACAACTTTAAATGTTTCTAGATAATTTATGTTGGCTTGAAAACATGGCTTATACATTCATCGGCACATTGTACCGGGGTCAAAACATGGGAATGATATTGGCTATTAGCGCCCTCCCACTGTAAGATATATGATATCTCTCTTGTATCACATAAGGTCATGGTGCATGGACCTTGGGTGTGTGGTTGTCAATGATAAACTTAGCGGTCATTTTGGCAATGTTGAGCATGAGTTACAACTTACAGAGCTATTACGTATCCATGAAACATGTCTCCTTTTCGTAAAAGCAACTCTGAAAATTACTTTGATAATTTCTTTCTCAACTAAGGCTCTGTTCTTTAATCACCTGTTGTTAGTCATACTTTATGCATTAGTAACTTTTCACTTCCACTTACATACAACTCAGTTCCTTCCAACGATTCCCAGAAACACACAAAAAATCAACGATTCTTATCGTTCTTGGGAATGATAAATTATGTTGAGAATGGTTAATGAGGAACTTAGTTGTATAAAGCTTTCACCTTAGTGCCAGAGCCTTTTAGGAGTCCAAATGCACGGCAGAGAAAGGCTCCAGGCGTTTTTCCCACCTTTTATTAAGCGCCTCAATACTGTTCGTCGAACCTGATTAACTAAAAAGTGCCCTAACCCTAGCCCTAACCCAAACCCAAATTCTAACCCTTCAGATTACTCTGATTAGGCTTACCCTAATGCTACAAAGTAAAGAAAGTAGAGAGAGATTCCACTTATCGTACAGTTCAATCCAAAATAGAGCTGGCTAGTTGAATAATTTGAAAGTTGTTAAGATGATATTTATTAAAGAAAGATAAAGACATGGCTCTCTTTCGGGGCAGGACGAAGTGCTTGCATGTTAGTGTTTGCGTTAACTCTTGCCGCCTCGGAAACTTCATTGGACTAAATTCGCATCTCACTCTTCATCCTCCTTTTTTGCCCTCCACTGAATCCAATCAGCCCTCTCTCCTTTTCTTTATTTTCATAATTTATCTGCTTCCCTGATATTTTTCTTATCTAGTTTGTGTTTTCTGAAAAAGAAACAAACGAAGAAGAAAAATGAAAAAGAGTTTGTATTCATTCTGGATTTGGATTGCTCTGGTGATATCTTGCTTAAACGGCTGCTTGGCAATTTGTAAGTTTAAGAGTACACAAATTTGGGATTCACTTAAATTTTGCTACCGTTGTGATTCTCAATCAATATAGCTTTTTCTTTCAAGTTTTTTTGTCAATGTAGAATACCAACGATGTTTGCTATTTTTCTCTTAAGTGAGTCTGTAAAACAGTATTATATAGTGACAGTATGATTAAAAGAAACAATAATTTTAAAAGCCTTTTTTAAATAACACAAAAAACGATTTTTTAGGACCTTTTTGGCATATTTTTTATTAATTGCGTAATATTATATAACGTTTATTTTCAGAAAAGACACAGTAAAATCATAGGAAAGGAAATCAATTTGATGTTTTGTTTCTAGCATTGTTGGAATATTTTGTATATATACACTTTCATTCGGGAAGTACTGCACCGGCTTGACGAATTAGTAATGGCAACAGCGTTGTACACAAGCTGTTCATTTGAATCATATTATTAAAAACCAATCAAACAAAACTACAAGCCACCGACAATACTTTCAGTTCAGATTTTGGCAAAAATCTATTTTCAAAAGTAAAAAATGTACAAGTTTTATTGTACAGTCTCAGAGCTTTGAAGTTGATCAATAGCTTTTATGGGTTCTGTCAAACGAATCGGAAATAATAAGAAAAGCGTTTGCAAATTAACGTCTAGTTGTTGGAGAACACATCATTGACAAGTAACACCTTTTTGGCAACTTTTGATAGTTTGTAGAAAGTAACACATTTTTGGCTGTTTTCGTGACACTTTGCAGGTACCCTCTTAACCAAAGCTCAAATTTCGCGTTTTCACAATCGTCAATACTTTTTAGATATAAGAAAACTTAAAAGTTCTTCTGCAGTTCTTAAAAAGTTCTTAAACGTGTTTAATTAATTGCCACCTAAACGGTCATTTCAAAGCTTTTACGTAACTTCCTCAGCTTTTTTAATATTCGTTGGATAAAAATTTATGGCGGCTGTATTGCCATTCTCTCTAGCGGGTGCTGCAATACCTTCTGAAAATAAGTGTATATATTGTTAGGCATTCATTACATCACATTTATATGCATAAATTGAAGACTCTTTTCTCTTTCTTCAAATTTGTAGCCTGTGACCAGAATTTTACAGCAAGTTATGGCGTGGTGTCTTTCAAAACGAATCCCTCGTACTTTTTAACGGAATGCCGTTATATAATCAAAGCTCCATCCGGGCACCGTGTTCAGCTTGAAATTACAAACATTACGACTATTTATGGAAACTGTTATTATGGCTCATTGCGACTATTCGAGGGAGAAAATCCTGACATTGTGAATGACATTCCCGCTGCTACATATTGCAGAACGAACATCGATCGTCCCACATATCTCTCTCAAGCCAATGCCCTTACGGTTCTGCTTACGCGAAGAATTCGTAACAAATTTATGTTCCCAACAATGTATTACAGACGAGTGCAAGGTGATCTTCTTTACGAAGAAATTCAATTCTGGTTTGATACTTCATGAGATATTTGAATGCAATTATACGATCTTTGATTTTAACCCTTTTATGTATATATATCTATATATACATTCTCATAAAGTTTGATAAAACAGACAAACTACAAGACGATGCCACAGGGAGCATGGAAATACATAACAACCCTGTGACCATTACATTAAACATGTTTACTTAAATTTTACTTAAATTCACATTAAATTTTACAAATTAAATATTACAGATTACTAATAACAAATAACAATTACAATTATCAAGTAAACAACAACAAAAACACATTGACTTAAACAAACAAAAAAAAATGAAAGACAAATTACATAGGAAAGAATATTTCTAAAACTACTTAATAAACCATTCAGAGGTCTGGGTTTATCATAATGCTGCCTCGTGGATTTTTGTATTTGAATTCAAAGATAATTTTTCATGCCCATAAAGAATTATCTCTTGTTTGCTCCTAAGGAGAAGACGCTGATGTTTTAAGGATCAGTGTGAAAACTTTATCCAATGTATAACAAGAACACTTTAGAATCTTCGTTCGAGAAACGCATGACCATGCACTTCGAACATTAATCAAAGTGAAGCTACAGAATATATTTAGGTGTGGATAATGAGCAACTGAGAAAAGGGAATTGGTTCTTTGACCAAAAGGAAAAGCTATAGAAGACAAGAAAAAAATTAAACTCTCAGTCCATGCGAGTCAAATGTAGAGAGATACTGAAGGTAAACTTGCTTGCCAAGTAAAGTGAGCATTTTTGTCAATATGTACGTTTGTACACTTTGGGTGCTTTTCCATTATTTTAATGAAAAAAGGTTCACAGAACCAAATCTCACATTTTGAAGCATGAAATGGTCTAAAACTCATCAATTTATTTTTTTTCGGTGCAACCTGACCAGTTATGTTTCAATGTTTCTGCTACCAATCAGCAAATTAAAAGTGCGAACTAAGAAAATTCTTTTCTACGGAAAACCTCTAAGGAACATTCTAAGAATAACAAATAATATTGAAAAGTCTTCTCCCTTGAATAAAGCCTTCAAAAGTTGTTTAAATCACAATTACCTCTAGTCCCACTGTGAACTGCCAAGTTTTCTTTTGAACGTGCCCGAGGCTTCATTGGTCTATATGTATAATTTCAGTCTTGACTGACAGCTGAATTTAGTGGCGACTTTGCAAGGTAAGTTGATTATGATATTTGCACAGATACAGGCAAAGACAATCAGCGTATAAGTATTTCTTTTCTTTTTTTATTAAAAAGGTATCTAGGCCAAGATGGCCTCTAACCTAATTACAACGTAAAAATAACAATAAAAGTTGATAGAATTACTGCTACAACAGCTTGTCAAACGTTAATATCAACTCAATTTAAAATAATACAATTTTTTATTACGAAACCACAAAAAAATTAAACATACGCAATATCAAAAAGCTATTTTATAGCGAAAAGTCAATTTAATTAACTAATAATTAGAATCCGGGGTTTGAATATCTTGGGAATTAGTATTGTTATACTGTTCTTTTAATCTTGAATCAAAGCATTTATATAGAAATGTGGCAACTAAATTTAGACATTTTAAGTCTTCTTGGCTTAATATCCAGATAAATCTGATTCCAACTTGTTAGCTGCTTTAAATTAGGGGCTGTTCGTTGGAGTTTATTAAAAGATAGCACCTTTTATCAGCGAATTCTGGACACACCATGAGTAAATGAAATTCATCTCCTAAAACCCTTAAACTTGTCGCTAAGCAGAAACTGCAATGTCGTTCTTCTCTAGGGATAGGGTTTTTTCCAAAACGGCCAGTTTCTACTTCTAGATTATGAGGCTTAGCCTTAACCGTGAAAGGCATCGTCTTTTGTTAGAGTCTTTGACAATTTCAAGATAGGATTCGAATTTGATAACCGTTGTATTTTGAGCATATGTACATAATTTCTTATTCAGTACAACGTGCATTTTAAGCTTGTTCACTATTTCAAACTAAACTATTGTCCATGCTTTTATCTGTGCTTTGACTTCAAATTCTTGCATGATTTATTCGATGAAATTGCAATTAAAATTAACTTGAAAATCGTGAAAAGCTGCAAAACGAGCAATTTCTATGGCAACTTTGATGCACTTGTTGCACTCTCGTTTTTGCAGCACTTGAGACGACCTGTTTGATTTACTGATGAATCTCTTGCTTAATGGATTATGTATCTGTTGCCTATTTCCAGGATACAACATGGTGTTCAATCTATCTGAAGGCTTCATTCCCTCGCCAAATTTTATGAACAGTCTCTTACCGCGAAGCCAGTCGTTCATCTACCGCTTGGAAGGAGCGCCTGGAATGAAAGTCCAGCTTTTCTTCTCCTACATGAACCTTGGGTCGAGCCAAACTTGCACTGGAGCACGTCTTTCGATTTATGAAAGTCCTACGGCAACAGGCGTGCCAGCACAAACAAGATGTGGCAGAAACACGACATCATATTTGTCATCAACGAACATTATTGCCTTGAAGTTGGAGAACTGGGCATCGCTTCAGGAAGCCGAGTCTGGATTCAAAATATTTTACCATATTGGAACGAGAGGCGGGTTAATTGAAGTTGCACGTATTTAATTCAGAATATTGTGTAGATTATACAGAAAAGATTGTGTGGATTAAAATCCTGCATGTTGCAATTCGCAACTTGAATATAGCTAATTTCCTTTTTATTTCACAAAAAAACTTCGTCACTATGTTACTTGAATCGTCAAATATGGTTCACTTTGGACCTATCCATTCCGATGTTTCTATTCAATTCTGTCGCCTTTTACAATGGCAAATCAGCAGTAGATTCCACCTGAGAGTCGTTGTGAGCTGATTTTAATGCAATTTCTAAACAGGCTTGAAATCAAGGATTGATGTTACTTGTCTTTATCAAATTGAAGAAAATATTCCCCCGTCTAGCGTGAAATACAACAACAAGCATAAAAGATTCATAATATTGACAATTAAAAAGTGACTTGAGTAATATAATTTCAATATGGTACTCTTTATTTTTTCTAGGTTGTGCATACAACATGAATTCATCGCAAAGTGAATTCAGTTCTCCACTGTACCCATTCAATTACCCAAAGAATACGAAGTGTAAATATGAGATTACAGTAAACAAAGGACAAATGATTTTCATCGATGAACAATATTATGAGCGGGTATATGGAAACTCTTTGAAAGTTTACGAAAAAAGCGAAGCAGATGGTGCAATAATTGAGACTGAATTGCTGCGTTTTGGTGGCTTTACATACTGGTCAATCGGAAATAGAATAACACTTGTGTTTAAGAGTGGTAACGAAACTTCTGGCAAAGGATTAAGAGTGCGTTACATTGCCACAAACGGTAACATTTTGCCTCCCTTTTAGAAAAAAAACTTAATAGATATACAAAAAATTTATTCTTATAAGCATTTTTTTATCATCAAAAATATTCGTTATTTTAAAATTTTCATTTATTTTCATGAAGTTAGGAATTATGATTTTGATCAAATATAAACTTGTTGACAAATGAAGAAATTTGGGCAACTTAGAAAAAGCAAACACTTCCAAATTATCAATTTTCTAATGAGTCCTAAAGTGCACTAAAATTGAAATAGATACCCGCTAGAGAAAAAGAAAATACGTGGAAGTAAAAATCTTGCCAGTCAAGCATTTGCAATCTTTCCCATGACCAAATTCAGGTTCTTCTGTGTTTAAATAAAACAAAATGGACTTTACAGCAACAATTATACCTGATAAAAACACACTCAGAAATTTTTCCTAACTTATATTTCATAAAAGCAAGTGTATTCTTTGCCTGAGCACATAATCAGTGTCTTTTTTCTTTATCGAACGTTATTCAGAAGATTAAGCGAATCAGAATTTTATAGCTGCGTGTCTAATTGATGGAGTATTTCCAAAACAAACAATTAATTTCCCTTTCAGTTAGGAAAGTTGAAATCAAAGATAATTTTCGGTTTATACAAATTTTCTGTATGTGAACTTAATTGAAACGTAATGAGACATGAGTGAAGTGAATTCTCGAAAAAAATTCTCGAAAAACTACGGATACATAAGCTTGCTGTGAAAATTAACTTGAACAATTCCAATGATTGTTAGTTTCTTTCCGAAAAAATGCAGAGAGATTCTTTCTTTCTGCATTTACCTTTGAAAGGACAATGAGCCTTAGGGACCATCAATGAAATTCTTAACGATTTAGAATACTTTGACATCACTATAAACTACAATTTTGAAGTGAAAAAATATTTTGGATTGACTTTTGAAAAATATAAAGATGAAGAATGGATAAAAAAGATTAGTAGACAAATATTGGCTACCACGAAAATTTATTTCCAACGATTTTTCACTTAAGATTTCAAAGCTAGTCAATCCAAGCTTATCTTTGCTTGCTACCTTTATTAGGTTGCAATTTGTTCAGTGAAAAAACATATGGGAATGTGCTGTCGCCATTGTTCCCTAACAAGTACCCAAATGGGGTCACTTGCAACTATGCTTTTGGTGAAAAGACATCCAGACGTGATTTCAGAATAAGTGTACGCATTCGTGGACTGGAATTGGAAAGCAGTCCGTCGTGTAAAGATGACAGTCTGAAAATTTACGATGGTGGAAATGATACTGCTGTGCTTCTTGACAACCTCTGTGGCACATCTCGTTATAAGACGGTCATGTCATCCACAGGAAAACTATATATGCGCTTCAAATCGAACGGGATGAATCGCTTCAAGGGATTTCAAGCACATTTCACATATACTTACCTAAGTAAAGCTTCTTTTTCATTTGTCATATTTCCATTTTCATGTCCAATAGCTGATATCTTAAATACCTGTCATTATTTCGTTTCTTTTTCTTCGATGTATGTTAAACAAGCTTCCCGCTTTCTTTAATATTTTATTCAAATGACATACTCTAGACCTTTACTTCTCGGCTAGTGAGTGAATCTTCTATTTTATTTTCTAGCATTAGACTATCGAGTTCCTGAATGGAAAACAGGCACGTTGATGTCTTGGAACCATCCTTTCAATTACCCACATAGAACGTCGTCAGTAAAACGCATTTCTACTACTTATGGAAACAGAATCATCATTATATTCACGCATTTCGATTTTGAAAATAGCACAGATTGCACTAAAGACAGCCTAAAGATTTATGAAGGGTCAGTTACAACCGAATCCCTGATGTCGACGAGATGTGGAAGTAATGGAGCTCCATATGTTTCCAATTCAAGCAACGTTATTTTGCAGTTTACATCAGATGAAAGGATTTCAAAGACTGGCTACCGTGCTAATATTGAAGGTTAAATTATTTTTAGTTATCCTCACTTAATTCAAAATTGGAATATCAAAATATTTATTTCGCTGCAAATTTCTTCACGCCAATAAATTTCTGTGAATGTTTTTGTTGACCACACGATAGTGGAATGTAGAGTGTGGAAGCGTGAGAAGGCAATACAGATTATGATTGGCTGCTAAAGGATTGATTTCTCATGCGAAATGTGAAAAAAGTTAAACTCATTTTAACTTTTTTCGAAGATAAATTTTTCGCCAAAAATCCTAGCAAAATTTAACAGTGCATGTACAAGACGTATTTCACGCGCACTTTGCATTTTGCTGACTTTTTTTTCACTTGAGATTGGGCTTTAAACTATGATGACCATGGTGGCCCAGACAGTGGCATATAATTTTATCAAAGCAAATTTTTCGCCCTATTTTGAATCGGCTTACTTTTAGGTGTTCTATGAAAAAGAGATTTGAGGGAAAACGATATCTTATAAGAATAACTTTGAGATTTCAAAACGCTTATTCCAAAAACCTTGTCATTTTAGAGTTTTTGATGAAATCTCGCATCAGGATCTCCGTAACGCTTGCTGCACCAATTACCCTCCTTTGAATTGCATGCATTTCTCAAGCCTCCCATACCCTGGAATATTATTTGATCAAATGCTTTCTAAAACTGATATCTTTTCATAAATCTTGATTTGTATTTTTGGGAATTAATATATGTTTTCAGAACTTTATTATCTTCAGAGTGTCACCGTTAGAGACTGTCAGAGAAATAGCTTTTATATGTTATAAAATATTTGCCTTTTTCAAAGCTATTGACAAAGCATTGTCAAATATTTTCTTGAAACTATACGACTGATTACTTTTTCCAAGATAAGAATAAAAAATTGATTAAAAAACGTAACAAAACCGATCGCAATAGTTAAAGATGATTTACCTACAGTATTCTCTTAATTTTCTTAAGAGCCAACATTTTCATAAGAAGACTTGGTAATTTTCTTGTATCCGCAATAGAGTTGAAAATTGTTTACATTTTTGTTCTTGAAAAATTATGCATAGAAGTTTAATGTTTGATTATTTCGATCAATTGATAACAATTTCTAAGGCCGTTGAAAAAAGCAATAAAATGGCTTCACATCCTCATCAAAAAAGCACATCTTCGTACAAAGTAAATCAAGTGGTAAGGATGAGACAATTTTTGTACCTTAACCTCCGAAGATTAAATAAGGTAAATGTCAACAGCAACACAGACATTGTTTCTCTATTCTACATTGTTGAAAGTGATTACTGAATAAAGAACATCCAATTCCTAAGCAAGATGTCTGTCTGGTAACTAGAAAACCAGTCACAAAAAAATTGCTTATAAAAATGATTTTACACGACGGTTAATATGTCAATAAAATGTTTCTCTTTTAAAATACCGACTTATTGTTAACACTATTGTTTTCATCGCAGTTATATCTTAGATCAATTCCTTTTTTCATTTGTAATATCATTTATCTGCTTTATTTAGCCTGCGGGGGAGCATACACAAGCTACGAAAACCGAATAAAGTTTCCAATGTATTATGGAAGATACCCAAATGGCTCGAACTGTCGATATGAGATTTCTGCAAAACATGGCTTCGGAATAAGAATTGTATTTAACAAATTTTCCCTGGAAAAAAGCCTAAATTGCAAGAATGACAATTTTACAATTTATGAAACGACAGTTTCAATTGGAAATAGAATTGAGTCAAGATGTGGTAAAAACATAAATGTGGATTTCTTTTCAAGTGCAGCAAAAGTGATATTTGTGTTTCGATCGAACGAGAACATAGATGATACTGGCTTTGATGTTACTGTCCAAGGTTTGTCAAATGCTTTAATATTCACTGGTTTTCCAACACTGTTTGTGTTAATTTAAAAGTTGATTAACTGAATAACTCGTTTGATACGTAAACATTGCAAGATGACGCACAAACAAACAAAAATTCCAAATGATACGACGACAAATTCTTAATGCTTTGCTTTATCGTTCCACTCTGAGCGTTTGATGATTTTCTTCAATTCTGAGACTTTAATTCATAAGTTGTGCAAACTTTTATCCTAGTAGGTAACTGTCCGGATATTGTGTTTTATTAGTTTCATTTCTGAAGAAGTCATCAATTGATTGCTGATATATAAGATGTCAGTGTAAGATTATGCAGATAAATTAATGATCAAGTTTACCATGTGATTTCAAGTTTTCAATTTATTAATCTGTCAATGTTATTTTTGTTTTTTCTTTTTATCTGTGGTTAACACAAGAATCTACACACATGCAAAGACGTTTCCCATTCATTGAAACTGTTAACCTCTTCACTGCTGGAGGCAGTATTTTTCTCAAAAAGAGGTCGCTAATATGTAACTGCTTATCATTCAATGATTGTTTTTACGTATTTCCAAATTAACATAAAAATTCCGATAAAACCTTATCTCTGGTCGAGTTACTAGCTACCTGATCTACTAAAGATAATTTCTTGTTTAATTATAGATTTCTGTCGATATTTCCTTCATTTACCTTTCATGTAATTTCTTCTACTATAACAAACAATTAAATTTTTCGGTTTGGACGAGCTGTTTTGTTGTCCGCTCTTTTTGCTTATTCATCTTTTGTATATCTTTACGCCGAAATCGTGTGTCTCACCCTCCAACTTTTAAAAGATTTTCCTTTCTCAAAGAAGGTTCCCGTTTCCTCTCTGAGACAATTTCCTTCAATTGTCTCGTTTAATTCTGATATGCTTCTCGTTTCCCGCATAGTCTATTTCTTGCATGTGAAAAGTTATTTTTGTGAAAAATTGAATCTCACAAATAAATTGAGCGTTTCTTTTTGGTATTTATCAAATCTTTTCTGGCTTATCCGTCTATGAATGCTAAAAATGATAACATTTGTATTCTTGAGAGAATAATATAGAAAGTATATTACAGTGAATATGGACAAAATTGTGTTGTTAGTTAAAGCAACAGCTAAAAATCCTGAATTTGCATTTAGCGGAGCACTTTCTTTTGTAGCATGTAGCCGATTATTCAGAAACGATACTGGAACTTTGTTCTCTCCACAATATCCGTACCCTTATCCAACAAATGCAAAATGCACGTATGTCATTCGACTACCCAAAGGTGCCAAGATCCAGCTGGTTTTTCGCAACTTCTCTCTCTTCTCTGGTCGTGGAGATCGACTAACAATAAATGATGTGCATAAATCTTCCAGCATTGGGTATATGGGCTCCATTGCTAAAGATTATTTAGCGACAGGCAACGAAGTTGTAATCACATTTACATCTTTCTCAAGAGCAGCCTCTATATCTCGTTTCAGTGGATTTCAAATCTACTATTATGATCGTGAAGGTGTCCAAATATTTTTTCTACCTTTCTAAAGTTTCTAGTTTTTCCCTTACTCTAAATGATTCCGTAATACCATGCCTAATTATTTCACAATTCTGTATCTTACATTGCCAGTGACTTCTATCATGTTCCAAATGTGGTAATTCAAAAGAATCATAGATTGCTATTTAATCTCCATTTATAAACATTTCAGTTAGGTGAAGATAATGACTTTATGAACTTCAGTATAGTGAATACAGCACGAGCTATTGTGCCATTTTGTTTAACGATTTTGGAAGTGCCTTCGATCTATTCTCTGTAGTTACAAGAGAATAAGTGTTGTCAAACAGTTAAACCTAAATATGATTCTTTATATATTCCTATACAACTGCTAAGTTCTCTACCTTTATCTTTTCTAATTGAAAGATTTGCTAACGAAAACTGTTTTTGTTCTGAGGTTTTTGTAGTAAGTACAAGCCGTGTTACAACAATGCTCGCTGTACCAATACTGGCGACAGCGGCTATACATGCAGCTGTCCGAGTGGTTTTACTGGTAGAAACTGCTCCGTAGAGATCATTCCATGCAAGTCGAATCCATGCATGAACAACGGGACATGTACAGATCTTAATTTTCATGGCAAACAGACGTTTACCTGCAGATGCAAGGAGGATTTTCAAGGAGACAGATGTCAGATCGGTGAGCAGTATTTTTGTTATTATCAATATGGACCGACCTTTTTTATTGCAAAACAGAATGACCATAAATTGGTATTTTTGATCTTGTTTCTAACGCAGGTCTTCCTTCATTTTCCTAATGATTGACGTAATAACTGAATGTTTATGGGAACACATTTTTAGTAGTACATAATTTGTTTGCATTGTCTCAAATGTTTCCAGATCCTGTTCTTGCCCTTAAAAGGTTTTCAATGATATATTATTAGATTTGGGTTCTTATATGGTTTAAAAATTGTTTGCTTTCTTGTAGTTTTTCAAAAGTGACGAATAATATCGGGACCGCTAAAGCAAACCAGTTCATCTTTGTTGAAACGGCATAAATTAATTAGTCACAATAATTTATGCCATATTATTAGACGGTGGCGTTGCTAAAAAGGGAAAAACGTATGAAATTCGAAGGCTTTTAATTATGTTAATAAATTCTCTGAGCTAAACCAAAAGCAAGAGACAAATTGGAAATTATTACTGAAACTTGTTCATTACATTAACGCCTTTGAATGCTTGACATTACAGCACTATGTCCACGAGGAACGGGTTCTTTAACTGGTTTTGTACCATGTAACGGTATGTTGTATGTATTTTTACTACTTTATGTCAACGAGGCTGCATAATTTTTTCATATTTGCTTTGAACAACTTGATTAAAAGGCAGCAAGTTTACAAAATAGTCGGATATTCATAAGAAAAAAACCAGTTTATTGTTGAGGCTTCGTAATTCCTTTGTGCTTAAAAGCCTCCCAAAAATATCTTTTTGTGTCAAGCAACAAAGTTCGTCATTAACATCCTCACTCTGATGTAAAACTTTCATTAATGGTGGACTCCAAATGCATCTGTTACTCAAGTGCCAAAAGAATAACTGATATTGTTTCATATAAAATGTTACTATATTTTTCATGCTCTGGAAAATTCAGTTGATTTCAAAGCAACTTTATTCTAATCAATTATTTTGATTTTGTTTTAAAAAAAGGGAAAGTCCCTGCTGTATGGGATGTCAAAGTAACACCATCCTACAACGGTGGCAATATCGTTTTTGTCTGCCAGTTCACTACAAAAGAGAAGGATGATCGTGCTCGCTACGAAGTGACATGGTATCAAGGCGATTCCATCAAACCATTTCGAACGACAATATTAAAACAGACTGAAAACAGGGATACGGTGCAAAATGAACACGAGGCTGGAAAATGGCACTTTCGTTTGGGAAAAACGGTGGGATACAATCATTTTTCACCACCAGCCTGGTATTTTTCTAATTTCAAAATAGAAAACAAGATGAGATGATGATATATAAACAGTAGATTTATGAATATTCTTTGTTTCTTTAGAATCGACTTTAGCTACGTTCATAGTCAATTTGAAGGGCAATTAGCTGCGCGAACAAGTCTTTTATATGGAAAGAGGAAGACCATTTCCTGTTGTATTAGACACTGAAAAGTTACTTGGTCTCTATAAGAAATTTCCTCTTATTTAGTATTTTAAAAAATGCCCTATATTGCAAGAAAGAATTTTTTTATTTATGATCATTACTCGTCAGAACTGCCTCCTGGAACAAGCCAATATCCAAATTAGGCATTTGTTTCCATAATATTCCTAAATTAAAATCTTTCTATGAGTTATAAGGAGAAACGGGATTTGAAACAATATCCTTTATAGTGGTAGCTTTGGGTATTGCAGTACATGCAAGTATAAACAGCAGAGTATATTTAATTGAAAAAATCAAGTATGTGAAATTTCAAGTTTTGTCCCACTGAAAATTTATGAACATAACAATCTCTAATGATTTTCTTTCTTACAGGTTTACTGTCGTGTCAGAAGCTATTTCAAAACGTCTACCACAATCAAGAGCCGAGTTTACGAAAGCAATCGTTTTTATCCTGGCATAAAGGTGTGTTAGTCTACCTTTGTTTATAGCTCTTAAGGTAATTTATATCACCAATCAAATAAGTCTGTTATATTTGAAACTACAATCAAAGGAATAGAAATCAAAGTGAATAAATAAGTAGACAGTTGCCTGATGATCGCATTAAAGATGAACTGACACGCAAAACTATTTTTTGATAAAATGTAGAAAACGATGCATGGAATCTTAATTTCAAGTTTTCGGTAACCGTATTTCCTCTAATGAACGCCGCCCTCTGATAAACGCCGCCCTTTATTGAAAGCCGCACCTTCAGCCAACCATTTGGAAAAAACGCCGCCCTCTGATAAACGCCGTCCCCTATTGAGCGCCGCATCTTCAAAAGCGGCGTTCGATAGAAAACACACCAAACAAGAGGTAAAGAATCGTTTATACGCTTACTATTCGAAAGCCATAAAAGTTGTTATCTCATAAAGACGTGGCCTCTGACGGAAACAGGGATATTGACATTCCTTTATTTGACTTGACATTCTTGACATTTGATTTGACCTTTATTTGATTTTATCCTTTTTCGTCGCATTTTTCTTGTCATTTTTCATTTGAAAAACTTTTCATTTTGTATTGAACGCTACCCTCTGATAAACACCGCCCCCTATTGAATGCCGCATCCAAAATTTCGAATTTTTAAAAAACACCGCGGCGTTCTTTTAGTCCAGTCTGAAGGCACAACGATCGTGCAAAATATGATACCAGCATGAAAACTTCACAACTTATGTAGTTTGAGGTGTAGAATAAAATGCAATATAGACCCAAGCCGAGAAATGCCGCTAAAAACTATTTTTTGAACATTTTACTTGGTCCCAGTCCTCATAATCATTTTAAACAGGTCAGGTTGAAAAACATATGTATGAACCTTTAACCTGTATAAATACTATAAAATGAAAAAAATGAAAATAATGAAATAAGTCACTTGCGAACGATTTAACAAAGGTATATCTGCAAAATTTGATATTCATATACAATCTAAAGTTTGAAATGTCATGCCAAGGAAAAAGTGCCTATAAATTGCCCCATATTCTATTTTTAGAACATTGAACTTGGTCCCAGTCCCCAAAATGTAAAAATGACTTGCGAGCGATATAACGAGAGCTTGTCTGCAAAATTTTGTAATCATATACAGTCTGAAGCAAAAAACAGCATGGCAAAAAAAGAAGGTCTATGAATTGCTCCATTTTCTATCTTTAGAACATTGAACTTGGTCCCAGTCTTCAAAATGTAAGAAGCATATTTCCACAAAATTTGGTATTCATATCCGATCTAAGGTGTGCAATGTCATGGCAAGAAAACAAGATCCCTGAAGTACCCCATCATCTTTTCTAAAACGATTAACTTGGCTGCATTCCTCAAAATAAAAAAGTGATTTGCGAGCGATGTAGCCTGTGTATCTCCGCAATTGGTAATTATATACTGTACGATCTGATAGATGAAGTATGTTGCAAAGTCTAGTTAAGACCACGAATTTCCCCCATTCTCATTTTATAATCAAATACAACCTCTAGAAGTTCCATTAACGAGGGCATAAAATATAAACATTGGCTTTGCCTAGGCAAGATCTGTTACTCTCTTGTGTTTCTTTTACAGGACGCAATGCAATTTTGCAAAAAGTCTCTCACCTCATCTAGCTTTTTTTTCAAATAAATTCAAAATACCATTACTTCGATAGATTATTTCTACATCCATATGAATCATGAACTTTATTTTATTTTGGGTTTGCAAACTCATCGGTTCACCCGAGTTATAGGAGTGCAGCGGCCTGGGAGTTGAAAATTTTACTAAGTTGCTTCCATGCAAATAGCCACCTGATCGTACCAGGTTCTTAACCCCTGAAAATCTTTCATGTGATTGAATAAAGAATATGCTGAAAATGAGTGACTTGAATTCGAAATTTTTGCTGCGTATATTGCAGTTAGTCAGGATCAAAGACCGAGACAAACTTTTTCGGGGGGGAGGGGGGCAGCCCTGATAAATTAGTCTAACAGCAGCCGTATTTAACAAAATAAAAGTCTTTTACTTAGGTTTCCAGAGAATAAAAATCCTGCCAATATTTTTATCGCTACCATTACATTCTTTTTTATAAGAAACACTAAATTTAAGTTCAGGCTGACTGTTTTTAATTTTTTCGAAAATCTGAGGCTGGATTGTTCTTAATTTGTTCTTAACTTAAGAGGATGTAAGCAGTGCGATTGCTAGCTTTTTCGCTCTAAGGAGGTTTTCAGGCCTCATTTGCCAACAAAGTGAGTGAGACAGCCTTAATTTGCTGACAAATTTGAATATTCACCGAAAAAGCACCCACACATCGCTAAAAATCCTCGATTTTGAGAAAAAACGTTGTTAAAAATTGCATTTTGCAGAAGCACAGCCTCAGCTTCTTCTTAAATTATTCTTAACTTTTGACCAGTTTTGAGGCTCGTGTTCTTATGAAATTGTTCTTGTATAAAAAAAGAGTGTATATGATATGTTGGCCGGGCCCGCCATACACTGGGTCCTTAAACGCGTTGAATAATACGATATTCTTGCAAATCTTATTATGAAAGGTTTGTAAGGGAGTCAGAATATTAAAAATATAACAATGTGTCAAGTATTTATGGTCGATATGCTTTCATTTTAGGTCAAGTTGATTTTGCGTGTTAGTTCACCTTTAAGCGTAAACTAGGTGTAGCAACTTAGAACAGTCCTGTTCTATTCGACAGATAGGGTATGTACAGCTCTGGCTTCACGTTATGAAGAACTTTATGGTAAATAGTAATTTTGATTAAGTAGATATTTATAATTTACTTGAGACAGAAAGATGTTCTGTGTAGTCGCTGTATCAAGGAATCCTCTCCATCATACCATTTTCAAATAGTTTAATATTCATCAAAAAGGTTGTTTGATTTCCTTGCCAATGCAGGTGCAGCTGCCCAATGCAAAGCGACACAAAATCAGGGAAGCAGGGGAACCACTGAAGATAACCGTATCACGTACAATTGATGTTGTTTGCTCAGGATCGAAGCAATGTTCTGTTCGCTTGTATATTAGTCATGACAATCCGGAGATATTACTGAGCACCTGTTCGGTGTTGCTTGATAACAAGCGTTCTTCGCAAACAATCGAGGTTCATGCAAAAAGAGATTTCATCGACGATGGTGACAAATCGGTTACTTTGAAAATGGCAATCGACCAAGACACAAATGCCACTGAATGGCTATCTCACCAAGAATTTGACAATATCAATGTAGGTAACAAGTTCTTAACCTGACCCTTGAATTTTCTAATGCACGAAGTTCATAAATAAAGATATTTTAATGTTCTGCTATCGCTTATCAAGACATGATGTCAAGGTTGTTTTATTTTGCCATCTTAGATTGATGTCATTGATGTTCCAACTGCAAGGTGCTGGTCAAATGGTGATCCACGGATTCTCACTTTCGATAAGCAGTAAGGGATCTCTTCAATTTGCTATACAATAGCATTTTGGGGTGTATGCCTCCTGGTGCTAATTAACTAATCTATTAAAATTAGTACATCAGGGAGTTATTGCTTACGCGTAACCTCAAAAATTTCGGTAAAAATAAACGTAAAATTCACCAACTTTCAGCTATCAGTATCAGTTTCAACAAATGAACAATAAACGCATCAGATAGGCGTTTTTGTCGAACTAATCTTCCAAATAGGGGAAGAAAGTAACAATGCAAGCAGTAAGGAGTAATGATCCCTCAAAAAACATGCCATAGACATAAGAAAGTCAAGCATTAGGCTACATTCCCCTATCAACGAGAGGGAGTTTGGCCTTTGGTGCATCAGTGCTTTTTGCTCAACGTACCATAAAACTCTCACACAAAAGCCCAAAATAACTAATATTGGGAAAGCATTGATACCTTCCTCAATTGACGATGAAGCACAAGTCCCGAAAGCATTAAAAACACTGAAGGCATAAATGATGCCATAGAGGCATAGGAAATTCTCATGATGCTGGAAAAAATAAAACGGTTAGGGTTATACTGAGAAAGAACCTTTTGATATAAGATAATAAATGAGGGCAGGTGGATTGAGAAAAAAACAAACAGCAAGCATGTAATAAAGCTTTGCTTAGCAAAGTTAGACCCACATTATGTCAAGCCTATATATCCTGCTGGTTTAACCAAAAAAATGATACGAAACCACACACCTTACCCAAGTATTGAAAACCAAATATTCTCAGGAGGACAAATGCCTTCACAACATTGCGTATATCTTGTGGAAGGGGAACAAGTAAACAGTGAAGAAGCATGTCATGAGAGACAATAATAGTTAGCAAACATTTCGAATTGTAAGTTAATTAAATAATGAGCGCCCCTCGTGAAGTTATCTCTAAATAAATTTCATTTAATCGTCATGATGTTGACTTACACAAAATAAGGAACAAGGGACAAACAATCTGTAAAAGCCTTGTTTTTATGTTTGTTACAGTTACCGGAATCCTGATCAAAGATTTGTCGGACCTTTTTTCTAGGAAAATTACCAAGTTTGAAACTTACCACGTTTAAATTCGATTTATTATTTTCATGTATTTACTTACAGCTTTAACAAATCGATTTTCACAAATAAAGCTCCTCGGTCTTGCAGATAAAAAACGACGACCAAGGAATGCGACTCCGCTATAAGGCAGCATTTATTACCCAAAATTGTGCAAAAACTATAATGGTGGCATATTTTTTATCTTTGGTAGAGCCCCGTCTCCCAGTTGGCCATTTTGGAATCTATCTTCAAAAGCATGAAAGCCGCTTTTGTGTAGACAGAAAAACTTCATTTTTACCTTAGGACTCAACTGGTAACATTTCGAATCGGCAAACTGAGAAAAGGCCACATAAGCACAGGCTCTTTTTCTATCAAAGCATTTTAATTTTGTCTCGTTTTATATCGATTTGAACCATGCCAGGTTAGCAGTAATCGGTCAGAAAAATTTAAATCTTTCATTGACCATATCTAGCCAATTTTGAATATTTCTAAATGATTTTTCAAGTTGAGAATTATTTTATGCCGTTCTTTCAGATAATGTTTTCTTAAAATTAAGAAATGTCAAAAACGGTTTTTGATGGTGTCAAACTTCGGTACTCTATGGAGCACAATGCTTGCAGAAGGTCTCGGTACAATAAGCTGAATGTTCGCATATTTTCCGTGGCATCCACCTCTTCCAAATAAGAAATATGTTGCATAGCAAGCTGTTTCAGACCTTAAGATATATTCAATGAGGGTTCCTTCGGATAATTCAAGATAGGCTTTTTAACAAGAATTGTTTTTGGGGAGAATGGAATATTTCTGTATCGTACGGCAGGAAAATGTAAATTTTTCCTTAATCTTTTATGGACTGCTTGACTCTCCAGGGTTTTTTAGAATAGATTGTGGATTTTTTTAAAAATGCAAAAAGAGACGTTTCCTAGTTTCTTAAGGGCGTGGTCTGCCAAACATTTTTCGTGATAAACCCCCTGATCTCCAGCTATTGGCTAAGTATTTGTCCCCAAACCCCCTACTCAGGCTGAGCCATTAATGCTGTTCAAATTTTTTATTAAGCACGAAAATATGCTAGATATAATTTAACTGTAATATAAATTTGTATTTATATTACATTATCTGTATGTATTTGTTTATAAATTTTTTTAACTTTTTACAGATATTTTGGACACTTCCAACCAGGCGACCATGTTTTTGTCAAAAGCTCTGCACGCAACTTTGAGGTACATAGAAGTTTCAAGCAACATTAGCATAAAATTTTACATTTTGTACATTTTCGCATCTATTCCTCCTTTCGTTTCAATTCGGGACGTTAAGAATGCTAAAGGCCCAAGTCAAAGTCTTTATTTCAAAAGACATTTTTATATAATACTGCGCTGACGAGTTTAGATATTTTCAAGAGGAATGGAGATAATCAAGTCGCTAGAAGGGGTAAGATGTTTGTTGGAAATTATTGTCATTTCAGTATGAGTTTCACTATGATTTTCAGAATGTTTTTAATTTATGCAGGTCCACGTGCGCACATGGCAGTGTGGATCTGTTACATGTAATTGTGGAGTGGCAGCAAAAGAAGGCAATGACACCATCATTCTCGACATGTGTTGGGATGGTATTCCAAGAATTCGATTCTTAAGCAATCAGGAGCCTGCAGAAGGCACAACAGTTAGAAGAGACCCTACTGGAAAGAGCTTCGTGGTAAGAAATTGTTCCATGATAAACAAGGTCTCTTAAAATCTTATGTTAAATATAAACAAGGTGGAGATTTTTAGATAATTTTGACAACAATTATCTTTTTTAATGTAGATGGTATGAAATATGTCTTGAATTGATAAATAAAATTAGCTCTTTTCATCTAGAATTCTGTAATTCAATATAGTGTAAGCAAGTGTAAGTATTATTCATATATTGTAACATGTTGTGAAAATTACTTTTGTAATTAAAAAGAATGGGAAAAAACAAAAGTGCTAATTCAAAGACCAAAGTTAAATGCAATAAAATCTAGATTAATGCAAGAAAAAATGTATTTGACACTGTTTTCAAATCACATCAAATTTTTCCAATTCAATGCAATTCCAAGTCTTTTCAGTTTAACACTTATAAGCAATTATTTGTTTTTCATGAATTTCTTAAAACTTTTATGTAAGTGTACAAACTTGATGCAATATTCAAATTTCGTTCCTTTAACCATTTTCAAATACGTTTCTAGATGAAATTTCCGTCCGGATCGTATGTGCGTTTTGACTCGTTCTATTCATATGCAAATGTCATTGTCCAAATTCCCAGCGACGATTACCAATCAACGACAGGACTCTGTGGAACATTTGATGGAAATTACTTTAACGAGCTGCTTAGCAAAGATGGAAATTATTATTATCATGAATACGGGTGGACTGCACCGCAAGAATTCTCAGAAAGCTGGAAGTAAGCTTCTTGTACTTTCTTAATTTGAATAAACTAAGATCTACTTTGTAACTCTGTATACTAGTTGGACTGGATTATGTAGCTCTTAAACATTTTTCAACTGGAAACAGTCACGGATTAACCAATACCAGAGCCGGACGGGACCTAAGCTATTCTGGGGCCGACTTCTGTCAAGAATAATAATACTGCATTGTAACAAAGCATTAACGGCATTAATGTATATTACAAAACTTGAAATAACATGTTAAGATGTACGACAATTACTTATTAAGATCATATGAAAAAACTTAAAAAAAATATTTTTTTGCAATAACATACTTTATATTGAATCAACTATTCTCGAATTTGTGAAGCTGCAAAGTCAGGAAAATGTCGTCCTTTGAAGGCCCGTTTATCACACCATGCTCAACGCTTAGAATAAACAGGCTATCCACTCGAGTCTGACTTATAGTTGATTGTGTAGTTGAAACCAAAGGAGCTTGGCTGGGGGGAGGGGCTGAAGTCCTCAGTAATTTTCAAAGTGTAGTATATTCTCTCTTTAACAGTGTACTGAGTGAGACGGAATACAATGGGCAGTCCCGGGTACTGATTCTTTATGCGTTTTGAAACACTGAATGACCCTTCGCCACTGCAGTTTGTCATCCGGTTTACTAAATTAGGAATAGGATTCGACGGTATGATTTGAAACATAGATTTGCGATCAAATTTCTAAAATTGTCTGGTTGGCCATGCAAAGCCGAATGTTCTTCTGGTCGTTAGAAATGACCAGGCCATAATAGAAAAACACAATAAACCTTTTCTGAATAGAAAAGCACAACAAATCTTTTCTGAATAGAAAAGCACAACAAATCTTTTCTGAATAGAAAAGCACAACAAATCTTTTCTGAATAGAAAAGCACAACAAATCTTTTCTGAATAGAAAAGCACAACAAATTTTTTCTGAATAAAAAAACACAAACAAGTTTCCTGAATAAATTTCTTCACAAAAATGTAAATCTGCATGTATGAGATACAACAGAGAACATTCAAGTTCAACTAAAGCGTCTCAACTAATGCATTCAAAGGTATTTCATTCTACTTTTTAGCGGTTGATGCACCGTTTTTGAAAAAAGTTTATTCTTATCAAAAAAGGAATTTCCATAAAATTCTTTATTCAAAATAAGGAGATGAAATGAATAAATTTGTATTCTTACCCACATTTTAAGGGAATTAGCAAGAACTTATTTTTGTCATTAATTTTGTGTATCGATCAATGCCCAATATTTCACGGGAAATTTTTCAAAGATCTAACAATTTCAAAAAGTCTTAGATTGGAGTGTCTGTATATTCCCACACAACATGATGGCAACGAGTTCCCATAATGTATACTGCCTTTCAATGACGTTTCAAAAAAGAAATTTTAGGAGGGCCGGCTAGATTCTGGAGCGGGGACATAGGCGCCATTTGTACTCCGCCACTGACTGGAAATACAGAAAGACTGCATCGTTAGCATCTAAGGAGAGCTGGTTATCCGTATATGGCCATTTTGTTCTATTGTCACTTTCTTAAGGTGGATTTCATCTTCACGGTATAGACGGAAAACGGTATACGGTACAAGCTTGTGCCAAAGATGTTTTGGGATTCAAGAACGGTACGCTTACCTTACCGCTTTCCATTTTTGAAAATTGAAATCAAAGTTTTTCCACGGAACTCGTACCGTTTGACCCAATCATGTTCGAAGCATTGCGTCATAAATTCAGCAACAAGCCGTGCTTGGAACCGAGTCACAGACATTCTGATAAATAGTATTACCTTTCATCAATGGAAGCAGGCAGAGTTGTAGAGCCCCCCTTTTAAATGCCAATAATGGACCCTTTTTTACTTTTTGTTACCTTTTTGAGAAATTTTTCGAGAAGGCCCCTCTTGAATTTTTCTTAGCAACACTTGAAATCTCGTAGTTCCCTGTGTGGAACTTCCCTTTTTGCTTTTTTTTTAAATTTGTTTCACCCATATACTCTTCTCGTATTTCTCTCTCCTTGAATGTTTCAATCTTATTTCCAAACAAGGAGCTTCATAAAAGTTATGTAACATAAACATGACTTCTTTCCCCTTCCTCGGGCATGGTTCATTGCACGAAATAGGATTTGAGGAAGCAAAAAGATGTGGAAATTGATAAGTAGAAACTTTCCAAACGGTTTACCGTTAACCGTTTTCCATTTTCCGTCCATACTGTGAAGTGGAAATCCGCCTTCAAACTTTTTCCAACCTTCTATCTGCATGGCCATGGGAACAATATGGCTGTTTCTGCTCAAACGTTTTTCAGAAACTAAGCATTTTCCACAATATGATTGTAAAAATACTGAAATAATTAGACCTTCATTGTTGCGGACTTTGTCAGTGACATGATTTAATTATGATCCCTCTATTATTGCACCCAGAATGCCGGTTAGAAAAAGCTTGTTTTATTATCGTGGAGGACCATCGAAATGTAAAGACTCAAAGACGGCCTATTGTGACTGCAGCTTACCTGCCGGCAGCACATCTAAGCCTGTATGCAAGAAGTATACATCGATTTATCAACAGACGGAATTCAAGCAGAGCTACCGGGGTTGGAAAGAACTTCGGCATCCAAATGCACAAAAATGCGCCAAAAGAAAGAGAAGGTCTTCCAGCAACGTTGTCACACTACCTGACGACAATGATGCTCTTGATTACGTTTATGATCCGAAACCATTGCCGAATGTGACAGCATCATGGCCAACAAAGTTAGGAAAGACAGAGGAAAATGTTACTGTTTTTTGTGAAACAACCGTTAAAGACTCGCTTCCTGGAAAGATATGTGCTAAAATTAATGAATTCAATTTTACAACTTTTATCGTGCAGTGCGTAGAAGACATCAAGGTAACCTTCTCCTTATCAATTTTCGTTTGTTTCTTTAACTACTCAAATATTTTGCAATAAACACAAAAAAACATTTGGCTACTACAAAAGAAATACATGACAATTTTGACATGGCTGCTACGTTTTTTTTGCTCAAGTCATTTTGGCGTTTCTAATAGAGAAGCACTTGCATGTTTTATTTTGAAGTGACTGTCATCTCGTATCTTTAGATTACTGATGACAATGAATTCGCAAGAGCTGCAGTTCGTGCAATGCAAGATGCATGTGAGGAAATTCTATTGAAGAATACTTCATATTGGGAAACAGACCCGTCGTCAAATGGCTCTATGGTCCCCTCTTTAGAAATGGGCAACACCCTTTGTCCAGGTATGTGCAGTGGAAATGGAAGATGCGTAAATGCAACGTGTGTTTGTGATGGCAATTTTACATCTGCTGATTGTTCCATCGACAAAAACAAAGGACCTGTGGTGACGTCAATACCAGGCAATGGCTTATGCGATGCAAGAAACCGTAGTGATTGTCATTTGATAAGAATCTCAGGAAAAGATTTCATCGACTCGGAGCAACTTACGTGCTTATCCATCAAGGTGAAACAAATTCAACTGAATTGTTTTACACAATATTATGCACAAAAACACAATATTTAGTCAAGACAATATTAGCGACGAGTGACCGTGCAAAACATCATTATCAGCTTAAAAATATTGGCCTTTCTTTTCAAAATTTATCTCCACCTAATATTTTTCTGTTCATTTTGCTCCACGAGGGTTTGGTAATAGCATTGAGAGGTAATCATCAATTGATTAGAAGTTGCTGCATAAAGTCACATTTTCATTGGTGGAAGCTTCTTTGCAATGCAGGAAAACAATGTTGTTTTAAAGCTAATTATTCAGATTGTTTTAAGGAGGGCGGATGAGCTACGACTCCAGGAGTCAACGGCTTAGGGCGGAAGAACTCCTGAAAAGAGGGATAGTGTCCCTTTAAAAACACCGTAGAGGTGGTTCTGGGGGCCCATCTCTACTATTAGCCCCTTAGTTTTACCGATGACCATGACAACAAACCAAAACTCAGATTTTGGGATAGTTGGAGGGTCATGGTAGCCAACCTTCTGATAGAAGATGGTACCTGATGATGATTCAGCATGTTCGAAACAAACTATGTGCATTAGAAGTTTTTAAATGCTTAGACAGCATAGCACCGAAAGCATCTGAACATTACTTCACGAGCAACAATCACAAAATAAATAATCGCATAAAATAACAAAAGTTTAGTCATCCCAAAAGTAAGGATAAAAACTGGGCGTAAAACCTTTTTGTTCCAGGGAGCAAAGATTTTTAATAACCTACCCAATAGCTTGCAAACTGAAGCATCATTTTTTAGATTCAAAGCATCCAGCAAGGACACAAACTTCGATTTTCTGTCATTTTCTTGATTGTCATTTTAATCCTGTAATTATTTCAGCTTTTATATGTGTAAAGTTTAAGTTTGTAAACTTTATTTTGTAACATACAGGTCTTTGGTTGATAACAGTAATTTACTTACTGGACAAATTAACCTGTGTAAATATGAAAGACTATCATTTTTATTATTATTATAGCGTAGTAGAACCTTAAACGTGCAACTAAAAGCGGTGTTTCATAGGCTGATGTATTGTCAATAAGATGTATAATTAGAAGACGTCTTAAAGGAGCCTCATCTATGATTAAATTATAAATAGATTATCATCCCTTTGTAAGATATGAAATCTTCTGCTTATCAGGTTGAAGTAAAAGATGGGAGTAAAAATGATCAAAATGGAAAGCGGAAAGTGAATTCAGCTTACTTACTCAGTTTTCGTGAGGTCCTGTGTGATTTAGGCAACCACCCTGTTTCTACTGTTGGTGACCCTAGAAGCTCAAAGGGCATTCCGTTTGCCAGTTATCGCCTTCAAGTGTCAAATGATGGGAATCGCTTCAGCAGTAACAGGCTACAATACACGGTTTACGACTCCAAATGTATGCAATGCAATGCCACCACCAAAGAATGCTCCCTAAAGGTACAATGAATGTCTAATCCTGTGCTTTAGTATAACTAAGTAAGCTGATTTTACAAATAGTCCTTATTATGATATAGCCTTTCTGAACGACTTATAGCATTATTTGAAGGACAAATAGGTAAACTGAAATAAAATTTCCGTTCTCTTTTTTGATGTTCTTGGGATAGTTTTATACTTTACTAACAGCTTTATACTTCATTTCTGCAGCCGCATACATGCAACATAAATGGTCACTGCTATCTGGATGGCGAAAAATACCCAAAAGACCCCTGCTACGTCTGCAAACCATCATTAGACAAGTTTGAGTTTTCAATTGGTATGTCTCGGTATTTCCATTACCCTGGGTACCAGACTCACTATATATGAAATAAAATAGAGATATTATTTTTGCCCGCAACTCGCGCGCGATAGCGCGCGAGTGAAGGGCTTATAGTCTGCCCCGCGTATAAGTAGCATATGGAAGCTTCAGTTCATGTTGTCAGCACTTTGTCAGCAGATTTTGTCACTTTTCTGCTGCCATGACAACTGTCAATCAATTTCATTGTCAATCAATCGGCTTTGTCGAGGAGGTCGTTAACCGCCACCTCTTTGTGCGGAAGGGAATTATCTTCGGAGAGTTGCTCTGCCAAGACTCTGTTAAAGGCCTTCGGTTTTTTGGCACGAAAACGGTGCTGCATCACAGCTCGGTTCTCCGCAATGGATGGAAGTTTTGATTCGAAGTTTTGGGAATCAAAACCAGTCGAATGCCACACCTTTCTCCCAAAAACTCGACACCGTACGAGCAAAAGTTATGATTGTCGTGATTATAGCCTGTACATCGCTGTACGAATCCTTTATCGCAATCGATTTTAGCTGTACCCGTTCTATCACGTGTCCATTTTCATACGTCTTTGCTTCACGAAAACGCAAAATAAATGTCAAACCCTAGAAAAACTTCATGATTTTCAAAAGGGCGTTGGACTTAAATCAAAGGCAAACTGAACACCAAAAATTCTTGATAAAAAGAATAGTTTAGCATCAACTAGAGCAGCTGTTTTTATAAAATTGTGAAAACCCAAGATGGTGTCTTCTTCGAATATCCTGACCTAAATTTTCAAAACAATCGTTATCAAGGAACTAATTGTTTGCGGGCAGTACTAGCAAGAGCTATTTCTAGTATATAGTGAGTCTGGTACCCAGGGTATATTCCCATACACGCCTTTGAAAGAAAAAGAACGTAATTTAAGTTTGGGCGCTTTAATTTTTGCGCAATATATCTTTTCACCAAGGGTGCAGTGGTGGGGACACCTTTTTTTTGGGGGGAGGGCTCAGCCTTCTTTGCTGTTTGTGCTTGAGCAGACCCAATAATCGTGTAACGCAAAGAACTGCTGTGAAGCATTATTGCTTAACCACAGGCCAGCCAATGAGGAACAAACCATGAAAGAAAACTGTTTAAACAGCAAACTTACAGCTTTAAATGTATTGGAAGCTTTGTATGCATGAAAATGTACACAGAGTTTGACATCTATAGATAAAGAACTCTTAAAAGACTTTTTACTGTGAAATTTAGCTGCAGTTTTAAATTGACAGTTGTTTTCAAGTGTTGCATTAAAAACTGAAGCTATTTGCCTGAATCAACAGCCGAGTGCTATTTTTACTGTCTTGCCTAATTTTGATATTTCATGCACAACACTCTTTTTAAGAAAAACAAGATAATTTTTACCGACGTTCGATGATCAATTTTTTTAATAATTTCAGGCTCGGGTGTTCTTCATGTTTCTCTTATTTCAAAATAGTGGCTCGGTTCGTTATCTGATAAAATCTGCTCTGTTTTGTTAACTCCATATAACGTGTGTCAATTCAAAATCCAACCAATGGGTCATAATTGTAAAAAGGAAGGTTTACAAATTTTGCCAGGGATCTTCCTTATCGATGTTGTAAATATTACCCTATTAGCTAACACTTGGCTATCAGGCTACATTAGCTTACTTTTGCAAAATGAAATTTACTAGAAAGAACAATTCAATGCTCTGATTTTAAATTTATCTCATTTGAATCATCCTTGAAAAATCAGAACATTTTATATCGTCGGCTGACTACTTCTGGCATTACTCTCAAACGTCTTAGAAAGTACAAGTTTTAATACCCTTGGTAGCCGCCGTAGCTGCAGTGTAGGAGATGGTCGAGCTGTGTTAGGAACATGGAAGTAGTTTGGACGTACTCTTCACCGATCCACTATTTGAAGGAGGCTCTGGCACTAAGGGTAGTGTTTTAATAGCAAGCAAAAAGCTGAACGAAAACATTTTTTTAAGACTTTCTGACGGTTTTGCATGATGAATAGTGCATAACAATCCAAACGTCAAAATTCTTGTTACAGCAGCTATTGTTTCTCTCTTTTTCTAGGATGCACTCTTCATAGCCAAAACATTACATTAATAATTGTGTGCGCAGTTGTTGGATCTTTAATTTTCATGGCTTTGGTGATTTGCATAATCTTCAGGAATAGGAGAAAGCAGAAAAGGTCCCAACCCAGAGAGCCTGACGAGGCCACTTCCGCCACCTTTAGCAACATGGCTTTTCAAGCAAAAACAGAAGATGCAAAGTGACACGTTTGAAAGAACAAACTTTCAATGAGAACATTCCTTTTATGAACACAATTCTTTGACTTGTTTCTAGAGCAGTTCAGATTATGACAGTGCTATCATATATTGTTGATTTGCTAGTTTTCTTTTTCAGATATTAACCGTGGTATTTATGAATCATCTACATTTCTAAAAGTATAAATTGTATTGAAGTAACGTATTTTATAGTAAATAAAGTACACAAGTTTGCTTTGTGTTTTAATTATATTGATGTAGAATCTTTCCTCTTCGACTTTCTCTATTAAATAAGCACTATACCGGAACCACACACTACGGCATAAAATCTTTTGCTCGAATTGCCTTGCCAAAAAATTAATCTATAAAAAACTTTAGATTTATTCGACTAGGGGTCAAGTAAACCTTTATATGAACTGGTTTTTATAGAAGGCTCAAAGTCTTCATCACTTATCAAATCCAATGAAAATTACCATCTTGGAAAACACCAATTCGACTTACGGCCTCCTTTTGAAAATTTCTCCAAACTTCATTAAACGAACTTTAAAGCTCAGATTTGGCTTTATCGCCATAATTTTTAGGCTGGGTAAAATTTTTCATATTGTTTGTGCTTGTATTTGAGATTTTACGGAGAAATGAAGTTTGAAAACTTGTAAAGGATTTGACCGCAAAAATCATTCTGGGGAAAACTTTACCCCCCTAGTCGCCATTCACGGTCAAATCCTTTATAAAATTTTTATCTTTTTGTCGTCATAAAATCAATATCATGATTGATTTGCTTAGCAATTCGAACAAAAAATTCTCGCTGATTATCTCTTTTAAACCTTCATGCTGAATAGATTTCAGATTGCCAATATCGCTGACTAGCATGTGTCCGTCAAGGGATGAAAGATGTCTTTGACTCAAGAAGCTTTATTCAAGATATTTTTTTAACCAAGAAGCCTTCATGCAGCACAATATTCATACTGGACGCTTTTACGGTATGACATATGTTCCAGTTAGCCCTTTTGCTTGTCCCAGTGGGCCCTTTTAAATCCCCACTGGCTGAAAATCCTTAAAAGTATATCCTAAAGATTTGGCTTTAATTTGGAAAAATGTGCAAAAATGCTCACGTATTTTTTGTGCTAGTACTGAAAGCTTATTAGATTCATTAGATTTTTAGCGATTTGAGTTTCTCTGGTGCAATGTGAAATTTCAGAAACAAGTTCTTTGAAGCCTTTTTGAAGCCACTTTGTTTCTCTTCATTAGTAAAATTAATATAATGATATGGTTCCTTTTGCTCTTAAGATCACATTATGTTGAGAGGGGTTCCAAACGTTATATCAAGCCATGTACATGGTTGCCTACTGGGAGGCCAAATTTGAAAAATCTGGTCTTTTTAAGAATGCTTGGCTACGAAATTTTACCTTTGGCCTCCTGCCTCATTTTGGCTATTTTTTGGCCTCCTAAAGGAATGTTCAAAAATGAGATTAAAACCCCATAAAATCATAAAATGGATAATCATAATATGTCTATGAGCCAGGCAGACACTTGAGGTGGCATTGATTCAATCCAAATGGGTCAGATTGATTCAATCCAAATGGGTCAGATTGATTCAATCCAAATGGGTCAGATTGATTCAATCCAAATGGGTCAGATTGATTCAATCCAAATGGATCAGTGATTTGCTTACTTTTTGAGTATTTCCTTTGATAACTGGGCCTCCGACGAATGGGGGGCCGAGTGGCCATGCCCCGCCCCCCCCCCCCACTTTCCTCCAAAAAAATAGAGCTTTTTTCAAAATCTCCTGTGAGGACTGTTAAAGTTTCCCTTAGCTCCCCCTCCTCCCCTTTTTCAACCTGTGTCGGTGCCCATGGATAATTTATTTAAATAGAATTTGCACACAATCTGTGGCTGGTGCAAAACTTTAAACATTTTTGATCTATGTTCTAACGTTTTATACTCTGAAGAGTGCTCGACTAGAATCTTTAGTATGACTCAAAATGTTTGCTTTTTGCAAACCCATTTTGAAATAGAATTAGCAATTTTCAGTAATCAATAACACGCATAATCGCAGAGACTGATCTACACAGTTGTAAGAAGTTACAATAAATAGTGAACAATGCTTTATTTTTCTCGAGATTCTAATCTATCCCAACCAAGTGGCAAGGTAGATACTAGAGTGCAAGGACGTACAACAAGTCTTAGGAAGCGCAATATGTTTGGCTTACAGAGTCTGCTAATGAAAAGGGCAACGGATATACTGCAAACTAAGCTTGTTTTTGCTGCGCCTGCGCATTATGACGCCATTGTGTTATGGGAAAATTTGGTCTATTTTGACGTGATTTGGCCTATTTTCATAAAAGGTTTGGCTACATAGTACCCATACCACCTGGCAACCCTGGCCATGTATATGGTCAACAGAGCAACTCTTTGTTTTTTATGTAACGTAGGATTGGGTCCAGCCTCCTTTGATGGTTGATGTTTGATTGACATAATTTTCAAGAATGAAGCTGCACTGCAATCTTGATTCCAATGTAATTTAATAAGCATATATCATATTTCCATGAGTCTTCTTGGGAGGGAGGGAGGAAAAATTCGTATTTTTTTGGGCCTGCCAAACCTCTGATTCTCTCTCCCTGGGCATAAACAACTAGGTTTCACCAATAGCTAGACGAAGATTTTTTATACTTCTTAGCAGCAAACAAAATAAGTGACATCATGAGATGTGACCAAATCGATAGGAAAGACCAGGACACTGCTCGATAAGCATAGCTTTTTAGTGTCCTAAAACTACCTTCAAAAGCTAGGTAGCAAACAATACCATACAATAAAATTTCTGCGGTTCCTGCTCTTCCCCCCCCCCCCTGCTCCCCCCCACCGCATCATGAAGCTTCCAGCGCCTCTGCTAGTACATCAGAAATTTTATTTTCTACAATAACACCCAATCCTATCAATAATTGACTGTGATAAAAATAAAATTGTTAACCTGACACTGTTGTGAGCAGCAACGGTTTTTTTTCATTCAGCCTGGGCACATTTTTCTTTTCTGCCTATAAACATGCCATAGCTTTGCAGCTAATTTTAACAGCCATTACAAATGCGTTCACTCAGTCATATGGTTTCTGTTGGCTAGATTGAATTTCAAGAGCAAAGTTCTTTGTGTCGAAATACGTGGAAAGTCAGAGTTCTCAAATTTGACTAAAGTTTTCTCTTTAATCATTCATCTCTGTGTCCAAACAGGCTTCAAAACATAAAAGTTTCGGTACATCTGGAATCGTAAGCCGTAAATACAGATCTATACAATTAGAAGGTATTAATGGCAAATATTCTATCTCTTGCTTTGATGTTTTGTTTTACGTACAGAATATATTTTCACCTTTTCACGAGGACAGCCTTTTATGAGAAAATTTTATTTCAGAACCCTTTCACGCATAGTTGAAGACATTCGTGCAAGGACTAAATTTTTTAGATGCAACAATAGGAAAAAATGCATGCTAAAGGATTATCCAAAAAATTTTCATTTCTATAATCGTAAAGATGATTTATGCGATATATGAGGCAGTACATACAAGTATCGTGTCCTGGATCTAGCCATCTCTCTATTTTATAGTTATTTTGTATCGGAAAAGGATGGGGGTCAAGAAAAGATTAAGCTGCGATATATAAACAGTAAGTATTTGAAAATGCATGGGTGTTTGTCTTTAAGTTATTTTAAGCACCCTAACGTAAACAATTAAGACGATCATTGAATTATGAAGCAAAAATAAATTCACCTTTCTTTCATTCTCTAGTTGTTATTTCTTTTGACGCCTATTAGGGTGCACTGGCTTCCGGGTTTCCTATTTGAGAAACAGAAATTTTGAAGCCTGCCTTAGTGACGCGGATACTGTAACTAAAGGTGATGCTGATTCCAGCAGATTGCAGACATGAAAGTCTTACCAATACTTCTCTTTTTCACTATTGATGTAGCCGTTTTCAGAGTCAATGAAGCCATCAGTAAGTTCTTTAAAATATAGCATCTGTGATGATCTAAATCTTTAATCACATTCTTTTCAACCTAGAGAGAAATGTGAAGTTTTTCTTTTTTGCAGTATCATTTTATATGAACAAGCTTGATTCATTTTTCTTGTATAGGAAACCAAACAGTGACAAAGCAGCAGCTATGTTAGCTTTAGCAAAGATAATATAGCTTGAGCGAATGACAAAATAACAATATGTTAATTATTATTTGATTAACAAAAAAAATTTTGAAACATAAATAAACTATTGAACCTACCACCCTGCTTTACCAAGGACACAGCCTAGTTATTAGGCCCCTTAAGAGACAATTATGAGTTACTAGGCAGCTTTAATCGATGCTTCGGTATGATACAGTACCAGGGAGGCCTTTTTTGCTCAATAAAGGGTTGCTCATAACAAGGAGAATTTTGGTTTTCTTGCATGTTTGTTTAATACGAGAGAGTTTCAAGCACTCAAGTATATATTGAAATAATCAGCGCAAATTTTTTATCGACAAATATGATTTGTTCAAGCTAATATTACAATGATATTACAAATATAATATAATATTATAATATTACAATAATAATATAATATTACACATGTGCCGGTTGATTATTTGCCTCGATTATCGTTCTTCAGTACATGCATTCAACTCAGAGAATAATAGTTGTATCATGTTATCTACCCATTCTTGAGCAGGAATAATTTGGAAGAAAAAGAAATTTAGAATTTTAGAAAATAAATACAGCTGTAAGAAATATCCAGTGAAATCTAATAAGCATTTAGGCTAGAAGTTTAAATTTGGATATTTAATAATGGATTATGGAAAAATTCTCGCCAAATTCTTAGCTGCAGGCTCAAATTTTTTTTCAATGGAATTCTGTAAAAGGTTGTATCAGCAAAATTTCATGAACAGATATTAAAATTAATAATGCTTTTTATGAGTTACATTTAGTTTCAATGAAATTTTCTCAAAATATTTAATGTCATAAGCAATTCTAGAAGGATGATAGAGATTTTAAATAATGTAGGTTTGATACAATTAATATCGATATAATAAATTTTCACAGATTGTGGTCAAACCTTTATGTTTAAAACTGGTGTGATATCATCTCCAAACTTTCCTGCCGAGCCACCGAGCATGCTGAGACAATGCATAAATACTATTAAGGCTCAAAATGGTCAAAGTATCCAGTTGCAGTTTCTGGAAGTCACAGATATGCCTTACTACTTCTGTTATGGTAGTAGATTGAGTGTATTTGAAGGGAACGCTGAAGCAGCAAGCTTTTGCTACGGCTTAAAGGATCTACATAGCACTTTTCTTTCAAGCGGGACAGAGATTCGTTTAGTTTATACAAGAAACATATTTTGGCCCACTTCCTTCAAATTCCGACTACGGTACACAATTATTGAAGGTAAGTTTGCAACCTTCTATGAATAATGCTTTTTACGAATCCTAGTCTACTACCGGGATTGGTACACTTCCTGCGCTTATTCTATCATTTACTCTTCATTTACATTTACTTTTTATATTCTTCTTTATCTCTAAAACTAAAAAATGTGAAACATTATTTCATTTAAAGCATCATGACTGTTTTTAAAATCATGTACTTTTTCACATGAAAGTTCTTTGGAAAAATTTAGCTAGACATTTGTTCAACAATATATACTTTTTTAAATCTACCTATATGCAATCTAATTGATTTGCCGTGTGATAATATATTTCTGATGAAAAAACGCTTCGTTGAAACCTTCCTTTTTTTCCATATTGCAGTAAAAAAGAAAGCTAATTTTTTAAACATGGTACTGGACCTAACTTTGTTTTCAATAACAATTTTTCAATCTTTAAGATTTTTCTTGCTTTTACCAGCTCATAACGACAACATTTGCGATCTTACAGAAAATCTTTAGATGAAATTCTACCTTAATCTTGGAAATCCTTCATCTTTAGGTTTCAACATGGTTTATAATAATTCAGAAGGGGTTATCTCATCGCCAAATTTGATGAACAGCCTTCTGCCAAAGAACGATAATTATACATACATTATTACTGGTAGCATTGGCACAAGGATTCATTTGGTCTTTTCTTTCATGAATCTTGGAGAAGCACCGTTTGATCCAGCAAGGTGCTTATTCATATATGAAGGATATGTCAGTAATCGTACCATTGCTAAAACTCAATGTGGGGATGACACTGCTCAGTTTTTATCAACAAACAATGACTTGGTCCTGACATATGAAGCAAAAAGTGATGGTATGATGATTGAAAATCCTGGTTTCCAAATTTATTACAGCATCGGAGTACAAGGTACGTTATCCATTGACTTTAGCTGCAAATGTTGCTTTATTTTTTCGTTAGAGGAAGGAAGTGGGATCTTATCATTTTATGCCAAAAGTTGAAACTATTTAATTGTGACAGATTTACAGAACATTACCATAAGATGAATCAAGTCATAAACACACATCATCTTCCAACCAACAAGGAACAATTGGCAATAGTTTTATATTGCTCAGACATTGATAAAAATTGTTTAGGAACGTAAATTGATCAAGAAAGTAGAGTTCATGATGATGTCGTCGGTTTAACATTGATGTTCCTATGTTTAGTTTCTTACTCTGTTAAATCCTTCAACAGAAACTTTTTGGAGACCTATCGCAGCTATCGTAGCTTCAAATAGCAAGAAACATCAATGCCTCTATTGTTTTCAAATGCTCGTGACATATCTGCCCAGAGATTCACGTTCGTTCTGATGTTGTACTTTGATAAAGGAAGCAAATATATATTCTTTATATCGCAAGTTTTATCGCAAGTGGACAGGCCGATAACATTGATTGATTTTCACAACACATGGAGTTCTGGGTTTTTCCAAATCCATTTGTTTCTTAATTTCTTTACTTCTAGTATACACGATTCTCGATTTTAGATATATTTCAGTACTATTTTATTAAAGGGTTTAATTGTCTTTCAAACAAATGAATCTATTTATAAAACAAAAGAACAATAACAAGTTGACTTCTGCTCTTCAGAAGAACAATACAAAGTTGACTAGTTACATTATTCAAAATAATTAAACAGAAAAAAGTCACCAACGTACAAGCTCAGAATTTTGCAGCTCTCAAATTAAAACAGAGTTGAAATTTACATAAACAAAATGTATTTGCATGTAACGACTTTCAATACCAAGTGAAATGCAGAATGCACAACTTCTTTTTCATAAATTCTGCGACAGAATCGACAAACCAATTGTTTTTACTTGGAACAAATCAAAACGCTTGATCTGAGTGTCGATGCTGCCTTTGCTGATTTAGAATCCCTTTTAATCTAGGTTGTGATCAGTTTTTTACGAGGCAGAAGGCTGAAATACTCTCGCCGTTGTATCCAAGTCCCTACCCAAGAAATGCAAATTGTGCTTACAATATCTCATCGCATGGAAACAAGCACATTTATATAGAGTTTCTCACTGTCGATCTGAATCCTGGTGCCACACTTCAGATTTTTGAGCGGATGAAGTCAAATGGGCAGCCGCAATTAACAGCACTGAATCCCCTGAATAGAGTTTACCTTTCTGCTGGCAACAGTGTTGTAATTGTTTTCAGGTCGGACAATGGCCTTCCGAGTGGTGGATTCAGGCTACAGTATGTTATACTAGAAGGTAAAGCAAAACTTGTGTTGTTAACGCTGAAAGCTTGCCGACCAAATAACGCTGAAAAGCGTCTTATATGCCAGTTACTAAGTACATTTCAGCTGTTTTGGGTAAACATGTCTTGAGTGACAATGTTGAATCCTTAAATGCGGCAAAACAAGATGCCTATTATTCAAACACTATTAATTTAATGTTACCGTATGCATTAGTATATATGCTGCTAATGGATGTTATCACAAAGACGATGTCGTAATAGACAATATTATTTGCTGAAAAAGTTAAATTCTCTCTAACAACGGTAATTTTGGAATTGTAATTTTCTGTTTCTGCTTTGTAACAGATGCTCCAAGATAACAACTCACTCCAAAAACTATGATGATATCTCAATTTTCAGGTTGCAGTTTGATCCTGAGGAGGCCCGCTTACATTGCGTCTCCACTATTCAGTTCAAGTTACCCAAATGGTGTTGAATGCAATTATACTTTCCAATACCCTTCCACGATGTTCCCTGTTCGGGCTCTCTTTAGTTTGATTCAATTGAATATAGAATCCCAGCAAGATTGCGATGCCGATAGCTTGTCGATCTACGAGGGTTCAAGCAAGAACGACTTCCTTTTGGACAAGGTGTGTGGCATTCGGTCTGGCATAACATACATGGCTTCTGGCAGAGAGATTTTTACTCAGTTTTTATCCAATGCAAACGTGACAACTAGAGGATTTCTAGCTTATTTCAGTGCAGTCAACATCAGTGAGTTTTTTAATGTTTATTTCATAAGTCCTTGAAGACTGTAATAAGATAATTCACTTTTTTGAAAAATTTTTACCTACTGTTTCCTTCCTTTATGACGATCTCAGTTCATATGTTCTTAGAATCTTTCCAATAGTCACTGTTTTTGATACAAAACTACAAAACTTTTGATTCAAATTCTCTCAGCTTTTTCAAACATTCCTGAAACAAGACATACCATTTTATACAAACCGTCTATTTCTCGCTAGCTGATTGCTTCTAGATTATCTTCGATTCAATATCGAGCAGTGACATACAGACTTAAGAGATGAACTTGCCAGAAATGAAAAAATCTAATACCTGAAATTGTCAATCAAAAAAAGAATATTTGTCTTGCTCTGCTATTTTTATCTGTTTTACTCTAATCATTTTACACAGCTTTGTTCATGATCACTCCTTAGCCTGTAATTCTTCCTACGACGCACCCGAAGGCAGCATTCAATCAGTCAATTTTCCAAACCCTTACCCTAACAAGCTTATTTGCACAACAAAAATCCAAACAGAGTATGGAAACAAAGTAATGCTGGACTTCACATACTTTGAGCTTGAGTCAAGCATCAATTGCACTAAAGACAGTCTCGAGATTTACGATGGATCCATTGCAGCTAAAAATTTGAGAGCGAAGAGATGCGGCAATCAGCCTTGGTCATACGTTTCTAAGACGGGAACAATTTTTCTGAAGTTTCACTCCGATCAGAATGTTTCAAAAAGAGGATATAGCATGCATTACGAAAGTAAGGCTAGAAGTCATTCACAATAAAACCACTTGCATTTACCTCGCTATTTTTACGAATAAGAAGTTGTCAATTTATTTTTTAAAAAGTGTTCTACCGAGCAGTGCTAAATTCGTATAAAAATTGCTCTTTTCTTACGGTTTGAAATTTAGCAATTTAATAAACCATAATTTTCAAATCATAGATATTCAATCTAACCTTCACAATTTGATTATTATATCCCTTTTTTCTTTTATTATGAGATTTGATGGAAGTAAATTTCTATTTGCCAATTGTAGCTTGCGGAGGATTGTTTCAATCTAGTTATGAGCACAGGTTTCGCTCCCCGGGATTTCCTCGCCCATATCCAAATGAATGCAACTGCAGATACGAAGTTTATGGACAACATGGCTTTGGTGTTCGGCTGGTATTCCTTAGGTTTTCTTTGGAAAAAAGTTTTATGTGCAAGAACGACTACATTAAAGTGTACGAAGGAATCGTTTCAAATAGAACATTGCTTGCTACTAGATGTGGAAATAACAACAAGGAAGTTTTTGGTAAACCAGGCAAACTGATTGTGATATTCAAGACAAATAAACACTTGCCTGGCTTGGGTTTCAACATCTATGCCCAAGGTAAGGAACTTTGTGATCAAATGACCCAAGATGGATGACGCCAGTTCTAGAACGTTGGCCAAAATGGACACAGGCTCGCGTGAAGATAAAGATAGGATTACCAACACAGAGCTCTTAATATGTAGTCTATCATTATTCCCAAATAGTATTTTCAATTTTTTTCATAATCTAACTATAAAGAAATTTTTTTATATAAAACATCATTTTTAAAGTAAAACATACAGAAAAGTAGGACCATTCAAGACTCTCAAAAAGATCATCAAAGAAAAACATTGCCAGCTGTTAGTATTCTGCTTTGAAGGAAAAACAAATTTTTATGGCAGTTTTTCACAATTCATTCAGAAAATTATGATTTAAGCTTCTTTGCTTGATTCTAGTTCTAAGCATATCAATATTGAAGTAAAAGCTTCTAAAAGGAGTCTGTCTTTCGTTAATTTAAGAAATACCTGTTCAATGTTTCTACCTAGCTCTCTAGGGTGGAGTTTATGACCCAGACATGCTATGCTTATCGGGAAATGCCATGGTCCTCTCACTCAATGCTAGCTGTGCTCACTCCAAGTGCAGGTTTGGTCATTTCAAGAAATCGAACCCTTTAACTTATATAGTCTGCGACTCTAACCACTGAGCCATTTGTACATCCGTGTGAAACGCTAGCATTTGATATAGAGGATATCAGAAGCTCCTCCAATTGGATTAAATCATTCTCTCGTTTCCATTCAGAAAACTTAATTAATTAATGAAAACAACGCATTAGTTTACTTGCTATAAACAGCGAACATGGATGTTGATACTTTCAAACAGGATCAAGATAAATACACATGCAACATTAAACAGTCATAATTCTAGTGACTAATTCAGAAATGGTTCATGCATATATGTTTTGTACTGTTTACAATGGTTTGGCCACTACAAATTTACCAAGCTACTGTGACTTTTCATTGATTTTTCAAAAAGGCATCATGTAACTTTTGTTACATCAAAGTTCGTCCAACCATTATGGGGTAAGCCAGCACAAATTGTGGGTACAAAACGTTTTAGAACGCGCCATTTATAAAAAGGGTAATTTAAATTTATTCTGCTCTACACATCGAGGTGTTTAAAGCTTTTTTCTACTCAACATAGGCCACTATCCAGTACAACAGACCTGTAAAAGCGATCTTCAATGTTATTGTGTTATTGATACTAAAGATTTCATCATATTGCATATTGCAATACTTTCGGCGCGTGTATTGTTTAAAAGACCATTTTAGATCATAATATAACGCAAGTGAAAATAACATAAGTTAGGAGCGTATCATCTTCATTGCATACAAATTGATTCTTCAAATATCTTACATTCCAGCTTGCAGCGTTCTTCTCACGGAAAAATCTGGAACATTGTATTCACCATATTTTCCCTCGCGATACCCACCAGGAATCTTTTGCACTTACGCAATACGGATGCAAGAAGGAACCAGAATAAAACTGCTTTTCAGTAACTTTACAATTGATACAAGATACAACATGCAACGGAAAGATTGCCTCCAGGTTTACGATGGTTTGAATTCGAAAGCATCATTGGCTCGAAATATGTCTGGCACTAGCAGAACCGAGTTTTTATCAAGTGGAAACTCAGTTTTTCTTGAATTGAGGACTTTTTTTGTGGTTTGGAATGTCTGGTCTGGCTTCAAAATTCAGTACAGCGTGGATCAAAGAGGCAAGTAAATACTTGCTGGGAAACTGGGAAACTGCTCATCATTTCTCCATCAACTTGTTTATTTCAGCACCATTTCAAGGAAAAAAAATATGATGGAATAAAAAATCAATTTAGCCTTATAATGACCAGAGTCATCTTACTTTTAAAATTGAAATGTGATATAAAATAGTTTCTTAAATATTTACACTTCAAAGGTATAAACTTTTCATCTATTGATAACAATATCTCAAAATTACAAAACTCCAACCGCAAACATTTGAACTTCCTATACTTTTCTCTAATTTTAGCTTTTCAGTTGTTTCTTATTACTCAAAAATTGATGTGCACGTAAATGCATTCATACTGAAGCTTATGATTTTGTGTTCCATTTTCAAATTGTCATCTTCTCTGAGTTTTCAGTGTGTTTATTTTTTCAAGGACCCTGTGATGTTCAAAGCCCTTGCATGAATAACGCTTCCTGTACCAATACCCAAGGTGGGTCTTACAGATGCAAATGCCCTGCTTCTTTTATTGGAAGAAACTGTTCCATCAAGATTCGTCCATGTGACTCGAATCCTTGTCCGAAGAACAGAATCTGCAAAGAAGTTTACAGCGGTCCGGATTTGCAGTATTCTTGTGAATGTGGCAACGGCCTGAGAGCTGGCAGCTGCAGAAAAAATTCAAGTTAGTGAACTGGAGTCATTTGTGTTATTCTCTAGTTTTCTCCATGCTTTGCGTGCTTTAGAAATGAGCTTGCCTGTCTCGTCATGAAGGTTTCTTAGGACACATCTCTTACATTTGCTATACTTGCTAACAACATTTGCTATACAACACTACATTTATTTTATTCATAATAAAAGATATAGATTTTACTTTGATATAATTTTTTTATCATTACTGAATAAATATATTCCTATTACGGATGTTCCATATGAGTATTTTCCATGCAGAAATAAAAAAAGGCAGTTTAGTTTTGATAAAAGCATCAATTGGTTTGGCGTCACGTAGTGTTTGCTGATCTAATTAAAGCAGGCAAATGAGAATTGCAAGTTGCAACTTTGAATCTCTTGCTAGTAGTGGGCTCTGCATATATTACATCAAGAACATTTATTCAAACCAGTCAGATATCAAATGATTAATGTATTTCAGATTAACACGCTTCTTCTATTGAAATTACTTTATTTTATTTCAGTGACTCTCACAAACGAAAACAAACTGGCCACAGTTATCTCACCTTTGGTTATAATTTGCGTTGTGGCAGCAGTACTTATTTTTTGTTCTTTAAAGACAAAAAACCGTAAAAAGCAAAAGATTGAACCTATTGAATTAGATGGAAAGAAGCCCGCTGGTCCAAGCGAAGAAAGAGAAAACACTCAAGAACCTAAAGAAGAAAAGGAAACGACGAAAGATTTAGATTGAGACATGTTTCCCAGTTTGCTGTTACCAGTTTTTTCTCTCGAAATAATTCTCTGATCTCTAAATTAATCTCTAAATTAAATTAATCTAGAAATAAACGAAAGTTCATTAGCATTTTTCGCTTGTCTGTCGTATATTTTATCAAACAGTGCTAAACCTCAAAGAAAAATCAATCCCTTGCATGAACTACTGTTTCCAGCTCAGGTTTGTTAGGGAGTACCTAAAAGATGATAATTATGCAGATATCAAAGTGACTTGAACTTGATTTGCTCGAAAGAAGAAGCGTTTCGACTAGACTCCGCAGCTACAATGCCTGCCAGAAGTTTTGGTAAACTAGTGTCAATTTTCAAGGGCAAATTCAGCTACCCCTCTCCCCCTTCGAACAATGTTGGATTACTACAAAACGACGTAGGAAGCACCTTTCTTCCTGCGACCGCTATGATCAGGCCCGTCACTATAGGTGGTGCGTGGGGCGCGACGCCGACCTTGAAAAATAATTCTCTTGGAAAAACAAGGAGTTGCTTGGCGTCTAGGGGTGTTTACTCAGCAAATTTCAAAACTTTTAGGCAAATACAGGATGGTTCACCCACTATGTCGGCAAATGGGACTTGGAAACTCCCCTTGAGCAAAATAGCTAGCGACTGGCCTGACTATGATAAATTGAGAAATATAAATTCCCAACGCATGTAGATGGTTGTCCAAGTACTTTTCGCAATGGTTGTACCTTTATTGAATCATACAATGAAGTACATTTTGATTTTAATAGCTTCATAGGACTAGAAAGGGATGGTGCTAACCGAGTGCTAGAAGGCTGGAGCCCACGCCTGAAAATCGAAAACAAAACACATTGCTACTAGTCTATGATGAGAATGAATTGAGAATTATTTGTTCTTTAATCCCTGCCTTAATTCAAACCGCGTTTCATTTTTGGCACTTAAAAGTTGTCCTGTCTTAAAGTCATAATCAAGCCAAATAGAACTATAAAGCATAATTATGATAGAAAATAAATAGAACTATGGAGCATAATTATTAAAGAATGTTACCTTATGATTAATGTTGTAAATATTCCAGACCCATTGACCGGCTATCCCTTGAATATCTAGTTGCAAAATTTTTCTTGCCGCCAGCTATGGTGTTGGCCTTCACCAAGCTGATGAACAAACAATGTTACCTTTTACAATTATGATGTGGTTCTGAAATTTAGATCCATACTTCTAACTTCTTTAAACACAGCCATACGCCAATTGAAAATTAGACCACAAGCACAAAACGCAAACTTTCTGGGCTCCCCAAGTTCAATTTCCAGATAAAAATAGAGCATTCTAGCCCGCACCGGTCGCAGAGTACTCGAACAGCAGTTCGAGCCACTGTGTTGGAGCAGCGAATGTTCAGCCAGTAAATTGATGAGGATACCTAATATATTTTTTGGAAACGGGAATCGCCATTTTTTGGAATCCGACTTGGCAAATTTTAGATACCGATATTTAGAAATCAATGACACCGGGACATGGGTTTTGATGGTTGGGAATCGGGATCAGTTTCAAAACGTAGCAGGAATCAGGGTACCCTCACTTATCTATTAGGAGAAAACCTTAATTAGAGAGTTTTAATCACGCTCAGACAATATATCATCGTCTAGAATAGGAATAGGGAGCCTTCTACCAGTGTTTTGGATTGGACATTGTTGTAAACAGTGTACTTTCATCACCAATTTCAAAAAAAATTTCAGTGCCCCCACTATCAATTGCCCCCTTCAAATTTGCTTTGGATCTGCCCCTGTCTGAACGTGTTTTCTAACCTCGCCATCAAAATCTCATGAAAAATTATGTTACTGTGTCAATAGCCCTGGGGACCAGATCCAAAGATGTCGGGTAGAACATAGAGATGAGAGAAGAGTATAGATTAAGGTGCGGGGTTCTTACTTTCTCTCCCTCTCCCTAACTCTCTCTCTCTCTCTCTCTTCTCGCCCTTTTCTCTTTCAATGTTTCCCATTTCCAGTTTCTTAGGGTGTCAATGGGTATCACTGTATGCCGGATGTGACGTAGAGGAGGATGTGACGTAGAACACAATACGAGATTGTTTTGTCCGGCTTTCGAACGGTTTTAGCGCCTGGGTTTGAGTAGTTTCTTCGCAAGTGTGTGGTGATAGAAATTATAAAAAAAATCACAAATTGACGTCTCTAAGTGTTTTGACGAAAATTAGTTCATTTGGAACTCATGACAAAGCATTCTTGTGACTAAGACAATTGTAATTTTGTCTTTTAAACTAAAAGAATCTTTGGAATTCACCACAGCTGGTAGCATTTGACTTCAAAAAGGAAAGAAAGTGAAACACGACAAATCTCCACTTTCTACACCGAGTTGAACTGGAAAAACTGTAACTTGCCCACAAGCGTTCAATCTTCAAGACAAAAACTTAAAGCTTATGGATTATGATCACACAATTTCATGGTTTCAGACAAAAGTAAGTGCAAGAATGTCGTTTAATTTCTATTCGTAGTTTAGGCCCGTCCTCGCATTCAAATAACTTTGTCAATAAAGTTGCCCAAAACAAAGCTTAATTGTATCTAAAAGTCTGTCACTTCATTTTTCTCTATTTGCCAACAAAGAACTGAATAGTTATCGCTTAATTCTATGCTCCGAAATTATTTGTGCTACCTGATTCTAATTTTCTGATTGCAGAAAGTCTTTCGTGACCCACTTAAGTGATTTATTTTTATCGCCTTAAAGATTTTTTGCTAGATCTCAACCAATCGACTTTTTCAATTGTTCAGTCGTGATGCATTATTGTACTGTTTGCTCTCAAGTGTGAGATTTAGCAAACATATTTTTAAAACTTTTTAAAACAATGGCTGCCGCTGCCATTTCTTTCTTTTGCAAAAGATATATCAGATTGACACAAGCTTTATGAATTAGCTCAAAGACGATTATGAAATACTAGGGAAATGAAAACTAGAGAATTATTTGAGTAGACTGGCGGGTATTAGATGTCTTTTTGACGAATACATCTTCTTGACGAATACATGTTCTTGACAGCCAGTGGTGTAGATAAAAGGGGGTCAGGGGAGGTCAAAAACCAAACTATAATTTTTCGGAAAACAGCCAATTCGTCAGAAAATTTCTGATCTCGTCGGAAATTTAACATGGTTTTATTTTTTATCCAAGTGTTACATTTTGAATGGACAGTCTTTAAAGGTTATTATACCGATTTCTTCAGTTGTTCTGAAACATTTGGGCAACTTAAAATTTCTTTTTGCAAAGAAAAGACCATAAAATCTTCAATTATTATGTTTTATTACACATGAACTTGAGTAAATAATAAGACTTGATCTTCTGTTATATTTAAATTCTAATGTTGTTTTGTTATGTTTGAATCTGTGTCACAACTTTTTTGAATCCGTGCCAAATGCTCACCAATATGGTTCAGGGCAAGCCACAAAATGATATTTTCTAATATGATAAAATACTTTGCAATCTGGTATCATATCAGATCTGTGCACTTTTTTGGTAAAACAAGATTCCAGTAGATATAAAAGATCATTTTCTTTTGTCAGTTTTTTGTCAAAAGCCTTTTTATTCAACAAAAACTATCAAATTTGATTTTGAAGTGAAATTTATTGTTCTGTCTTATTGTTCTGTTATTGTAAATCATCAATTACATTTAAAACCACCTTAGAAAATGGGGTGCTCTCTCCTCGATTAGTTCATCTACTGAGAGAGCTCCTCCTAAAGAAACTCCCCTTCAAACAATATCTTATGTAATTGTTATTTATTGTCTGTTATTGTAAGTATTTTATGTGATGTGTGGACATTTTATGTAATTTGTTGTAATGTAGTTGTAGTTAGATATTGTAGGTAGAGGAGTTTTAGAATATAATTGAACTGAACCGAACTGAACTGAATTGAACTGAACTGTGTTCTAATGTATAAAAAAATTGGAAATGTTTACTATGTTTTTGTTGGAAAATCTCAGTTCCTATCTACCCTCCCTCCCATAAAATTTCCTATCTTCGCCACTGTTGACACCTTAATTGAAAGTCCACATAAATGATACTTCACGCATTATTTTAATTTTAGAGGAGACCATAGAATTTGACATATTTTGATAAAGTATTCTATCAAGTAATTGATCAATAGATCTGCATCAAGGTTATAGCCTTGTGAGCAGTTGCTTGATGTTTTGTATATTTTCTTTAAAAACAACCTGCCCAACAATACATGCATTACAAAATTTGATTTTTGTTGCCTTTATATATCTTTATGATGTATTTATTTTTCTATAAATAAAACTTTTAATTTTAGATTGGTACATATGATAAAGCAAACTGGGAAAGGATTGTTGAGAAACATGAAATATCTGTGAGTCTTGCTTCTTTCTTACTTTGTTCTTCTTTTTGCTCATTATGGTTCCTGTTTGCATTGGCTCTCTTGGTGGATTGTCTTTCACATCAGCTTATTTTTCCTTGTTGGTTACATAACCATATGGTTTTGTGAAGATTCCTTTATTTGTTATGCTTATTCATAAATGTAAGCCTTATATGTAAAAAAGTTTGAAGCCGAGTTTGGTTATTTTGTAGCTCCTTCCAGATCTCCAGAAAATACAACATCTAAGGAGTGTAAGAGTTCGCACAGATCTTATTGATGTTGACCTTGTAAGAGGTAAGTTTGATTTATTTACTTTTCTCCTGTGTTCCAAAGTTCTCAGGTCCAAAATTGTGTCTATAAGAGCCTAATAGTAATGTATTTGTGAAGAATCCAAAATTCTCTTTTGTTCACAGGTTCTACATTTTCAAAGGCAAAACCTGGATATCATTGGACTCAAGTCACAAGAAAAGCAATTTTGAGAGTTTTGCTCTTCCCTATTTATTGGCAATGGCAAGTATTTTGATACAGTAGTGTTCCTAATTTTTCAATTAAACTAAGTAAGACTGAAACACTTTGACTTGTAAGCCTGTAAAGCATCTTGAATAATAAAATGACTCTATTCATTTACCATTTTTATCCTTACTTTTAACTTTTAAGCATTTAGAATCCTTTCACTAATTGTCCTGTATGGTAAGAGATTTCCTGAATTAGAAACATAATTTTGTTTTTTCAAGGTGGCAACAACAGACATCTTTCATCCTATGGCTATTCTTTGTGATGCTATACTTCTCTCAGTTGATAAGCTTAAGCTTCTATCTCTCAGATCGAACAGATGATATGAAGGTAACACTGCTTATTCACCGTCATATTGTTTGACATTCAAGTCAATTATTTCATCTTTTATCATTATCAGCCAAAACAAGAGCTTTTTTATTTTATATCACAGCCCTAAGATACCTAGAATTTTTCACCAAATCAAGAATGGGGCAAATATCATATGTGACAATGTTGGTAAATCTTTCTTATCAAGCTTATTCCACATTAGCAACAGAGGTTAATGTATATGTACCTGATTAAATTAGCATAATTATTAAACCCATAAGACCATGAGCTGGCAGTTATGACAAACTCTGTACATGTTTTGATTTAACCAGTTCTGGCCCATCAAAGCTGTTTTTTATCCCATATCTTAGCCTATTTTGTGTTTTCATGGGAAAATTTCACTCACAAGATGAAATCCAGCAACCTGAGAGAATGATTTCATTTGCCCCTGAAATTACAAAGGTTTGCATAGGGCAGTGGTATCTCACCACTCATCTTATTTGCTTGAAAGTGAGATAATTTTGTTCAAATCAATAGGCCCTAGTAGATGGTTACAGTGACCAGTGCTTAGACATCAAGTAGACAAAGATTGATTTGGTGCTATGCAACTGTCAAATAATGGTTTGAGGGCTGCAGCTCTACCAAGGTTGCAGTTTGTCTTATGATATTTTCTTGAAATGCAATCAGCTAATTATTCTATTATTCACATAATTATTTTTCTTTTAGGATATTCCATTTACAGAAGCCATCAGTCCTGTTATTGTAAGCAATTTTTAAACAATCTTTTGGTGGTACAAAACTTGAAAATGGCTTTGAAAAAAGCAAACATTTAGTAAACTAAAGCTTTTCGTCTGACACTCTTCAGAGTTCGAAAACTCTGAAACGTCAGAACATAGATCGAAAACTCTACGCTGGGAAATATATATACCCAGTTGTGGATCAAAATAGGCCAATCAGAAACACGAACACATGAATGTTGAGGTTGACTAATCAGTGCCCCTTGCCTATCAAGAATGTTACCAATGGAGTCCTAAAGTGAAAACGAACTCCTTTTGTCTACACAGTAGCGTGCTTATGTAGATAGATTCCAAAACTGCTAAGTGAAACAACGATCGGGCTTTACCAATAATCCGAAACATGTTGCCATTATAGTTTTTTGCACAATCTGGGTTTTCCAGTAAATGCTGTCCGATAGCAGAATCGCAGGTTTTAGTTGTACTTTTAGATCTGCAAGATCGAGGTGGCTGTTCTCTTTGGGGACGAGTTTTGTTTCTAATACTTTGTTAATGATAAGCAATTTTTGTAAAATCATATAGGAATATTTGCCACTTATTATCCCTATCCATATAAAGGATCGCCAACATGTTGCTTTTTAGTAGTTTTCAACTCCAAAAGCCAAACTAAAAGCTAACCAAATAAAACTTAAGAACATTCATTATATCCAATCATTATTAAAATCTTATTTTATTCTTTAAACCTGTTACATGTAATATTTAAAACTTACATTTCTAGATTATCTTTTTCTGCCTTTGACCTTCTTTATTCTTCATTTTTCTATTAGGCACTTAAAACTTCCTGACAGTTTAACTAATAAGCTATGTATTTTTTTGGTTATATTTTTAGATAATGATTTTATTGGGAGAAGTATATATCCATGTAGTATCAACAAATTTTACAAAGCCCTCAAATCATCTTGTGAAGAAAAAAAGAAAAGTTAGAAAAAGGAGTAATGGAAGGTAAATAGTTTAGCTGTGTATTTTCTAGTTCATTTTATCATGCATGTAAAGCAAGAAGACATTATTTATATAGAAAACTAGTTGAATTACCAGTTAGCATATCATATTTTCTGGCTTATCATTTTAAAGCATGTTTACACAAAGTAGGATGTTGCTCAAATTTTGAGAATTGGTCTGGTCATGTTTGCATAATTTTGTTCTTGTTTGATAATGCTCATGTAGTTCTAAACTGTCTTGCAATTTAATGCTAATTTTTTTTATTTAAAAGTAGAGTTGTGGTTTGTTCCATAGTTACCTTGAATAGATTTCAAGGACATTTTGAGTTAGTATGAAATATTATACATGAGGGACAAGAGCTGTTTGATTGATGAAATAGTATTTCTCAAATTTAATCGGATCAGCAGCTGTTGGGTTACACTACCAACATTAAACACGGATGACATGGCTTTTTTCACTTAAAAATTCTTATGTAGTACTTGCATAAAGGAACCAGCACAAGGGCAAAGTCTAAATAATGATATCACCCATGAACACCCCTCCCCCACATTTCGAAACCTATCTCGGCCCTTGAACCAACACATATTAAGAAAAATATGATACAAAAATACACATTAACTGTGATAAGATCGTGGTTTGTCCTACAACCTTCAAGATTGCCCATCACTTTTGCTTTTTAAGCCATCTTAAAAGTATGTTTTATTGAAGAAAATTTAAATTATCTTTGCATACCATCTTTTAAAGGAAAAAAAGAAAGGGAAGTAAAGAAGAGAATGCACAAAATGTCCCTCAACAGCAGGAAAATCATGCCACTAAGACAGTCGAAACTGTCAGGCAAAGAAAGGTTCAAGACAGCGTTAAGGAGGAGCAGCCTGAAGAGGCCAAGTGTAAGCCATTCCTAACACTAACAGATGTAAATTAATAACGAAATTTAATCCATTCTTCCTCTCACATTTTTCGATACTCACAAAGATACTCATTTTTCTGGTGACATTTTGGCCTCTACCCGACGTTTTGGCCTCTACCCGACGTTTTGGCCTCTACCCGACGTTTTGGTCTCTATCCGACGTTTTGGTCTCTATCCGACGTTTTGGTCTATATCCGACGTTTTGGTCTCTATCCGACGTTTTGGTCTATATCCGACGTTTTGGTCTCTATCCGACACTTTGGTCGTCACTTGAGTACTTTAAGTACACATGTCTTACGTATTACCATGTTTCCTTCTTTCGTGGATAATGGTCTTAGTCTCGTTGTTTTTAAGAAGAAATATAAAAGTTTATGAATTTAAATAAGCAAACCAGTTTGTCATATGTTGGACTGTGCTGTGCTATGTTTTGTCTTGTCAAGGCAATCTCATTCAAAGTAGGAAACATTTGGGAATCGTATTAGAAAAGTTAACATTTGTAATGAATTGCTTTCAACGTTAGGTCAAGAGGATGCAGAAGAGCGTCAAGATAAGCCTTCGTCAGGGAGGGATTCCAGCACAGGTGACACGTCATCGGGGTCTGATAGCAGCAGCGATTCTTCGACTTCCTCGATATCAGATTCTGAAAATGGCAATGATCTGAATGACGAAAACCCGTTTCATACTGCGCCTAGCACGGCAGTAAATAAAGGACAGAATTCACATTTTGATTTAAGACCATCGCCTGTCGAAGAAACAGGTGAGAGAAGGATCTTATATTCAATTCTCTGCTTCTCTTTTATTTCATTTTTTTAAGAAAGTTTTAAAGAGTGTTATCAAAGTATAACATAATTTTACTGGTTAAATGAGGAGTGTTTAGCATATTGTTAATTTTGTTATAATATGATATGGTAATGGAACATTTTAGCTTCAGAACTTGTCGGATAAACTGTTATGATGGACTATCTGTTTTTTTCTCAAGTTATGGTATCAGTATGGGATGGAAATTCATTCAAAAAAGTCAAGATGACATTGCTAGAAATCAGTTCTACAATTGTACAGAAAGTTGTAAGTTCTTTCATCGCTCAATCATAGTATTTGCCAAAAGATGAGCTCGGCAGTCAGTCATCTTTGCTGTGTTATCTTAAAAAACCAAATCTTTATTGATGATGATTCGGAAATTTGGTCATAAAGCGTTATTTACTGAATGATTTTCAAAATGACTAATTTTAATCTTTCATGAATTAAGCTTTTTATAGATCTCCATTTTAGTTAAAATATTCACTTTCTTTTCTGTCAAGTTTATCGCATTATCTTTGAAACTTTATCGGATTTGTAAATAAATCCGGATTTTCAAGTTAATCCAGGCTTTGTTTTATTTTTGTGAAATGTAGTTATTTCAAGCAGGCAAAATATTGTAATTTGCGGAATGTGGTTACTTGGTTTTATAGTTTATTCTCTTTATTGCAGGATTCGCATCAAGTAACAAATGATTACTTTCCAGTTGGAATCTTGTCCGCTGTTTTTCTATCTCTTCTGCCAATGTTCTTTAGAATTTACAAAAAGGGAGTGAGTATCATTTGTCCGTGGCTTGATTACCCTAAAAGTCTTTATTAATGAGAATGAAATAATGGTTATTAACAATTCATTTTTGAAAAGACTCATGAATAACCATTTCTTCTATGAAATTTTTTTTCGTATTAATCAAAATAATTTTAGCTATGGTCAACAATAATCGGTTATTGAAATGTCGTCATAAAAACAATTTTTCAGTATCTGAGACTTCTAAAGATTTGAAAATGGGTATCTAAAGATGTAAAAATTAAAGCGGTTCTTTCACATAATAGACCCACTGCCTGTTTTCCCTTGTCAGTTACTATTTATGTTTGATTGGATTATTCTTGAAATAATTTGTCAAGTTGCAACGAAAATCTTTGAACCACTTTGTCTGTTTTTGGAAAGATCGGAAAGTAAAATGAATTTTGTCAAAATTTTACTCTCAGAATTCTTTGTAAACAAATTTTGATGGTTTTGTTTTATAAAAAACAACGAAACAATTTATTGGTTCTGTTATCCTAAAACCCTTTGTTCTTTCGACCACTGTCCATCTAACACCGTAGCACTGATCTAAAGATCTAACACCGCGTTAAGCTAAACTAAAGAGATGCATGAGAAATGCATGAGTAATAAAGGCCCTTGTGGTGGTTGTGGTGAATCGCTACAAGTCACCTGTTTATTGATTATCAAATCGCTTTTGTAGCTTCCTGATATCCCTGATACACTGAATGGCGCATCTAGTTTTTCACATCAGTTATTTATCGCAATGTGTGGATCTCATTCGCGGTAAGTTGCACCTGTTAACTTCAGGTCCTTTACACTTTCCATTGATATTTCTATGTATCACGTGGCAGTTAGCACCTCAGACTTCAGTCTTAGTCGTGTGCGGTGACGAGAATAACACCTGATTATACTCTGTTAATAAATGCTTTAGTCAATGTGGCGGCCCAGTGCCAAGCTACAACGATCTCTCCCGATACTTCTAATAATTTATTAGCTTCCGATTCGCCGCCTTGAAATTCAGAAAAGATTGTAGGGCGGGTATTTGTCACATTAAAAAGATATTTTAAATGTATGTAATTAAACAAGGTCTTTTGTCTTTCCTGCGTAACTTTAAAATACTATGTTGTTCCAATTTCGAAGACAGACATTATATAATATACCTTAGGATCTTCATACTGTTTTCCCTCTTTCTATTTAACTTAGCTATTACATTTTCACTGCCCTTCGCGTAGTTTTTACATCATGATAAGGTTTCATTTTCTTTTTCCCTAGGTCTCAGCTCGTCGTTCTAATTAACATGGTATCGAGGTTTTCTCTAAGTTTCTCATTCTTTTTTCTTCTTTGCGTGGCAGAGCGGGCCTATCGAATGGTGAGTTATCCATATATTTGTTCAAAACTTTTCGCAATAACTGAAATATAATAAGCTATTGGGGTAGGCGCCTGATGTCTGACCCTGCTGTTATGATAACGATTTCATGTAGTTTTCTACCCTCTCTTTGATTCACCACTTCCAAATTGGCCTCTTTTTGCCGTCAAATCTTTGTGCTAGGTAATGTCGCATATGGAAATCTCATTGCCCGTCTTTTAACTTTGTGCAAACAAAACTTTTGCTGCCTTAAAATTTTTTCCCCATTCTTAAGAAGCAAATCCAATGCTTGTAAGTAATGAATTCAAAAGTTCTCTTTACCACCTTAAAAAAATTCTTTTTTTATCTCACTTCTTTCTGTCATTAATATCCCACTGATTCGTTCATTGCTCATTTCTTTATGACTTTTGGTCTTTTGATCTTCTTCTGACAACATCCTTGACTATAAGAAATTCCGCTTCAGCTGTCCAACATTTAAAAACTCATGACGCGAAATTTTCTGTAACTGAAAATGTGCTGCTCATTAAACTTGATAAACAGGACAAAGATAGCCGTCTGGTAACATTGATGAATGTATGAGTGAGCTAATACTTCTAGGATCAATATGAAATTTTCAAAAATTCTTAAAGATTTTCAAGGATTTACAGATTTGCAAGGTGGTTACAATAAATCTGGCAACTTAGAATTTTTCTCTTTTACGCATCATCGCGTTAGTTTAGTAATTCATAATTCAGATATGTCTATTATTTCTTGAAATAGCCAAATAACTTCCATTTATCAACGGTATGTGGAGAGAGTTTCTCAAATCCTGTGGTGAAATTGATCGATGTCTCTGTATCTTCGCAACAAAATTGACAAATTTTTTGGTACAATTACCATAATCCGTCCATTTTTTATAAATCTTTAATGCAATCGTCCTGTGTTCATTCATAAATGCTAATTCACCTGTTTTCCTTTTGGTGTTTTGACATTTTCATCGGCTCCTTGAGGATATGATCCAATCAATATTCTTTGGCCAAAATCAGGATGTTTGCTTTGCTAAGATTCTTAATGCGCTGTTGTCCAATTGCCTTGTTTAATCGTTGTATTTGGCTGGAAAGCCTTCCTTTCAGCAACTTTAAGTTGTTGCTCACATGTATGGAATTTGTGTTCTGTTTAAAATGTTTATAGCCATTTTCTTTGAAGGTTAATGCAATGACCCTAGCCAATTTCTGCGTCGAGTGGCAAACGGCGCAGTCCACAACCGCTTTTCCTACTATCATGGGAACTACTATTCTCCACAGACCAACATGTTCCTATAACACTTCTATAGTTCTTCCTTTCTTATGTTGAATGAGGGGTTGTTTGGCCCAAGTATTAATCACGGTGCAAACGAGTATTTGCGAAGTACACGTCTTGAGGACTATTTCTTCCCTGTTGTATGCGTAATGCTAACAATACAATATCTGCAATCTTGAGAATAGCTTTCTTTCCGCTGTATACCTCGTCTCTTTCATCCATTTGTAAATAAAGACCGACATTTTACCGCTAATCCTATTCGGGCCTTCATTTTCCCTGTAATATTTTTCTAATACTTCTGTTGTCTTCATTTCTATGAATGTTATTTGCCTTCCTCTACCTATTTTTCATTTGGAATTTTCTGACAATTAGAAAACAGCAAAATTAGCGATATTGTTTGCAATTTAAAATTTTCTAAAATTGATGAAAATTCACTAGCTATTTTTCAGCCTTTTTGGTATTCATTGCTAGGGGAAATGCTGTATTAACTTGCACATCTTGTCAATTTGTAGAGATATCTATATGCAAAATACTTCGGGGCATTGACATCTGCGAGGAAAGCGAGGCGGAATTGTTTACCTCATTTTAGACTGCACAAAGTAAGACACATTAAGACATGGCTGTCTTTGAGATCTTTTCTAAAGGTAAGAGTCTCCGCGATGCTCCTCAAAAAGTTAATATAACCATTCTTGCATCTCAGCCATATAGACACATCATTTTCATCCACATTTTTGTCAAGAAAAGATAACGCTTAATCTATTTAGAAATTACGGCATGATTTTATGGTATTATTTGGAATACAATCCAAAAAGTGCAAATAATGCCAATTGGAAATTTTTCATTGCGTTCTGCGAAGATATTTCAACTGGCGCTTTTCTCACTGACATGCGGGTAATATGTTATGTTTTATAAAAATGAAAATATAATTGATGCGGCTATTGATACATCATCAAGCCGTTTCTGGTAACATTGCAACGTAAGACCGAAGAAAATTGCAGTGTTTGGAATTTAGCATTACTAATAATGAATAAAGGTATCTAAGAACTGAACTATCCCCTAGGTTTCTTAACAGGGGCGGACACTTGATCAATTATTGGGGGGGGGCAAGCCTATTGTTTTAATAAGATGACGTCACATTTCCGTCACATTTTAAAACAAAAATCCATTGTCCTCTAAAGTATTGGGGGGGGGCGGTCGCCCCCCCTCGCCCCCCCAGGTGTCCGCCACTGTTCCTTAATACTTATACCATCAACAGATAGGAAAAAGCTGTTTTCCCTTCACTTTTATTTGGTAATCAATAACCTTGTCTATATAAGTTTCGGTATTTATTTATTATCACTTTCCCGTTGCTCAAACAAATCCTTTTCAATTTGTTCTTAGAATTTGATATCATTCTTGTTTTTAACTGGTGTTGAAATTAACTTTATAGAAACGTGGACCTCAGCGATCAGTTGATACAATTATGTCTTCGTCGTTCCTACTTGGTTTGGTATTTGTCGTAATCACGTGCATTCAGGTACACTTGAATTTTTGCTGATTGTATTGTTGAGCAGATGTTTGCTTTGCAACAAGATCTGTTGGATATACATTTGATCGGATTCGTATACCATCGTAAAGTGTGATTGTATGTATATATCTAGAGATTGGTGCAATGGACACTTAAAGTTGTATTTCCAAAGAGTTTACTCTCTTGATGTTATTTCTGACAAGTTAATGGTCCGACCGACTTCATATTTTGTTATGTTTCAAACTTTAATCTCCGCCACTGTTCCATGATCTTTGGCTTTATCAATCTTGTTTGCAGAAAGCTGTTCGAAGATGTTTCATTTTGCTCTTGTAGAATTGAAACTACCCTTTTCCCTTTTGAAAGAACGGAGTCGTTGAATGCTTTGCACAATAAGCACCCTTGAATTACATTTGAATCTGTCATATTATAATGCATTTCGGGGAGGTAGCCCCTTGCCTACTCTGACCTGTGCTCAAAACGCGCTTTTTGAGGGTTACAGACTTTTAAGATTTGAAAATTTGTGTACATTTGACATCCTTTTTAAGAAATTCTGCGATTCATGTGATTGCAATGCAGATGTGCTAGTTTTGCCATTATATTGAAATGCAAATGTCGCACTTATGATAATGCTAAATATAAATGTTCTTTGAACTGCAATGTTATTTATGATCCTGTCTTGCTCTTTCAGTTCATCAAATACAACGGAATTTCTGACAAAGACTCCTTTATATCTTATTACTTCAATTGGGAAGTTACAGCATGGTACGTAATTATTCTGTCAAACGTATGCCACTACAAGGGCAAATTACTTTCAAAACAGTGCATAATGATTACTTTGTAAATAGTTAAGAATGTTTATTTTGTTTCCCTGCTAGAACCCTTGAACATGTTTTAGTGGCTAAAACAACCACTATTTATGTTTGTATTTCCAAACTTTCGCTCTACTGTGAAAACTCCAGTCTCTTTGACTTTTTTAAAAAACATCTTAAGACAACAAAATGCGAGCATTGCAACTGAAGGATTTGCAAAACTTTTATATATGGTTTCGGTTTTTTGTAATTATTATGTATTTCTTTCGTATACACCTTTTGTAAAAAGTTGGCCTAAATTAGCTTTTATTTTTAGCTATTTCGAACAGCCAACATCAAGTATTAATAGTACTATTAGTAATAATAATAATAATAATGATAATAATGATAATAATAATAATAATTGCAGAGCAGAAGGGTTGTAGAAAAGGGAGTAGGGGCACAAAGGACCAATTGCTAATTGATAAAATGATAGTGAAGAATTGAGAAGAAGATTAACATCATTGGGGGAAGCATGGATTGATTATCGCAAAGCGTACGACACGGTACCTCACAGCGGGATAGAAAAGGCAATGGGGATGTTTGTGGTGGCAATAAATATGAGGCGCTTCATAGTGGCAGCATGAAACAGTGGAATACAGAGTTGATGTCTGGTGATCAAAAATTAGGAAATGTTTGGATTAGACATGGTATATTCCAAGGAGATAGCCTTTCTCCTCTTTTGTTTGTGTCGGCGATGATTCCACTGACGCTGATGTTAAGAAAAACAAATATATTTTATCAATTAAAAAGGGGAGGAGAGAAAATCAATCATTTACTATGTATGGACGATCTCAAGCTTTATGCGAAAAATGAAGAACAATTGGATAGTTAGGTAAATTCAGTGAGGATTTTCTCGGATGATATAAAAAATGGAATGGGGATTGTCGAAGTTTGCGGTTTTAATAATGAAGAGAGGAAAGATTGTCACAAGAGAAGGAATTGATATGCCTGATGGAAAAATGATGAAATGTGTCGAGGAAGGGAATGGTTATAAGTATTTGGGGATCTGGGAGACGGATGAAATAAAACAAGAGGAGATGAAAAATCAAGTAACCAAAGAGTATGTTCGAAGGCTCAGAGCCATATTAAAGTCGAAACAAAAAGGTGGGAATACCATATCAGCTATCAACTCTAGAGCTGTATCAATCATAAGATACGAAGCCGGTATCATAGGATGGTCAAAGGCTGAACTGCAAGCTTTGGACAGAAAAACTAGGAAGATGTTACGATGTATGGGGCACAGCATCCAAGAGTAGATGAACATAGAATGTCTTTGAGGTGAGCTGAAATAGGAAGAGGTTTAATTGGAGTAAAAGATTGCGTAATAGTAGAAATTGACAGTTTGGAGAAATATCTACAGAATGCTAAGGAGGAGCTACTAACGGCAGTGAATAGAAATGATACTTTTGGGGTCAACAGCTGTGGAAAATGCAAAGAAGAAGTACAAAAGGAACACGAAACCGCTTTTAAGGAGAAGACATTACACGGGCAGTTAAGAAAAGGGATCGATGATAAGAAGAGGTAAATCGTGAGATTGGTTAAAGAATGGATATTTAAAAAAGACTGTTTCTACTACTGTTTCTTTTGTTCTGGGTAACAAGATTAAAGCGATCATTTTTCCTTCTATTGTATAATGCTCCTCAATATTTTTCTTTGTCAGAAGATGAGCTAGTTATAACTAGATTATCAGCGTCAAATGTTACATCCAATCTGTTATATAAGGGATTCAGTTATAGCCGTGATTAAATCCAAAATACAAAAATATAGGCGAGATCAATCGTGCTTTAAGCATATTGGCATTCGTATTTCATCCCTCGTGATTTGCTAGTTCTATGGTTCTCGTCAGCAAGCATTTATTATTTCTCCAATGCTTCACACATTCGTTGTTATTCATGTGTAATCAAGAAAGGAGGTTTATGTAATTACTTTTCGTCATTTATCGTCAAGATCGCTTTTCAAGTAATTTGAAGATTTAAGTAAAGGTTTAAGAAAACAAATTCGATAGTATGACATGTCAATCTGCATTTTAAAAATTTTAATGCCAAGTCAGATTTGTTTTTAAAATTCATATTAATTGATAATATAACATCAAAAAATTTTTGCTTTAAGTTTACACTTAGTTAGGAATTTCTGCTCAGTGCCCTGTTTGTGCCCCCTGGTCTATTATCTTGTGATTCACAACCCATTCTTTCATTTCTTTAATCTCTTTGCTCCATCTATCCAGTTTTGAATAACACTCAGAATATGTTTCCAGCACTCTTGCTGCCATGAACATCTCACATTTGATCAACTGAAAGAAGAAATTCATTAGTGCTTTTCGTAACTCTTTGTCAAATTCGTCGATCTGTTTTTTAAGCTGTCCTTTCTTTTCAAAAAGCTCAGATTCTGTTCTCGCTGCAAGATCTTTTGCTTTACGAACCGTCCTTCCCTTTTTTAACAGACTCTTTGTCGTGACATAGCGTTTCCTTGCAGACTTCATTTTTCGGCAACTATCTTTGTATTCACTTAAGGCTTCTCTAGCGCTTCGATAAACTCTTTTAACATGTCTCAGGTTGGCTCCAACAATCATAAGCATCTTCTGGCGCATTTTACGATGCCCGTTTGCTTGCTTGAATATTCGTGCAAATATTCGTAACATCATACCTGTTTCGCCAGATTCGTCCGTTCCATAATTCGCGAAGAAATCTACAAAATTATCCATAACGCTCGAAAGCTTTGATGTTTCATTTATGTAGGAAAACAAACGGGTTTCAATAGATCGAGTTTTCTTTTTGGTCATCTTGATTCGATGCTTCAAGTAAGGTATGTGATCCCGTCTCCTTGGGTCTTCAATATCTAGCATTTTTTCTCCTTTAGCCCTGTCAGTAGCGCTCTGTCTTTGCAGCGAACAAAACTAAACCACGTTTTTGCCTCTCCGATATATAATCAAAAGCTTTTCATAGATGCGTCAAAATGCAAGCAATGTTTCGGTGCGCCTATTCGTGTGACGTTTGATTTGAATTTGCCACCTCTAAGGTACATTTATGCTCATCGATAACGCTGAACTTCTTTTTTCAGAATTAAACCCAAGGATAATAGATTTTTCGATAGCAAATGCATCCACTGTGCCTCCAAAACTCCACTTTGCATAATATGGAACTGAATATAGATGTGTAAAAACAAACGTATTTTTAATCCCGATTTTTCCCTAAGTCACATTATTAGTAACAGCTACTTTGAAAATGTTTCTATCTTGCAGGACGATGATCATTGGAATCTACTTAATACGCTTCTTAACACTTGGTGCCGAAATAAACTTGAAATACAGAAACAATACTGTTTTACTTACTGAACAGGTAACTGTGCAGTTTGAATCATCTTGTCACAGCTAAAAGCTTTCTTCACAACAGCTAAATGCTATCTTCACATCCTCGCATATTGCCCTGAATTTCGATGCATCTTCTCAAATAACACGGCTTCAGAATTTTTGGAGCACTTGCGCAAAGCTAAAGCTTTTTTGAAAAAATCCCCCCTCCCTACCCTCTTACCCCCTACATTAAAATTTTGTTCAATTTGGCTGTTGTTTTGATGCTGAAAGTAAAAAAAATTTAACTGAAAGCTGTATGAAGGTATTCAGAAAATAAATCAAAATTGTACGTTGGGAGGGGGTCGAAACTTTGGAAGCGGCAGCGATGTTTTGGTAAGGTAGTTTTATGCTTGCTTTGTTTATTAGCATGCCGCAATAGGAAGGCGCTCCAACTATTTTTAGAAAGGATTGTAGACTTTTCTTTTGAGTGCATCATGCCTTTTCCTTCGAGATAGATACACAATTCATTTGATATTGTATCAAAATTATAATCTTCTTTAATCTCTCCTTTTGTAGATTAATCTCTATTTACAAATGGAATATACTCCGCAAAAGAAAGAGGAACTCTCCATTGCAAATAATGTACTTAAGTTAGCGTCAAAACTGTTAAAGGTAATGATAATTCAATTATTTTATATTCTAAATACCTTTTTAGCTTGAAATCCTGAAAGCAGAACTCTCAAGTTTATGCGAGGGAAATTAAGACTGCTTTGCTGTGAAGATGTTAATGATGAAATTAAGATATATAACCTCAAACATGTTGGGCAGCATGTTCCGGATTTAAATCGTTTTATAGTGTAAAAAGCTCTCGAAATGCAGATGGCCCTTTAAACTAGGTGGTTAAGGGATGAGAATGCCGCAAGAAGTGCCCCAAAATTTGTCGTTTTTCATACTCAATATCGCCAAAATGCAATATTTGTTTTTTTATTAGATACATCATTAGATAAACAACTGCCGTATTTTTTTATAATGTCCAGAGAAGCATTTACAAATTATTTGCTCCTTGATGCTAAGCTGCCTTTACAATTTTTTACCTCTTTTGTTGCCAGGCCTCATTTCCATGCTACCTCTTTTGCAGGAACTTGAGAGTCCGTTCAAAATTTCTGGTTTTATTATGAGTCCGCTTTTATCGAACATCATTCGTGTGGTTGTATTATCCCTGTTTTCTGGTGTTATGTCTGATATCCTTGGCTTCAGATTAAAGGTTTGTCGTTTTATGTGAATTCACGCCTTTTGGGGCGATAATCATCTGAGAATATAAAGCCTCAATGAATGCTTTAGCCAAACTGTAACTTATTTTAATTAAGTTCTAATTTTAACTGAGACATAGTGTCTATTCTTTGGAAATATTTGGCTTTACAACTTTCCAATTTGTTTCATTCAAAATTGTAAATAGATAGGTATTATTATTGTTGGATTTAGGATGGTTGCTTTGTGGCAACTTGAGGAGAAAAAAATATTCGTATATTTCTTAACCTAAATGTTCATTATGGATGTCTCGAATATTTATGTATTTTTGCACGCAATTATGTTGAATATTTCCTCAACCCCTACACATCAGACTGTTTTCATTGATATCTTGAGGCAGTTCAAATAATCCAGCAGAGTTCTCATTATGATAATACTGTTGAGTATTATCATAATGAGTACGATAAATTCCTCAAGCTGTGCTAAAGAACGTTTCATCGCTTAAAACGTTTCGAGTAATTATGTCTTTGCATAAAAATTTGATGGTTTTCATTTGTATTATCAATTCTAAATAAACTGAATAAAAATTTCAATTTCAGCTATGGAAGATAAAAGCTGAGTAGAAATCTGCAGTCGTTGTGTTGCTGATTGAAGACTCGTACAAATTAGTAACTGGCAAATTGTAAACGTGTTTTCTCTCATTGCACAATGATGAGTTTGTGCATTGCAGTCAAAACTAGAAGACTTGTCCTTCTACAATTTGCATCTAGTGTATAGAGTGAATTATTATTTGGAAATAAAAACTTATGTTTAAATAGAAATTATGGTAACTAGCTGTTCGCAGTATATATTATGTGCATTTAAAATTGCATTTTTAACCAAATTGTAGTTTATAAAGACTCATCTTCTTTCTTTAAAGTTTTTAAAGCCTCATCTTCCTTCTATAAAGTTTATAAAGCCTCGATTATTCACTCAGCATCCAATCATATGGCTCACTTCTTTCATCAAAGACTGTTTGATGGTCCAAGGATTTTTCATGATTTGTCAATTTGCTTCGAATTTTGAACTTCTTCTTTACTTGTATAGCAAATTTCATTCTTCAACAATCCTGAAGAACTTTACTACACGCACCATTTCTTCAGAACAAAACAGTTCAAATATTAAACAATAGTTTACCAAATATTATCATGTGCGAAGAATTTAGTGACGGTAGAAGCAGGCATGGTTGAGGAACACCAAGCATGGTCGAAGTCTTTAGACGTCTATATGAATAGAAAAGGAAGTAGGAAACAGTCCAGTGTACAGATAAAAAAGAAAACGAACAATTTATTTACTAGTGTTTTAATATTTTTTGTGAATGCTGCCTTCGAATTTTAACTTGGTCACAGCAAAAATACGGTTTTGCTGCCATTTCTGAACGATTGTGGCTAAGAAAACGTGATTTTTCATGTTTCTTTCTTTGTTTCTTCTTTCCGTGGCCCTTTCTAAGCATCACGCGTGTTTGCGATTGGTTAGTCCTAAGGAAATAGATAGACAATAATGCCAAGTCAAAATGATGTTTATATTTAGATAACTTGGTACCTTTATTTTGTTTAGAAACCATAATTAAAAACACAGGTACACGATGATAATTTTTTCTTAGAATTTCGCAATTACCATCCGGCAACCCAAGTGATGTTTCTCGTGATCTAATTTTGAAACGATTTAAGGTGTTTTTAAAACTATGTCATACCATCATGTTGAAATAAGCTTTTCTGTTGAAAACATTTTGAAGTACAAAGTAAAAAGTTGGCGAGGCTAGATTCTACGAAGATTTAGTTAGGGGTTGCTAAAATTTGACGTTACATTATCCTTTGGAGTTACCATTGATCTAGGACAGTTAGGAGGAATGGTGAAGTTGGATTGCGATTTCCAATCGAACATTTTGTGACGAGAACAGAGTAGCGCAGGTTGCCATGTTTCTTAAATCAGCTTCAACGTTTGGTAATATGCAGCACCAAAGGCCATCCGACCAAAGCTGGTAAGCCTAGAACAAGTGACAATCCAATCAGAAAAGTTTCTTTTATTTTGTAAACAGGTCGGGGAAATTGCTCCCTGGTCCTCCTTCGTCTGGGGACCGGATTAGTGCGGGGCTATGTGCTTTAATTCTCTTTTCATTAGCAGACTTTCTGTTTGGTTCTATTCGCTTGTTGATTTCAAAAAAAGTGTTATATGTGCAGAAAGTACTAAAATAGACAATTGTTAAGCATTAAACGACGACAAACAAATCCACAAGTCAACTGGAAGATCCATAACACTTACAAAGACTTTTGTCGAGGAAAGTAACCTGTCTTTGCCAAAATTCAATATTTACTTCTTAGCCACCCCCCCCCCCCATCCCCCCTATTTCAGCTGAACAATATGCAACCAGTTTCCCTAGCTATTTTGTTATCTCAATAATTTCACGTACATAAAATCACAAAAACATGCTAATTCATTAAAACAAACATTTTTAGAAGCAACTGAATTGTTGGGCACAGTATGTATGAAAGTTGTGAAAAACAAAAATTGGCTGAGCGTTAATCATGTGAAAATTTGAATGTTTGAGCATGGTTTGAGCAAAACCTACCATCTTCCATTTTGCAAGGTTGCTTTTAGCAACGTTTTCAAATACTTTTCAGTGCAGTGTGCGATACAATTTTACGACCAATATTTTTTGTACAGTAATCGTTTAAACATATAATTTGCAGGGACGGATTTAGCGGGGGATGTAGGGGGTACGACACCCCTAAATAGTTCTGTACCCTCGGTAAATTTGGCTTCATTTGTGAAAAATCATTTGTTGGTAGTCAGTAGTAACAAAGTAACGCCAAGATTTTACTTTATTTTTTTAGCAGTATTTATCTTCTTATCAGTAGCGCAGCGGGGGGGGGGATATTCTCAAATTTACTCTAAGCTAATCTCGAGAGCATCGTCGCAAAAGTTTTCTGCTCGCTTATTTGATTACAACTTTGGAAAATCACTTTTTCCACGTAGAGAATACTCGCCTTACACAATTGAGGAATCAAACGTTAGTGGAATTGTGAAGGAAGTGGACAGTTGTAGAATATCGTCAGCCACCTATGACGTTGAATAAAGGGAAATTGCCACGTAAAAATGTCATGGCTTTTTCAAACACATTTACAAAATGGGTGTTTTCCCAAATTCTTAGGGTCGTGATCAGCAAAAATATTTTCCTCTTTGGCCTAACAATCTTCCAAACCTGGCCGTGTCACCGTTGAAAACCAAATTTTAAAAATGGGCGTTTCCATCATTTTCCAGTGACCTGAAGGGTGTAGCACCAAAATTAGTGTCTAACACCCCCCGATCATTGTTGCTTAAATCCGCCCCTGATAATTTGGTCACAAATAACTTTTTTGCAGCCTATTTTTTTAATAGGTCGTCACATCATAGAAAATGCAGATATTTTTCTTTAACGTAACTATCTGTGATGTTCAAATGAAATGGAATTGAAGTAAATTGAATAAGATTTGTCTCTTCCTAACATAAAATTTTATCTGCCTTTCCAGTTTGTACTCGATGGAATTGGACGCTTTAATAAAGCAAAGAAGTTTCTTGAATCTTGATTAATTGGTTCACTGAGAAAATTTAAGAACACATTTGTATCGATTTTAGGAATTTCTTCATTCGTTGTTTATGAACTTTTTAGCAATTTGTAATGTATGAATTTTTACCATGCCTCCTAGAACCCAAAAGACGACTTGCCACTGTCTCTCTTAGGGAGCATTGGAAAGCTTATAGGAACGCTATTATTTAGCAAGAATTGCAATGGTTCCTATCATATCCTATGACTTTCCATCGTTGGTGTTCGCTTCGACGAATCTTATTTAACGTGCGGAGAACACGGAGCCAGTGAGAGAGGCAGTGTATTGCTGTATAACTCTGATCTGAACTGAACTTGACTGACTGACTGAATTACATACAAATTAACATACTTATATACAAAATAAATGTGCTGAGTAATGATGTGTTGTGATGATGTAATGATGATGCAATGGAGAAGGAAAATCTAGACTTAGGAAGAAATCAGCATGACATAGATGTGTGAACCTGTGTACAATGGTGAAGGGAATGTCATGTGCTAGGTGATGTTGTGAATGACCTAGGTGGATGTCATGGTGATGGCATGATGTAGGAATATGGCCTAATTTACAATATTAAAATCACTACAATAGCTCCCCCCTTAGAATGCAAGCGGTTGTGAAGCATTCGATACGCAAGGGAAAAGAACTAGGAATAAATTTTAATATTGTAAAATCGATGAATTAAAAATATGAGTGAATTGCGATAAAATATTAATTGTTCGAAATTTAAATGTCCAACCGTTATAATTCGATGAGAGTTCGAGACGTAGCCGGTGTTTTCTTCTGTTTGTGATTTGGGAAAATTGTGCAAAGTTTTTTTCGTTGGATGACCATGAACCAGCTTGTTGAGGAGTTATTGAGCGTTGATGTTGCGTGGAGGCACTGCGGTGAGTCGAGTGCTGCGATGCGTTGAGGGCACTACGGTGAGTCGAGTGCTGCGATGTGTTTGAGGGCACTACGGTGAGTCGAGTGCTTGCTGCTTGTGTTGAAGAGCACTACGGTGAGTCGAGTGCTTGTTGCTTGTGTTGAAGAGCACTACGGTGAGTCGAGTGCTGATGGTTGTCGATAAATCCAAATGAGCTGGGTTGTGTGTGTGAAGCTGAGTTGATGTTGACGAATCCTTGTTGATGAAAAACTTGATGTGTCTGATGCCATCGAAGAGTTGATGTTGTAGTTGAAGTAGAATTGACCAACGATGGATGAGCGGGTCACGTCGTGGTCACCATTATAGGAACGTTATTATGTGGAATGAATTGCAATGGTTCCTATCATATCCTATGACTTTCCATCGTTGGTGTTCGCTTCGACGAATCTTATTTAACGTGCGGAGAACACGGAGCCAGTGAGAGAGGCAGTGTATTGCTGTATAACTTTGATCTGAACTGAACTTGACTGACTGACTGAATTACATACAAATTAACATACTTATATACAAAATAAATGTGCTGAGTAATGATGTGTTGTGGTGATGTAATGATGATGCAATGGAGAAGGAAAGATCTAGGCTTGGGAAGAAATCAGCATGACATAGATGTGTGAACGTGTGATCAATGGTGAAGGGAATGTCATGTGCTAGGTGATGCTGTGAATGACGTAGTTGGATGTCATGGTGATGGCATGAAGTAGGAATATGGCCTTATTTACAATATTAAAATCACTACAAGCTTAAACAACAGAATTTTCCAAAACAGGATCTTAACTCTTTTGAAAATGATCAATCAACTTTTTTGCAGCCCTGTGATAAATTTTTTGCTCTATGTCATTTTTCTCGATAACAAAAACATTTTGCTCTGATTCTTTGCGATGTCAGCGATTTTTGACGGCAAGTCTCATCCCGCCCGTACCTTTGTGCAGGGAGCGTCAACCACAACAACAATCACGATTTGCTGAATAATTGCTTCTTGCTTCTTCCGGGTGCCCCTGAATAAAACTGGTGCCTTGAAGACCCAGCATTCAGATTGACGCCCAGAAGCTGAGTTAGAGCGCTTGCAATGAGCATGAATCGGCCTTTGCTTAAAAGAACCTCCTCGATTTCGCAAAGAGTTGATCAAGAGAGGAACGACGTACCTCCCTCGATCAATCTGGAAGAATCTAAATCTGCAAAAGAAAATGCCAGGGACGATGGTAGAGCCAGGGTTGAGCAAAGCTTTGAGCAAGAAGATGATACTGACATGAGTAATGCATCGGATTCTGATACTGAGGAGCAGGTAAGTGGCCATTGACGTTTATTTAGACTTTTAGTTTTAGGGCAGGTGTCTCGCACCAGGGGTGCTTAGCTTACCTACCCCTATATGCAGGAATTGGTCCATTTTTTGAAGATTACTCAGGTGTGAAAAAGCAAAATTTTCTGCAAGTCACTGGCTGGAAACTTAGTGCTCTGTTTTCAGAAAAATGTTTAATTCAGAAATATTTGTTGAACTTGATGATTTCGAAATCTTTAGTTGTAAATCATTTTGTATTTTTCAAAAGGATTTCTGTTTGAAAGCATTAAACCAAGAATCTAAAATCGTTATAGAAAATTTATTATACAAGCCAAATAACTGGAAGAACCAGCTAAAATAGCTAAAAATTATTTGAAAATTGCTTTAAAAAGAGCAAACATTTTATAACATATTGGCTAAGATCTTTTTTTTGTCTGACACTTCTCAGAGTATAAAATGTCAGTATAAGGGTCAGAAAAAACATGATGAAAAATATATACCCAGTTGTGGAACAAAATAGGCCAATCAGAAAAGCGCAAACACAAGACTGGCATAGTTGTCCAATCAGTGCCGCGTGCCTAAAAAATTTACCACTGGAGTCTAAGAGAGAAAACTAACTCCTTTCTACACACTGGGGGCTTTACGTTTGTATGTAGATTCAGGGATGTCGTGACCAGGGGGTGTGTAGGAGGGTACCACACACCCAATAGTATCTCTATAGGAAATTTCAGATAAAATCGGCTCGCTGGAAGAAACGCTTTAGGTATTTCGGAGACCTTCCTGTCATAAATTTTGAAGGAATGCTTTGGTGAAATTTGTTAAAAGAGTGCATTTTCCAGGGAACTGGAAGCATCAAAATTTGGAAAGGCTTGCCTCGCGATGGCGCTGTGTAGATGGTTTGTATCTCATCCTGGTAACACAATTTCACCCATTTGTAGCTATTGTTTCAAGCAGAAGTAAATTCCCCATCATGACTAGAAGATGGAGCAATGTTAAAATAAACTTTGTAAGCAGTTTCATGTTTCAATACAAGATGTTATACCCTCCTATAAGCAATATTAAGAATTGCCTCCATAAATGCCAGGGGCTGTTGTTGGATATCTTATCAAAGAGGTATTCAGTATCTAGTTCTTTATTTAAACTGTAAATGAAGCCTCATTTCAGAATGCTTTAAGTTTCACAATAGAATATTGTGTATTTAGAAGCATCCATTTGTTTTTATCTTTAAAAGCACTAGAGATTACAAAATGTTATGTACATCTGAAGCTAAATCTGAAACAGAATTTATATCTTCTGGGTTAAAATAAATCCCAAAGTTTTTATTTGATCAAAATCGAATTAGAACTTTTTTAACAATAGAGCACTTGCGTCATAAGACAAGGATCCCGTGGAGATAATTGTCAACTTGCATTCCAATCTGAATCAATCTGTGGATCGAATGGAACTGATCAGAACAACATGATCTGATCTGATCCACAGATCTTTTTCCAGAACCAATTAAAGGTCAAACACCTATCATGAAATTCCATCTGGTTAAATTTCATTCAATTGCGATTAAAGGTAATCATCAATTCTCTTGCCCTAAAGGCTACTAATCAACAATCAGAGGAGAAGCAAGCTCAAAGAGCCTCAAGCAGAATCATGTCAATAAAGAGACGTGGCAAGCTGGAAAGGTACAAGAGCATGAAATTTTTGTATGTTGCAAATGACTACCTTGCCATTAGAGGCCAAGGATATGATTTTTACTTGTGCAGAGTTTTGGAAGATGTTCCTGAAAACAAGGAGAGTTTTCAGATTGCCTGGTTGGACCAAGTAGGGGAGAAGAAACAAGTGTTTAAGGTGTGTGCTGATTTTTTTGTACCTAAAGATTTATCATTTTGTCTTGATCTAAATCTTGGTTGATACACCTAGTATTCAAATATTTAATGCAAATTTTGGTACAAAAAATCTAAGCAACATCCAGTTTTAAATTGCTTGGTACAATGAAAATTTCTAAAAAATATTTGCAACCATCACTAACCATTTCAGTATTTTCCCCCATTATAATCGATTTTTATCTGAAAATCTTGCTCCCATATTGACACAGTTCTCTTAAGCAGGTATAAGAGCACCACTGCAAGTTGTTTATAAAAAATTAAAGTTTACCAAAAGCCACATTTAAAATCACTTTCACTTACCAAAAGTCACTTTAAAACCCTTTGTCAAAAAAAGGTTTTTCAAATGCCTTTTGATAAAGTTAAGTGCTGGAACTGTCCCCAGAGCTTTTGCTATAGGGTTGGGCCGTGACAGTGTGAAATTTTGAAATCTAGGGGTACTGCTTTGGCAAACTTTTCAGCAAATAAAGGATGCCGCCCAAATTTTGAAGTGAAGTGTGACCTGAAAATCCTCCTTCAACACAAAAGTTAGTAACAGGTCTGACTGTCTTACATTTAGAAATGAGCATGCCCTCAATTTTTAATGTTCTATTTTGTAGACCTCATATGATGACATATGCTACAAAGAGTCAGTAATTGACAGAGTCAATTTAACAGAGGGCGGTGATGGGATGCTTCACCTTGGAAAGAAACACTTAAAACAAGTCAAAGATTTGCTAAGAGAAGCCCTTCAAAATGAGAATGCAAATCTCCCAGCCACAGGTATGTAGTAGCTTTGCAACTGAAGGCATAACTTGTGATAAATTTTTTTTATTTAAAGAAAAAATAAAGAATAAAATCGTTTTTTCAAGCTGGCTTTTTTCAATATCTAGTGATAGTTGAAAGGTAAACATTCAAGATATTTCTTGCATAATGTTCTTTCTCCATTTCAGCTGCATTATTTACAATGCCTGCCAAAAGTACTTGGAACATCCAGCAGTTGACGCTACATTTGATATCTTTCATTCCTTTCATGAAAAAAAATTACTCATTCTGCCCCCTTCCCCCTAAAACAATCTTGATGATTTAGAGAAATATCTAATTTCGGAAGCAAAGGAAAGTGCTTCCTGAAATCCTAACCCGTTTGATAGTAAACCAACATTGTTGTGTAGGGGAGAGAGGGATGATTGATTTTGAACTTTAAAATTGACGTCAGTGTTCTAAGACTTTTGCCAGGCATTGCATAAAATGATGAGCTAAAATGTTTAAATGTATTGTTGGCATTCTTTTTCTTATAAACTTTTGCCAATGTTTTGATGTGTTTCGCCAGTAGGAGATTGATTCTCAACTCTAAGCTTTGCTTGCTTGAAGACAGCCAGTTATGACGAGCAAATTTTAAATTTCAACCAAACTAATAACAATCTTGATGCCTTTGATAGAAACCAGCGATGATGAAGACGACGGAGATTCAGTTGAGGATTTAGAGGATAAAGAGGAAGAAGAAAAAGAAGAGTCAGATGATGGCCCATCACCGAAGAAAAGGCGGAAAAGAGCAGCAAAACCGACGGAGAATGACAACAAATCTAAAATAAAAAAATTGAAGGAAAAGAAAGCAAAGATCGTGAAAAGAAGAGGATTAATGCCTAATCAAGATATAAAGATTGTCGAGAAAGACCCACTCTTTGAAGAGAAGTATGGGGCTTGGGTATTAATAGTGAATTCTCAGAATGATTGAGAATATTTCAGTTTTGCGTTCAACTGTTTACAACAAATTAGTTCTGGCTCACGTTCGTGTTGTTACTTCTGTTTTTTAGGAATGATCTACCGATTGCAAACGTAAAGCGAGGCGTACGTGCCGTCCTTCTTAATGACATGCAGATGCTCAAAGAGGCAATAGATGATGTTGAAAATGTATACACGGTGAGAAATTTTCGAATTTTTGCTAGCTATCGCTTCTTGTTTGTGCCTAGTTTTTTAGTTGTGCCTAGCAACGAAAAGTTCAAATGAAAGGCATATGTTGATGATCCAAAATCTGGCTTTTTGTCTTTTCGTAGAATCTCAATTCAAAAATTTTATGTTGAAGTTTATTTGTTTAAATTTGTTCGCTAGGCATTATATGATGATTCTCAGGATTTCAAGAACTCTTTATCTACAAAACAGATGTCATAAAATGGTCTGATGTGTTTTGAAATCTTTTTAATTCACTTGCTGACCATTGGTAACTAGCTGTTTTTTCTTTCATCTATCTTTCCAACCCCTTTTTGAGTCCTAATATCATAAATAACTGGTTGATGCCATATCTTAGGTATTCTGGGATCGAAGTGCTGATATTCATCTTGGTCCCTTGCATTATGCATTGTTGACTGAAAATAAAATGGCTGTAGATCTCTTGCGGAACGATAAACAGCCAAAAGAAAGGAAAGCTAAACGACCTGCTGTTTCCCTGGAAAAAATGAACACTGGAAGGTATAACGTTTTCACATTTTGCATCAAGCTGTTGATAAGAAACAACTTTCACGAAGAGCATTTGAGAGTTTGCAATTAACTGCAAAATTATTTCTTTTATCACAATGAAAAAAATGCAAAAAAACTCAAGTTGATCATTATTGAGATGGAGGCAAAAACATAACGTTATCGAGTTGCCCTCACATCCAACATGACAAATATTCCAAAACTTTGCATAATACAATATAAATACACTATAAATACATAATACAGAACAACACAGCACAATACAGCACAATCCAATACAAGACAGTACAAATACAGTACAAATACAGTTTCAGACTGTACAAAATACAACCTTGTGAGTTATTATATTAAATCCACCTGTGGATTTAAAGTTATTATATTTTCCAAATGCTGCTGGCCAAATTTTCATCATACTGCAGACGTTAAAAATGAGCCAAACAAATGTTCATCATACTGCTTCTGTTTTGCAACTGGTAGCTCAATTTCATTTCAAGAAGAAAGAGCTTTCTCTTAAAGCTAGGATTCAACTTCTTTAAGCTAGCTTGTAAGCAGCTCGTTCTTCCATATTTGTTTTAGATACAATTTCTATACGTTTGGTCATGCTGTCAGAGAAGTACAGGCAAGCAGAGGCGCAAAAGAAGGCAATAACGCTTTTCTAAAGGTAAAATGCAGCCTGGTGCTCTGTTGCTATCGGCGTTGTGATGATTTGTTCTTGACTCGCATCCTTAGATGTATTCTCATCGCTTAATAATTAAGCTTATTGGTTAGTTTTAAAGTCCCATTCGTGTAGTCGCAGTGCTTTCGTACTGCTTCATTTTTTACTCATTAATGTTGACATCAGTTGGTTTTACCAAGCTCTGTTCCTTTTGATACATTTTTGCTGGGCAGACAAATCATATAAATTATTTTTTAGTTGATAATTTGAAGAGCCATTTCTTCTTTATATTATCTTTAGATCCTCCCTTAGTCCCAGGTACTTGTACTTGTAGTCTCGTCTTAGGAAAGAGACTATCAAGATGATGTAAGCGAACGATTCTGCTTGAAATACGTCACTACTGAAATGACTGAATATTACTATAACAAGCAGGTAAGTGTTTTGCTTGCAGCAATTTGGAGTGAAAAATATTTATTTCTCTTTGTTACCTACCTTTTTCTTTGAATAGCACCTTTATTAAAGGAAGTTTTTAAAACCACCCTCAGGCCACCTAGATTTAAGATAATTTCCAAAAATAAGTGGCTGCCCTCTCTGTAATGAGTCCGGACTCTGTTTTTCCGTCTTTACTGTTTTGCGACCCTTTTTGTTGATTTATGATGCTTCCTCTCAATCAATATTGTTTCAATTATGTCCTTATAATCTTAATCGAGTGACCGCTATCATGTTTTCATCTAATTTGTCAGCATCAATTATAATCTCGAGATGATATAAGGCAATCAAACATGACATCTTTTTATGCAAGTGATTCTTAATTGCATGAAAATGGGGTTGAGAAATATTCTCAAATTGTGACTGGAAATTGTATAATTATAGGAAAATAAATATCTTTTTAGGACAATCAATACTCGTTAATGACTGAATTGGGTTCAGCCATCAGGAATGGTCGCCGAAGTATTGCTGCTCATTTTCTGAACAAGCATGCTGAAAAAGAAGATTTAACGTCATATGGATTCAACTTTTTACATAAGGAGGTATAAAAAGGTTTTTTTAATGACCTAATACATACACGAATACATCCGTATGTCATATGATGCAACGTCCATTAAGTATAGACCTAGAGGATTAATCAGACATGTTGACGGTGTCACTCATTATTCCTTTTGCATTGGAGATGCTGTTTTCGTTAACTTAAAGATTACGTCATCCTCAAGATTAGGTATCGCAAGGGTCATCTCCATAGTTCATTTATTTCCTTTTCCTTCAGCAAGGCTGATTTTCAAGGGGCCCTCAATTTAAATTAGTGCGACATTTAAATGAATATAAAAGTTAAAGCAAGTTTGCAAACAATCTTTTGGTGGTACAAAACTTGTAAATGGCTTTGAAAAAAGCAAACATTTAGTAAACTAAAGCTTTTCGTCTGACACTCTTCAGAGTTTAAAACGTCAGAACATAGATCGAAAACTCTACGCTAAGAAATATATATACCCAGTTGTGGATCGAAATAGGCCAATCAGAAACACGAGCACATGACTGTAAAGGTTGACCAATCAGTGCCGCTTGCCTATTAGAATGTTACCAATGGAGTCCTAAAGTGAAAACGAACTCCTTTTGTCTACACAGTAGCGGTTTTTTCGTGCTTATGTAGATAGATTCTAAAACTGCTAGGTGGAACGACGATCGGGCTTTACCAATAATCCAAAACATGCTGCCCGATAGCAGAATTGCAGGTTTTAGTTGTAATTTTAGATTTGCAAGACCGAGGTGGCTGTTCTCTTTGGGGATGGGTTTTGTTTCTAAAATTAGACGGAACATGTTGTTTTATTCTATCCTCCAATCTTTGGGTGGTGCGTCCTACGTAGCCAGAATCACACTGGCACGTAAATTCATTTACAACAGAACTTTTTTTTGTGGCAGGAACGCAGTCCTTTTGAATGAACGGAAGGGCCTTTTTTGTACTATACAAAAAAACCGCTACTGTGTAGACAAAAGGAGTTCGTTTTCACCTTAGGACTCCACTGGTAACTAGGGATGTACAGGATATTCGGTAGGCCGGATAATCCGGCGCCGGATCGCTGATTTTTTGAAAATCCGATTCCGGCCAGATTTGTTTCCGAAATCCGGCCAGTTGCCGGATTTTCCAGAACTTTAATCATAACTAAGAAAATTTGGAAAACCAAGTCAGACTACCTTCATACAGTGATTAAAAATGGATTTTCTAGAACTAAACAATATCGACGATAAAACAAGCGCCTTGAAAACAGATTTGAAATGAAAGTGCTCGTCATCACGAAACAGAAAGACTGGATGATATAATTCACAGATTTGGTCCAGGGTTGCCAGATCGGCTTTTTAGGCCAAATTTTTCATTTTTGTTTTTTAGATTTAGATTGCCTGGAAAAATTGTTTTTTGCTTGCTACTTAAATTTGACCTTGTTGGCCTTTTCAGCAGACCTCCAAAATTAATAAGTAATTACCACATTCATAGAATAAGAATTAGTAGTTAACTACAAAGTGTTAACGAAATTTCAATTTTATCACCTAACCTAAATATTATCTTGATATTAGCAAAGGGTTTTGGAAAAATGTAAGATTCTTATCAAAGTTAAGAAATTATCTAACAGGCACAAGCGTAGAAATATAACCAGTGCCTGCTCGATGGATTCTTGAGAGTTTTTGATTTGGCCTTTTTATGAGCATTTTGGCTTAAATTGCTCACCAGTCTAGCCTTCGTTTGTAAATTCAATCTGGCAACCCTGAATAGGTCTCTTTGATCTTCTCGCTATACATTTTTTCGCAAAGTGGCTCAAAACTTTTTATTACTGAAAATTCTATAAATGGTCAGATTATCCGGTAGAATCCGGCCGGATATTCCACGAAGAAATCAGGTAAATCCGGTTCCGGCCGGATTCTGAAAATCCTGATCCGGTACACCCCTACTGGTAACATTCTAATAGGCAAGCGGCACTGATTGGTCAACCTTTACAGTCATGTGCTCCTGTTTCTGATTGGCCTATTTCGATCCACAACTGGGTATATATATTTTTTTAGCGTAGAGTTTTCGATCTATGTTCTGACGTTTTAAACTCTGAAGAGTGTCAGACGAAAAGCTTTAGTTTACTAAATGTTTGCTTTTTTCAAAGCCATTTAAAGCAAGTTATTTTCTTTGTAGGTCCTTTCATTTGATACCGAACCATTATCGAAGTTCCGAAGCCAGTCTGTGACAAAGAAGAGTTTTATGGAAAAGGTAATAAGACTATATTTTTGAAAACCTCTTTTTCGACCATTACATCTGAAAAAAGGATGCATTAACTTTGCCTCTGACTTTTAATTGAAATTGGCTCAAATTTGTGCAAATTGGCTGCGATATTGCCAGTTAAATGGCGGAATTTGGCTAAAGAAGCAACGTTGTTGCTGCTTGGCTCATAATTTTTAGAACCAAGATCACAAATTATCACTGTGATTTCATAGGGAGAGTGTATATCCTAGATTCCAGTCGAGTTTAGCGATGTTTCCAGGACGTAAATCATGGATAAAATTTGCTTGATTGTCAAGAGAAATTGCCTGTATTCTTGGAATGAAAATCATTTCTTTGGTTCACTGATGCAACACAATTTGAAATACTTTATTTAGATATTGCCTCTACACTGTGCTGCAATAAACCCGAACCCAAAATATTTGCAAGCGCTCTTCTCAGCAGTCCCTGATTGCCATGTTCAGGATTCAAAGGGCAGGAAACTGATCCACTACGCAGCCGCATGTGAAGGCCCAGGACCCTTGGCTTTCTTGATATCGAGGTATAGTGGCTGTAGTATATTTTGAGTAATGTATGATTTCTGCTACTCTTAGCACTTGACTTCTATCTCAGTTCTGAGTTCTGAGTTCTCAGTTCTGAGATTTCTAAGGAGGCTACTTTTAGGAAGTCACGAATTGATTTACAGGATGATAAGTTGAGGACAAATGAGTGAGCCTTGATGGAAAAAGGGTTGAGATCTTTGACAGATTGACACACCTCGTATCAAATTCAAAGTAGTCTTATATCTTTTTATGGCTGATTTTAATGATTTTTAATGTTTATGGCTGAAATACTCATCTTAATAAATAAATAACAATTTTTAGAGGTGCTGACCCTAACGATGTAGATTCGAAAGGAACAACCCCTTTGATGATTGCTGCCAAGCTGGGTAGGTGTGCAAATGTAGAAGAGCTTCTGAAAGTTAAAATCGAGATAGAGTTTAAAGACCAGGATGATGCTGAGGATGACGAAGTTGACAAGGAGATGGACGACAACGAAGATCCTTTGCCCTCCAGCAAGGGTATGGCTACATGCATCAACATTAATGCAAAGGGCAAAAGAACGACAAAAGCCCCCATACATTATGCTGCAAAGAATGGCCATGAGGTCTGCTATTGTTCTGTCATATCGATGTATCTTGATGTATCATTTAACATTTCCAATGCCGAATCGCAATGTAGTAAATTCAGTTGACTGAAATGCCTCTTTCTGCTTGAAAATTGATATGGACTCTTAGCTAAACTTGTTTTATCAATTTTCTTTGGCTAGTTATTATTCTTTGGTATAAGCTGTTTACTATTCTGTATCTTTAATTGTTTTAAGTTATTTAAAAAGCCTATCTGTTAAAAAAGGAGACCATGTCTCTAGATTTATTTAACAGTCAAATAGCGAGAAGTTCGGGTTGAACAGCTTGCCTGTTTCATTCATAGAGTACCGTGAGATTGCTGGTTGAGCAGGGAGCAAACATTGACCTGCAGACTGGTGCTAGTAAAGGTAACATGACTGCATTAGCATTGGCAGCGGAGCGAGGGCATTTGAAAATCGTGAAAACGCTGATAGAACTTGGAGCAGCACCCGACGGCAAAGGTATACTGGCAATTCCATTTTGGTATATGAAATGTCGCTGTAGAATGGAAAAGAAATTTTAAGTAAATAGAAGCACATTCAGCTCCATGAAAAGGAAAATTTGTGAAGGGTGGATATGCTATCATAAAAACCAAATATTCTAAGGAGCCTTCATTCGTAGCGCCATGATAATCACGTTTACGATATACGGTATGCAACTTAAATGATGCTAGTGTAATATTATCACAATGCAGCCTGTCACTTATCCGTTGCTCGAAACAAGCACAATGAACTGCTTGTCGTAGGCAACAACGATTCTTCGAGAAATGGAAGGTCATTCAGCTAATATCCTACGTCACGTGTGATTTTGTTTTGAATGCTTCTTTTGTTCTAGTGAAGCACAACAAAAGGCCCTTAATGTTAGCTGCTCAAAATGGTCATTACAAGGTGATGGCTTATCTCCTCAACATTGGGGTCGACCCAAATGCCCAAGACTCCTCCCTGAACACCCCTATTCACTATGCCGCTGCCTATGGTTGGTATCATTGCGTAAATCTTCTCCTTAAGGCTGGTGCAGACCCAAATATTGGAAATATTTGGAAGGTTAGTAATCAATATATAATGTGTATTGGCTTTCAGGTTAAAGTTTGCGGTTAGATTACTCGAAACAAACTTTATACATGAGGTTTATTTGCAGTATCTTGCATGGAAATTGGCAGTGCCGTTCATGCAATTGGTTTAGGCTGGTTTACACTTAATATTATTCGAAGCTTAGGATTTCTTATCAGATCTCGATAATGATTGCAAGATTATGTACAAAAAGGAAAGAAATGCACAAAAAATATGTACAAAATACAGATATTTGTACAGATATGTACAAAAAAGAAAAAAATGCGTTCTTCAATATTGTTGATATAATACAAGTCCTGCTTAATTTTACTTTATCATATTTCAACCAGCTTTCAAGCTTTTCTAAGTTTTGTTGAAAAATGTAGATAAATGATTACAGAAAATTGAAGTTTTATTGATTTGAATATCTCGGGCCTACCTGATACTAGTTTATTTGCGATTCATTATAGAGATTTTGATACTCATGATTTGTTACAAAGATGAAGATTGTGGGTATAGGCAAAACTATATCACGCGTATTAAAGATATTTATCATTCGAGACTAATCGGATTATCAATGTTGTCAGCCTCTATGCAATTCGCGCCACCAACTCGCACACGAGGCACAGCTCTGCGTTTTTGCCAAATTGATTTTCCTTTTGTGTTTCTATTATCAATATGTTCTTATTTCAATGTTGATTGAGTATGTTCAAAAACAATACAAAAATAGTGACTGTAATTGAAGAAAATACATGAAAAGGCTCCAGAAAATGTTCCTGTCTATTATCATCTAATTATCTTGAACAAAGCCGTGTAGTATGAAATTATATCTGTGTGTGTGTGAATTCTTACTCTTCTTTCCAATAGACAACACCCTTAGCTATAGCACTTCTAAAGGATAACATGCACTGCGCTGACCTTCTCCTCGATAGTAACGTCAATGTAGATTTCCCAGATGAAAAAGGTGCAACTATTTTGATGAGTCAGCTAGCTCTTGACTTTGAAGATGGGAGTTTTGAAAAAATCAGGTTTCTTGTTGAGGAGAAAGGTGCTGATGTCAATAACAAGGACATGAATGGAAGCTCACCGGTAGGCGCACATATTTTTCTGCCTTTCTTTATATAATCCAACTGCTACACGTGTATAAATCCCTATTTTTAAAATATATCCTTAATGTTTAATGTCCGTGGCAGATATTAGATATTTGAGAGAAGATCATTCTGACTGTTGGCTGAAAATTATGTGAAACGTTTTCTGTTTGCCCAAACTTGGGACTGGCGAAATTGAAACTCTGTTCTATAAGAAGATCAAACGTCATACATCTGCTGGCCCTTAATTAAACATTTCGATAAACAGTTAGTAAATTAAGCATGAATTTTTATTTCAATTATCTTTTATTATGTTATTTATCTTTATATACACATAAACTATTCCCCATGGCAAAATGGAATAATAACTTGAACACTTCTCTTTTAATGCTTAAGAATAAACTGTAAATATATAATAAAATCTCAAATTAAAACTGATAGTGATTATAAGCCATTGATCATAAGCCGAATATCTATCCTTACTATAGTTTTCCCAGTCTAAATTATATCGAGCACCCACTAGTCATAAGAAGTGCAGAAAGGCAAGGTAGACTTGCAAATATACATGGCTATTTTCAGCTTTTTTCATTTCATTTATCGAAGTGACATTTGAGCAGTGTTGAGCTTTGTTTGAGAGGTGTTGACTTTGTTCATCAATGACATGTTAAAGACTTCTTCACAGGAACCAGACTTGAAGTTACCCGAATCATTTATATCATAAAAAGAATGTGTTTTTGTTTAGCAGCCACAATACCTTTGATTTTCTCATAATTCAATTTTTTAGCTCCATTATCTGGCATCAAATTCCGTCTTCAAAAAGCGCCGAAAATGGATAGTGAGTATTCCTTTTCTTGTAAGGTTTTTTCTTGACTAATTTTATATCAGAAGGGAAAAGAAATGCAAAATCTTGTCTTCATTTTTGTAGGCGACCAATCGCAAAGATGTGACATTTGACAAGGCAAGTTCCGACATCTGCAATGAGATTGCTCGCATCTTGATCAAAGCTGGTGCTGATCTCAACTGTCTCAATGAGGATGGTTACACTCCAGCCTTGACTGCATTGCTTCAGGTACTTCCATTTTATCGACTGCAAGTTTTGATTGTGATTCGTCAGAGGGTTTGGTCGTGATTGATCAGAAATTTGATCGTGATTGATCAGAAGTTTTGATTGTGGTTGGTGCGAAGGTTTGATTTTGATTTATCGGAAGTTTTGATCGTAACTGATCAAAAGGTTTGATTTTGATTTATCAGAAGTTTTGATCGTAACTGATCAAAAGGTTTGATTTTGATTTATCAGAAGTTTTGATCGTAACTGATCAGAAGGTTTCGATTTTGAATTATCAGAAGTTTTGTTCCTAACTGATCAGAAGGTTTCGATTTTGATTTATCAGAAGTTTTGATTTTTAAAAAACAGACGTTTTGATTTTGATTCATCAAAAGTTTTGATCATATTTTGTTCCAAAATAGAAAGGGTAGAACGATTAACTCTAAATCTATTTATCTATTCTTGCTTGAAACTTCCTTTTTTGTGTTTTCTTTGCTCTAACACTTAAAAGAGTTCTGTGACAAATTTCTTCTTCTTAATCTTCTAAATTGACAAAAACACGTGCCCCTTTTGAAAGGGCAACTTGATTTTAATCACTTACGAGTGAACTTAAGGATAAAGATGCGCGAGTTCTGTAACTATCATCAATTAGCTAGAATCTTTGTCTGGATCATCTGTCTTGAACATTCTTGTTTTTAATTTTTTTTCCAGAACAACTTCCCGTTAGTAGAGCTGCTTCTTCAAAACGGTGCAGACGTCAATACCATGCGAGATGGAAGCACCCTGAAACCCATGCTTCACGTTCTATTATCAAAAACCGAGTGTTTAGATTTGATAGAGATGTTTGATGATGTGAGTTGTTTGCAAAGCTCTCTTTGTGCTCTTCACGTTCATTGTTCTATGATCTAAAGTGATTTTCTAGTTACAATCTTTTTTGAAAACTTTCTTGCCTCAGTAAATGTGAGGTAGCTCAAAGTGTAGAAAATCAAATAGAAGAAGTCTATTCTTACAATTCCACTGACATTACTGTCAATTACTGTCAAAGTTGCCCCAGCCAGCCTGATTGTGACATTTACGTGCACTCTGTTTTATTGAATGTACTCTGTTTCAAGAACTTTGTGATCTTCATAGGTGATCTTCATAGGTGATCTTCATAGGTGATCTTCATAGGTGATCTTCATAGGTGATCTTCATAGGTGATCTTCATAGGTGATCTTCATAGGTGATCTTCATAGGTCATTCCTTGACTTTTCTGCTTTGTATTTAGAACTCACTTTTCTTAATTTCTGTATCTTAACAGCGCTCAAAGCATGAAAATATTGATGACCTGACTGGTGACCAAATTGAGAAAATCTATGAAGAACAAAACGCCGAAGTTAAGGAAGCCTTTTTTAAGCTTTTTATGAAATGCGGTGCCGATGTGAATGCTGTTGCGGAAGACGGAACAACTCCTGTCATGTTAGCGATTCAACAAGTAAATATTTTTCATTTTCTCTCCTGAAACTATTATCAAGCTTTCATTAGATCATCAAAACTTGCTTTTGAGGCTACGGTTGCCTGATGCGTTCCCCAGCTCAGCTATTTTTAAACCTTGATCCTTTTTGTGGCTTGTTTCTCTTCACGGAAAATAGCTAGCATTCTTTTCTTAATGCTCTTTTCTCCCAGCACCCATTTTATCTGTTGACCGCTTCTATCTAGTATCACGTTATCTGTTGACGTGTCACCACCATGTTTACCCTTGCCATCTCTATAGACCTAGGCCTTGTTCAGGATCGGATCCGTATGGATACAAGAGGGGTGGCTTTCTGTCGCATTCTAACAGCAAAATTTCGGCTGTGCTTATTTTACATAAGAAGTGAGAAAACATGTTTACTTTGAATTCAAGCGTAACTTTCAGCAGAAGAGCCGTCTCTAGGAGTTCAACTTTGGTCCTTTATTAACCTTTCTATTCATTTTGAGAAAATGCAGACATTTAAAAACTAGGTTTCATAGCTCAGGTTAAACCAAATGAAAAGATTCGAAACAATAAATTTCCGTCTTTTTGCGACAAGTCTGGAAAACCGTATAGAAATTACCTCGTGATGGAAATTTTCCAATTCATTTGGATTCGTACCTATTTGCATCCGATCCTAACCGTTGACTCGTGACCTTTTTGAGATCTTCGAGGTATCCTAGACCCTGAGATCAAAATGGGACCACCTTGATGGTACACAGGGATGAAAAATGAAATATGAGAATTCAGTGGGACAAAAATTTATCCGAATTTCGATGTTGGTCAACAAAAAGGCTATATTAAGGAAAGGCATGCATGAAAAGAAGTAAAGCTAGTGTGTTTAGGAAGACGAAGGTCGGGAAAGGTGTGTCGCTTAAGTGAAGGAAACCACGACGGAGAAATAAATTATAAAAACGGAATGTAGAGAACAACGAGGCTAATAGAAAGATTATCTTAGAAATTAAGTTAATATTGAATCGCAAATAAAAAGAAGTTATGTCATAAAGTTTCTTTAAAATATTTGGGGTTAATATCAAGAGCAGTAGTTAGGGCTTTGTTTAAAAGAAGCAACATTCCTAACGGTCCTATTTCGAAATGTGCCATTTGCATCTGTTCGGGATTAGCATTTTCCAGGACTGGCTCTATTTGGGTCCGAGTTTTAGCCGGATACACTTGCTTGAAAGCCCAACAGGCAAACGATAGCGCAGATTCGGAAATAGCAATCTATTTCTTCACGAGCTTCAACTGTCTGCATATTTGCATATTTATTTATTTGTTCATTTTCAGTACCTTGCATTTCGGTACCGGAGAACTGATATGTTTGAAAATCATCAAATGAAAAGCTAAAAATATCTGTATAGCTATTCATTAAATTAATATTTTGCAAAGACAGGGAAAGCATTGTGGTCAACTAGATATGCAAATTGTTCTATAAGAAGAGCTCATTTAATATCAAAACTTGTTACTAAGTTCTTGACTTTGTTTTTTTTCTTACATATATATCATGATAACAACCAATCAATGATTGTAAATACTGAAAAGCATTTGGTTTCATAGCATGTATCTGATTGCCTACTGCTTGGCCTCTTTTCCCATTTATAGGGTTTTGTAAAGAAATCAGAGACGTTTCTTTCAAATGGAGCAGATCCGAGGATCGGCAAAAATTCATTTGGACAGAATACGTTTCATATCTTGGCTTCTTCTTGCACTTCTGCTGACTGGTCCAAGTTAATGTCATTAGCTGTCGATAAAGTAAGTTTTAACATTAGCGTATTTATTTTGTTGTCACTTTTCCTTTAAATGAGTTCTCAACTGCATGTATATGTTCTGTTTATATGTATTCTGAACGTGAGAGTAACATGCAAATATTTTTAAGCATGTTCCCAAACTAGTGTTGCCTAACATTTTTGCCTGTGCTCTGGTATCATTGTGTTGTTATTCTTCCAATATGCAAAAATACACCTTCAAAATCGACAAAGCTGCTTTGTACGTTATATAATCTTCTCAGCTTCGTTAATAGAGCTATCACCCTTTTGTATTTGTATTTGAATAATTGAGTTTATGCGCCAGCTGTAGACTTATGCTATCATTGTAAATCATATTAGCCCTGTGGTAATGAATCGGGGTATTACGTGAAAATACAAAACACTAAAGAATTTGCCCAATATTTCGCCACTGCGACAGCGTGGCAGCGAAGCATTACGAAATTTTCTATGGATGAGGTTTTCGTCCTGAACTCTGATATTCATTTTGACATGTATGTTGGTTATGAATATGGCTTACCTCACAATCTTTGTCGGTGATTTTCCCTGCATAACTTTTCTGGCTAGTATTTTCATTCAATCACTGCTAGATGCTTGTATCTTTTCTCCGCAGTTTGGTCCAATGTCTGATCTGATCAATGAGGCTGATAACGATGGTTACACGCCAGTGTTGTTAGCATTTGAAGCACTAGCTACTTCCGCTTGCAAAGAGGTTTGTATTATCAAAGTTTTTTATTGATTTTCTCAAATTTTTTTACCCTATGCAGGTAAGGTTTGCACGAACCTTCAAGCCGAGAAGATAAAATGGCAACAGTATTAGTAAAGTTTATTTTCCAAAAAAGGCATTGGTCATACATTTGTGAAGACGGAAGTTGGCCAAAATAAAGACTTTCTAGACATTTTACTAGGGGAAACGGGGTTGTGGGGGGTTGGGGCTTAGAAACAAAATACTTTTTAAAGACTTAAAAATGATTATTAAGGAGTGTGAGGAATAAAGAGTTTTCATTCCCTGGCTCTGCCAATTTTCTGCCATGCCAACCATCAAAGACCATAAAATGGCTTAAAATGGCCATCCTTGAGCGTATCCGGCTCGGCATTTGGCTCACCTTTTCCGGAATGCCAATCTAGAATAACAGGGTTGTATTCTACTCAGATTTACGCTTTATTTGCTATTCAATGGTTCTTCAATTTATTTGTTATCAATGGCAATTTGTTTTTTCTCAGGATGCTGTGCATAATTTCAAAGCTTTTATCAAGGTTTGCAAAAAACTACAAATTCTAGTTATTCCTTATTTTATTTCATTTTAGTAGTTTTATTGCTAATAGAAAAAGTTTCAATCTTTAATGTTTAAGTGTAGTAAGTGCTGACAAGGCTGTTTACAAAACCGATGCTTTTTGTTGGAAAAATTGTCTTATACATTGTTAAGGCCAAAATTTGCATTCTCATATTTCGTATTGCTCATTATTCTTTGGAAAACAAGAATTTTTAATTTAAATACAGACAATTTAATTTAAATTTTTATCTGTAACATAAACCTCCTAATCTTAACAGAAATTACTCACCGAATGCTGACAACTATAACCGTTATATTATCCAATTATTCAACTTTTATCTTTTATATTATCTTTTCAAGTACCCTTTTACAACATTAACCCTTATTTCCTCTTTCAAGAACAGTCTGTAATATTTTATCAAGTATCATTCCAAGATCGATATTTTCGTTTACTTCATCAATTATAAAGTTTTTTGACTAATTTTAGTTTCTTGCCTACAAATGCAACCCGGATTTCAGTGCCAACGTCATTCAGAAGAAAGTTTTTTCCAAAAAAGAATCTGAAGAATCTGAAAAATCCGAAGAATCCAAAGAATCTGAAGATCCCGAAGAATCCGAAGAATCCGAAGGATCTGAAAAATCCGAAGAATCAGAAGAATACGAAGATCCCGAAGAATCTGAAGAAACTGAAGAATCTGTTAAAAAGGTTGGAGGACTAATTGCATTAAAAACGATTTTGGGACGGCATTTGGGTTCTATATGCTAATCTCCTACTTGTAACAAATGTTGAAGAAAAGACCTTCAGCATAACCTCGAAGGTCTTTATTTTGGGTCATTAATTAGTCACCCAATAATGACCCAAAATAAAGCCTTATATAAGAGTTTCTATTGAGCATGGCTTGGGTTGTATAATAATCTGATTACGCTCATTTTTCTTTATTGCTGATTTATGAATAATAGTGGGTACTTTTATGCCAAGTATCAACGATATATATTTTGTTCAAACTTGTACAATCGCTAATTCTATGTATTTACTGTTTCAGTATCGAAGTATTCCTACATTTGGATTTAAAATTGAAAAAGATAAGAAGATTGAGAATGACCCATATTCAATTACCGGTAGGAATATTATTTTCTATATCAAGTTGCTATCGTTCATTTTAGTATTGTGTGATTGGAAGCTATCGCCTTTATCAAATTCCTCTTTTCAAATTACAGAGACATTTGCTCATTTTATTGAAGAACTTCTTATTCTTTTGATTCTGCACAACTTAAAGAAAAGCTGAACTATTTTCTATGTCAAGTAATCTCTCTAGATCTATATCCTTACTTTGTGATCAACTTAGAAAGAAATCATTGATTTTATTTTAGGCAAATTTACGTGTTTACATTTTCTTGCCATGGTCCACCTGGGGGCAGATGATCAAGCTGATTGTGTTGACATGATAATGAAAACAGTCAATGGCCAGTTGCTGAACGCAAAATGCCGACATGGAAGAACGCCTCTTCACATTGCCATCAAATTTAGAAATTATCATGCGGCTGTTTGTTTTGTAAGTTGTTATTCAAGCATATTCGGCTGTTCATGGTGAAGTTTATTAACAGAAACAATAGTGCTCTTATGATATACCTTTATGAGACAATTGAATCTTACAATTGTACAGAAAATCTTTCACATTTGTAAGCCAATGTTGTAAGTTAGTGTTAAGTTTGGTTTTTGTTTGCTAAGTAATATTTTTTTCAATCAAAGTTTCTAAAAATTTGTGTTATATTTCTTATAGCAATGTATATTTCTCCAATCATTTTCCATTTTTTCAGTTTCAAAATGATCAGATTTCCTATTAAACTATGTTGAATTTCTTAATCATTTTCCCGTCTTTTAGTCAATCATTTTCCATCTTCCTCGTGTTGAAAAGATTGGGGTAATTTTGAATGTGTTATTATATGAAATGTGTCATTTAACATAATGCCAATTGTTCCTTCTCAAAGATCAACGCTGGCTGTGATATATCGATTAAATCTTCGAATTCTGAAGAAGACTGCCTTCTTGGACCAATTGCTTTGGCTTCAAGGTTGGCTCTGTTTTTTCCTCTCCCTATTTTTCTCTCTTTAGCTCAATCAGGTCATATATTTTGGCACATTATTGTTTACCTAAAGGTTGTGATTGGGTACCTTCTGGATATTTCTGTCTCGTGTCTTAGCTGGAGACTTGAGAACCTGATTAATGCTATTGCAAAACATGTGGACGTCTTTTGTTGAACTGTCTTGTGTCTCGTTCTGTACCTTGGCAACACCCTCTTGTCTTACGAAACCAAGACAAAATGGGATATACTTTAAACGCTTGTAAGTCCCTCTGTTCGCCCTCATATTTCATACGTTTTTTCTCCTGAAATGTTTCAGGCTTTGTGATAATTGTTTTTAGACCACCCTGTCAACTAGATGTTGTAAAGGAACTTATCAAGTTCAAGGCAGACCCCAATGTCAGAAGTGGAAAGGATGAAAGAACTCCACTAAGCTTTGCAGTGGAAAACGTATCGGGTAATGAAACTTTTCTTTTAGTTATAATAGTCTGACGTACAAAAATATACAAGATTACATGCGAAAATATTCTTCTGCATTTTCAAAGCTTGTTTTACTTCCAAAATTAATTAGTGTTTACTCTCTGTTGTAGCTTGCCTTTTATATTATTCTCTATAGTACGTCTATGCTTTTCTCTCAAGGATTATACAAAAGTTTATAGCACGGGAAAAACAATAAATCGCTTTATTGAAGCAAGCTTTCAAAAGTATCCCTTAAACTTACGGGACACTTACACGATCCCTTGGCAAAGTAGTACTTCCTTCCTTTCCTTTTTTCCGTATCTTTTTTAGTTGTGAACTTATTTTTTGAAGACTAAAATAGGGTGCATTGTGATAAAAATTGGAAAAATGTATCGGGGGATTTTTACCTGCTGAAAAAGCCACTGTTGCTCCCGTAGATAAAACTTATGTTGGTGCAGTTGCACTTGAACTGGTGAAAACATTGGTTGCCGCTGGTGCCATTGTAAACAGCTGTGATGTGAACAGAAGGACGCCCCTCCATCACCTTATCAACTCATCCAGTGGTGGTTATGAAGCTTTAACTGAAGTCGAAGAGTTTTTCATTTCTTCTGATGCTGATGTTACTGCAACTGATTGCAAGCAAAAGATGCCTATTTTCTACGCTTTTAGCAACTTCAATAGGTAGGCAAAATGGGAATTTTTTCCCAGGAAACTATTTGTTTTTGCTTGAAATTGGTAGGAATTCTTGAAGACCGTTCTTGTAGACATGAGCTCGCAAGGTCTTGTATCCAAGCTTTTGATAATTGCCCTGTAGGTTAGTAACGCATCTTTTAAGTCCTTAAAAAAACTTATGGAAATTCAATATAGAATGCAGTTCTACGAATATTGGAATATTTAGAATTATTTTCGAATTTTTCTTACTTTATATTTATATTATATATTATAGGTATAGATTATTATTAAATTCCCTTACCGTCTGCTCAAAGTCTGAGCTTCAAAGAATGTGCATTCTTTGATTATTTCGTTTATGTTCTAATTTTTCAATAGCAAGCAAAAAGACGAAACTAGCATGATCGATCCCATATCCATTGTCCGCTTGATATGCGACCATGCTGAAACGAAGTCAGTACACACATCCGTGCTGTCACATAAAGACAATAGACAAAGGACAGTTATGCATTATGCTGCTCTAAGAGGTGCATCGATCTCCTGTCTCCATATGCTCAAGGTTCAAATCGCAGTTTTATCATTTACTTTTTATCAATATCTGCATGACTGTCTTGACTCGCGTTGATATCAATGCGTGGATGTGATGAGTCGGCATATTTGCAATAATAAACTTGATCTATGCACGGTATTTAGCATTTTCACCATTCTTGTCAGTTTTAACAGTCAAACTCTTTATCGAGAATCTTCAATTTTTCGTTATTAACATTTGATCATTGGCAACAGTTTTTTCTACCATTCATTTGCAAAAGCATTTAGACGTGAAAGCACTTAGACGTGAAAATTTGCTCTTCCAAAAATGATCTTTGATGTTAGTTTTCGAAAAGCAGATTGTTTTACAAAATGTGATATGAAAGAACATTCTTCATTGCAATTCTAAATCACGTCACTTTATTCCAATTTCTCTAAACATCCATAGTTATTTTTCGATTTAAACTGCACGTGGCGGCGGGAGAGTGGGAAAAATTTTGACTGTTGCAATCGTACCCCAAATTAACAGTTTACATGATCTTCTAATTGCCGAATGGCGCTTCTTCAGATGATATCTGGCATTTACTGTATCCGATTTCTATGCGTTCCTGTTGGTAGAATAGCTGCTTTGCAACGAAACTAAGCTTTGTGTTGTTGCGAATTCTTTACAGCATGGCGCATTGGCTAATGGAGTTGATGAGGATGGAAATACGCCGGTGGCACTAGCATTACGTTCGGGACACCACGGGTAAATACATGATAATTCGATACATGATGATTATCATTTTTCATATAAAGTGATTAAAAAATAAATGCGACTTGAATGCAATTTAAAGTTTTTACGCAAACTAAAATAGGAAAACTGCCAAAGGCAATGCCAAAGTAGATGCATTTAGAATGTATTATTTGATTGTTAATTGGGTTGACTAACTTAGAAAACTGACCTGCTTTGATTGATATTTTAATATGGAGCACCTAAAATTTGAAAATGAACAGCTGTTGTTTTTACTACAATAAACGAATCCTTTCAGATAAACCTTTTTTTTGTTTCTTGAATGCTTTGGAAAAACTAAATGCACCAACTCACTTAAATTATGTAATTCCTCTCTTCGTTAGTCTTCCCTGTAGCTTTATAGAAAAGATCGGTTAGCCTGGGTAATCTAAAACTATCAGGGTTACTTTTCTTGCAGATGTGCAATGATCCTTTTACAGCATAGTAGCAAACTGTCGACTTGGGATGTGATAACCCCCGTCACAGAAGAGCAATTAAAGGAATATAAAGAAGAGTAAGTATTTATTATTTTCAATGTTTCCTTTAGCAAGCAAAGAGAAGAAACTAGCATGTATGTTGTTCCAGGCTTTTATTCCTGTACCTTTGTTGGTTTGTCGGTTTTATTTCCCTTTTTCTTAACAAACTGGTAGAGATCTTCTGAGAAGGTATTAGCAAAAAATTGACTAGTGAAGGAAGGTGCGCTAGACAGGAGAAGAAAGAGACGGGGGATCACAAGGGGAGCACCGAAGGACACGCAGGCACTAGCTAGTATCCTACTTGAAGGAGAAACACCTTCGAGTAGGTCTTCTGGTAATGATAACGATGATGATGATAATGATGACCTTTTACTCATTTTAACCATTCCTTTGCTCTTTATATCCTTCTTGTTTCATTTTTCTATTAAATTTAAACGCCTACGAAATGCTCTGAATGGTCGTTTTTATGTGCAGAGTTGCGAGTTCTAGATGGAAGCATGCTGCCAACTGTGCCCTTCAAAAGCCAGAGCCAGTGAAGAAATCAGCGTTACAAATTGCAATTGAGAAGGACTGGCCAGGAGTCGCCTATATGATACTCGAGTGCGGGGGAATACCATTATTCGACGCTTTTAGGGTACGTAATAACTGAGATGTCTTTTCTTATAAAGCATTGGCAACACCCGCTTGGAAAGAGCTAGAATTTCATTTATTAAGGCAGTTTTTTCATTCTATTTCTTCAACAATAATTTTGTTGACCCATTTGCCGTAACTTCTTTCTCGGTGAGCCGTTTCAAACTTTGCCCTCTTTTTCAAGGCATCGCTGAAGGCAAGCAGGCTTAGTCTGGCCTGGACCCTGCTCAAGCAGGAGAGGAATGCAAAAGCATTTCTCGCTCTCGATGGAAACTCCTCAAGCATGCTGCATGTTTTGGCCACTCATTCCAATCTGGATGAAAGTGATGATGGAATGTTAATACAAGTGAGCTTTTCATATTTTCATAGTTTTGATGTCTAGTCGATTCGTATTAAGCTGTAAACTATCTACTTGTGAACTGAAAAGTTTTCCTCTTTTAGTTTTCGTAAAAACTTTAAATTGCATTCAAGTCGCATTGATTTTTTAATCACTTTATATGAAAAGCGATAATCATCATGTATCGAAACAGTCTCAAATTATTATCTTATTTACTCTCTAGATTGCGAAGTTTTTGCTTGACAAAGGTATTGATGTGGCCAAGGAAGATAAGGACGGCGTGCTTCCTTTACACATTGCAGCTCACAATGCTCATTTTTCTCTCTGCAGTTTGTTTCTTGGTATGTTCTCTATATACTTAACTGTTATATATTTTCTCAAGGTATTAAACCTCATTTGCTTCCCACATTCCCTACAATCTTTGTAGATATTTTTCTACTAATTTTCCAACCGTCTTTCTTTTTGCAGATTACTCTTTGGTCTCCTTGAATAGATCAAATAAAGAAGGGCTTACTCCTCTGGCTGCTGTTTTTAACACCGCTGTAAATGATGGCAAAATCGAGGAAAAACATGTCAAATTGATAAAGTGAGTCTTTGAATCAGTGTAGCTTCTTAAGTCCTTTACAATATCTAGTTAACATAGTGTTCTAAAAGCATTTGTCAAAAAGCCTAGAAACTAGCGTCGTGAAAGATGGGTAGATGGCGCTGCAACATGTTGGCAATTCGATAAATATTATCTGCAATCAAGTGTTTTCAACTCATCAATTGGAAACGAGGCCTTTATAAAGAAGCTTAATCATTTACTCCTTTACCAACGTTCACTGCTTAGCTAAAGAAAATATCTTCGACCTCTGCCTGAGAGCCTGACCCGTTCCTTTTTTCTTATTTTAAAATTTCCATTTCCAGTAATTATTTCAATTTGTAATACAGTAATAAGGTTTTTCTTATACGTTATGCATCTGATTTCATGTTCGTGTGCCGTTATCGAAACTGAGGAGCTACCTAGCGTAAGTAAATCAAATAAATTGAAATTTCTGTGTCAGCAAGATTGTAGTAATTGTAGTAAAATATCTTTCCTTCTAACTTTCGTGATCAATGTGTAAGAGAATGTTGATAGACTTGGACAAATGATAGTTTACATAATTATTTAGCGACTGGCAGCATTTTACTTCGACCTGTTTCTTTCTAGGTTATTTGTGAGCAAAGGTGTTAATTCTTTTGATATTTGCTATTCCACTGGCACACTAGACAACGAAGCTCTAGCAGAAACAACGACAATACTCAACGATTTAGTACTGCTTGAAAACGATGGTAATTTTGCCGACCCTAAATCAAGCGATAAACAAGGCTCGATTGAGTATCTCCTTGCCAATGGAGCAGATATCAACTTTGCGAACGTACGTACTTACGTAAAACCACTTTTGAAGAAAAGATCAACATAGAGTCCTGATTATTAAAACCTCTTTGTTGGTAATACATGTTATATTAAACGTGGCAAGGGACAAGAGACGTTTTTTATGTACTATACCTTTCTTTTGAGCTCAGCATACCGCAATACATCAACATATCCTTAATCATCGACCCTAGATCATTTCTTTTTTATCATAAAAGTATGCATTCTCTTTCATTTCACGTTTGTATTTTTTAGAAGTTTTAAGCTTACTCGTAGCTATAAACTGACTTTTATTTTAGCGCAGAGGAATAACTCCTTTGATGGTAGCTGTTATGAGTAATTATCAAGATATGGTGAAGCTCCTCCTGAGCTACAGACAAATTAATCTTGATGTAGTGACCAAGAATGGATCTTCTTTGGCCCACATTTGCCTCAGTTCAAAGGATGGTGTAAGTTTTGTTTTCCCTTTTACCAGTTTCATCACATAGGTCAAGATCTTAATTCACATAGGTCACGTTCTATGGTAACATAGGTCACGGTCTGGGGTCACATACTGTAGGTCACGTTGTAAGGTCACATGGGTCACGCTCTGATGTTACATAGGTCACGTTCTAAGGTCACATAGGTCACATTGCTCGAAATATTCAAATATCCAAAATATTCAAAATAAGTTGGTTTGAAATTAATGATGCAATTTTTATCCACCTGTTGTACTAAAATGCCCTTTGCATTCTGTTAAGAAACGTCTTTCTCAAACTAGATTTAAAAAGAGGAGGAATAGTTTTATAGGACTGACTCTGCCTCAACTCTGTACAAACCAACCTTTATTTGCTTTACAGCATTCCTTTCTTGCTATAAAGAATTATGTTCAAAAATTTGAATAGGAATTTTCGTCACGATCCAGTTACACATTGGATCCTGGGTTGTATGTTTAGATCCAAGATGTTCTCCTGTATTTAGATCCAAGATGTTTAGATCCTCATTATCAAAACGCGTTGCTGTTGATACTTTTTAGAACATTTGTTAAGTTTTGTATTCCTTTTTAGTTTTATACAGAGCATACGGAAATACTCAAAATATTGCTCAAGAAGCGAATAGGTTTGGAGCATGTGGATGATTTCGGACATGCTCCATTGTACTATGCATTGAAGCAACCCACTGGGGTTATGGCAAGTTTGTTTCCTGCCCGACTTAAACAGGTGTGCCATTTTTCTGTGTTTCAATATTCAATTATCCTTTTACTTTTACTTTTAACTAATTGCTTTCACAAAGAAAATTTTGATGTAAAGGAAGTGGAGCACACTGGACAATGATATGCATTGAAGTATGCGCTGCCGTCTCCCTTCATCCCTTTCATAAAGAACTGAACTAAAACTCGACTAATTCTTCATTTTGTTTATGACCTTAATCTACTCCAAAACCTCTAATTGGCCCCTTTCTCGCACTACAGCCTCTCTATTGCTATAAAAAGCTATTTTTCCAACTCACTTCAATTCAACCCAGTTCAGTTCAATTAACGATAAACAAAAGGTTTGGAAATTTGAAGAAACTCGCATGAGCTATCGAGCCAAGTGTGCTAGCATTATAACTGATCAGCATAGCTGTGTCATATAAATCTAACTGACAGGTATTTTAATTTTCTTGTTTGATTAACTTGCTTTTTTCATGGTGTAATTCATTCATCTATAGCTCTATAAAAACTGCCATCAATCTCCTTTCCTTTCTCGATACATAATTGCTTTGCAAAAAGCAAACATTTTAGAATTACTTGAGCTTTTCGTCTGACACTCCTGTATGCTTTTCTTCGATTTTTATTCGTACGTTGTATACTTTAAGAAGCGACTTTTTTGAATTATGTTTCATCGCGTTTTCAACTCACATTTTTCTTAGAATTTCACTGTTGAATCAGTCAAGGAGGAGGAGGTTTTCCCATTCAAATCTAAAGCAGGGGAATTCTGGGAAGGCACTAAGTTGGATGTAAAGCGCGATGCGGAAGAGGAAATTAAGAAGCTTAAAAAGGTGCAACTGAATGAAAGCACACCGACAGTTGATAAAGCTTTGAACATGGCTGCAACAGGGTAAGGCTAGAGGGATATGAGGCGGGTGACAGCTGTGGGCTGTTAGTCCCATTCTCACAAGAGATTCCACGAATACTGTTACGTTAAGTTGGTCTCACAAATGATTATGTAGTCTCCATTATTAAGTAAAATACAACCCCTGCTTGCTGATTTTATTAATCGCAAGATATTTTCAAGTAAATCACTTTTATTGATTTACATCCTAAGTAAGATGAGCGGTGTAGCGCTAAATTCTTGCATTTCGTCACTATTTTGAGATTTTGTAAAATAACACCTTTGATATCAACAAAAATTGTAATATGAAAATGTCCAACACTCTTCAGAGTATAAACATCGGAAAATGCCTTAGTATGACATATTCTGCCCTTCTTTGCTATTTCCAAATTTTGCGGCACGAAAGGCTTGTTGAATCATGTCTAATTTATCGTCAAGGAACTCATATTCATGTTTAGAGTTTAGCTGACGACTCTAGGAATAATTTGGCTTTTATATCTACATGACCAAAGGATTTTTTCTCCTTAAATTCAAAGCTGGTGATAATTGCTTTGCCTTTATTAACCAGAACTACGAATCTTTTAAAATTGCATCTTTTTAGAAATATGTATTTTCTTTAAGAAATTGGTTTGCATATTTTTATGTCCCAAGTATCTAGAATGTCGTTTTGTAGAATGGCCTTAAGCTTCTATTCATATTCAAAGCTACCTGTCCACTTTTGTTTCAAAGCTTTTAATATTGTATTGTTTACACAGTGCTGTCTACATGGATGAAGAGACAGGAGTCTTCTACGATGTTGTGCTCACAAAGGTCGACGTCCGACGTGGGTTGTATGGAATCAATGTGTTCTATAAACTTCAGGTATTACATGGATCATTTTTTTCAAGTGTCAAGTCCATTCAATATAAGAGCATTTTTGCTATGCTTCTAAATCTCTCTGTGTCTTGCTCTTACAGTAAGATCTTGCCCTTGCAGAAGCCTAGTCTTGATGTTGTTGTAGAATCTTCATCTTGCTGCAGATTCCTAATCTTATTACCAGATCAAAATTTTGTCATACAGCAAAATCTTTATTTTCACCCTACAGTACAATCTTGCGGTCCAAATCTTACCATTAATCTTATTTTCATTATAAATTTAATGTTGCTGCAGCATTTCAAGCTCAATCTTCAAATGAATCTTTGTTTTCACCCTTCTTTATCAACAAAAGGCAATTGAAGGGAAATACAATCCCTTTTTGATAACCATCATTGCATGCTTTAATTCTGCTTGTTGTCTGTTTCATATTTGCATTTTATAATATTTTTATCATTTTTTTCTTTTACCTTTTAAATTTTGGTAGTAACATTTTAAAGATTTTTAAACATTTGAAAGATCCAGTCTCTACTGTTACTTGTTTTTCTCTTTCCCGTGTAACTCTTTATCTAACTTTCATTGAGACAAGATGCTTTTTCATCTTAGGTTGTCCATCATAAAGGCAAACAGCTTTGGCTTCTGTTTAATCGGTGGGGAAGGATAGGTTCTGGCGGCCAACACCAGCAGACTCCATTCTCTAACCCACAGGATGCGTGCAATGAATTTCAGAAGATTTTTAAAAGCAAGACGGGGAACAAGTGGGCTGATTTGAATAAGTAGGTCGTGGGACATTTTGCAAGCCTAAGTAACACATTCTTCCTCCTGTGTAGTTCCTGTTACTGATTTGTAGAAAACTTGAGTTGATCGACCTTACTGTTTTCACACAAGACTAGGCTTTTAAACAGCTTTCTAATGCAGTTTAGGATCTTTTTGGATCTTTTTGCACTTGTACGTTTGTCATATTTCTAGTCAGCTTTGGAGTTTCTCATATTTTGTAGCTTCCAGAAGACGCCCAATAAGTATTCGTTGGTAAGAAACGAGAAAAACCCTGAAAGGATGCTCCACAAGACAAATAAAATATTGAAGCCTTTTACTAAAAAAGAATCCCCAGGATCAAGTTTGCCAGAAGAACTGGAAATTTTAATGCAAAACTTGGCAAGATCTTTTGTTTTTCGTTTGATTTTAGCAGCATCTAAAAATGGCAAGAAAATTGTTCGAAGAAATCAATCATTGATAAACTTAATTATATCGATTGTTTTATGATTTTTTGCTTAGTTAGCCCCAAGAAACCTTAAACTGTGTTCTTGAAAATGTGGTATGCATAAGATTGATGTTGTTATTATTCCACTTTACTTTTGAAATTACTTTCAAGTTTGACTAGACGTTGATGTAATTTCCCATTGAGATAATCTCCCGTTGATGTATTTCCCCATTGATGTATTCCCCCATTGATAAAATCTCCCATTGATAATTTTCCCTATTAATGTCTTTCCCTATTGATGTATGCCCCTATTGATGTAATCTCCCATTGATATATTTCCCCATTGATGTATTCCCCCATTGATAAAATATCCCATTGATAATTTTCCCTATTGATGTATTCCCCGATTAATGTAATCTCCCATTGCTGTAATCCCCCATTGATGTAATCTTCCATTAATATATTTCCCCATTGATGTATTCCCCCATTGATAAAATCTCCCATTGATGTCTTTCCCTATTGAAGTATTCCCCTATTGATGTATTCCCCCATTGATGTATTCCCCTATTGATGTAATCTCCCATTGATATATTTCCCCATTGATGTATTCCCCCATTGATAAAATCTCCCACTGATGTATTCCCCCATTGATGTGTTTCATTTTTTACAGATAGATCTTCGTGCTTATGACCGATGGCTGCAAAACTTCTGCAAGGTGGACAGGGATTTTTTACCTTTTGGTTTGATATCCCGTGACGTGATTGAGCAAGCAAAGTTAATCCTAAATGAAATACGGTTTGTGGATTTATTTTCATGCAGACTTTGAGCTTGAATTGCATTTTCATCGTTCAAACAATGTTCCTTCTTATATAATCTTTTCGTGGCACCTAAAATTGGCAGACTGTTTTAAAATATTGTGTCTTGAAGAATTTTTATCGATGTCTTTTAAAGGTGTATGTAGTGTCAGCTTCATACAACTTGTCACGATGTTCTCAAACTTAGAATCTCAAAGTAGTGTTTCCGTAGAAATATATTTGATCTACCAAAGAAGTCACTTAAGCCTTTTAATATTTTTTATTTGTTTCCTGTTGTTTAAAGAATCCCTAGCTTATTTTACCAAGTCAGTGCTAACCGTTTTAAATTGAGTTTTTGAATTACATTTGCTTTCCTTAATGTTTCTAAAGCATAGTTAGATTTTATGGGTTTGTTTTTAGTGGATTGCTGGAGAGCAAGAAAGTCTCCCAAGCGAATGACGTCTTCATTTATGAAAAGGTATGCACTGATTTTTGAAAGAACTGCTTACCTTTTCTGATATAATCTTGATATCTGTTCACCTATGGAAAATCAATTAATCGTTTGGGGATCGTGAAATGAAAGATATTTCCTAATTCTTTCTGTAGAAGCTATTTTGATAGAATTGTTAACTATGCTGATTTTTTTTCTTTTTGTTTATTTGTGTACTTTTTTCTAAAAAATAGATATGCTATTTGCAAAACACTTTTATTCCCTCCCGATCAATTCTAGTAGTGCTTTAAATCTTTTTGTACTCAATCACCCCGTGACGAATATTTGAGGTGAAGATTGAAGTCAATGACTCTACCGTATGTTTCATTTTTAGCCAATTCGGTGAAAACAATTCCCAAATGGGAACTCCTAAGCAAATCACTCTGATTATGATCAGGAGATTAATGACGTAAACCATCGAATTTTGACCATACTTTGATTGACTTGTTGTACACTAAGGCAGCCTTTTCACTAACCTGGGTTAAAACATATCCGGGTTAAAAGTTATCCGTTTCCGCGTCGCGTTCCCACTAACCCACTTGAAAAACGGATAAGTTTGAAAACGGGTCTCAAAGTGGGTCAGTTTTTACCCGGGTATCTTTTGACTCACCTGCGAGTTAATGAAAACGCCGAACCCAGATAACTTTTGATCCACTTGCAACAACAGCAACGTTTAAAAATTGTGACGGCGCCAAAAATAAAAAAACAAAATTCTGGATGTCGATGTTACTTCCATTGGCCTACAACGATAGAAATTGAAGGATTTTTTATGAAAATACTGATTTCTCTTACAACTTTCACCCTGGATGCATTTTAACCCGGCTTAGTGGGAACGATAAAAAATGGATTAAAAACGGGTCGAAGAAAAGTGCCGTTTCCATTGACTCACTTTAAAAACGGATAATTTTTAACCCGGGTATGTTTTAACCCAGGCTAGTGGAAAGGCTGCCTAATAGTATGAATTGGTGAAGTTGTTGGGTCTAGCCTTTTTCATTTTTAGGTTGCTACAGTTATCATAGTTGCTATAGTTTCTTCCATAGTTATCAATCTAGCTTTTATTTTTTGTTATTTTAAAAAACGTTGTCCGAATAAGCAATCCCCTTTCAAAATGGTAACACAAACAGCCCTTTAACAGTGTTTTTCTTCCAGAAAAACTGCAGCTTTTTGTGATGATTTCTTTCATTAGTCGATATTTACCTATTTTTCAGGTTGCAGAGTTGAGCAACAATCTTTACATGATGGTACCGCCAGCTCACTATGCCTACGAGCGAATCATACCTCTGAACACTTTAAATGAAGTCAAAAAGTACTTGGAACGCTTAAATATGCTAACAGATTTATCAACAGCTAGTGAGTTGCTACTAGCTGCTCAGCACAAGAAACAAGGTAGGCATTAACTACTATCATTTTGATGTCTTCTAAAGAGTCAAAACGTTTCGGTATCTATAGGAAGAAACCAATCTCCTTTCTAATCTCGTCAATGTTAGCTGTTTCAGAAGCTTTTGCTAACTGCTAGCTCTTGTGCCAGAGCTAAATGAAAGCTGATAAACAATGTAGTTCTGCGTGTTGTGCATCAATCAATACAATCCCTATTTGCGCTTTTGTGCATGATCCAATGCTAGACCCCTGAATTAGGTCATAATTGAGCGAAATTTGTCAGAACTTGAAGCTCTTACTAATGCAAGTACTAATTCTTTCTTCCATAGTTATCAATCCAGTGGATTATGTTTTCCGTGGTATTGGAGTGAATTGTGAAATAATGGACCATACATCAACTGAGAGTCAATATATTCTTCAATTCATTGAGAATTCTCTTCAAGGTAGGAATTACCAAGGTGGCATGACAATATTTCAAATTGATATTTTTTCTCTTCAATGGCTGCTCAATTTGTAGTCGATGCAATGGATTAGCGTGCTGTTATTCAATTGTTTTTTAAATAAAAAAGGATTTTTTGTTGAAGAGTTCATTCATCGTTTTTCATGCTCGAAGATTTTTTTCATGCCTAATGGTTGCCCCTAGTGACGATGCATGGAAGTAACCCCTCGGCATTCTCTGACACGAGTTGTTTTTCTTTCTTTGTGGTAAGATTGGATGGACTGCTTTAAATAAAGACAATAGCGAAGTTGTCGTCTTTTTCTAATCAGAGCCAAGGATAATACTTGCAGAGCTTTATTCAAGCACTGCTTGAAAGTTCACTGAATTTTTCCCTCACGAGAGAAGGAGCTAATCGTTCAAATTTCTTTTCAACTGAAACTGCGAAAATTAGCATGTATCTCTAGCTTTAAACCATCCTTTCCAAGCCCCTACACCTTGTAATTCTGTCTTTGAAATTTGTCGACCTGGGCCACTTAAGGCTGAATTTTAGCTTCTGTTTCAATACTTTTGTACCCAAAATGTTCATATCTATCATACTTTACATAAGCCTTCAACCACTCAAAGATACCCTCAAGTGATGCTATTTTAAATATTGCTTTGAAGGTGAGACTGTGAAAGTCTCGGGCCTGTATCGCCTCAAGCGTGACGAGGAAGAGAACAACTTTGAAAGTTGCGGAGTCAAGCACAACCGCCAACTTCTTTGGCATGGCACTGACACCTCTCATGTGATAAGCATTTTAAAGAATGGAATTAAGCAAGACGAAATCCATTCCATGAAAACAGGAAATTCTTTGGGCTGCGTAAGTAGCAATTTTATTAGCAGGGTGAAACGAAAAACAGGTGCTTATCAATTCTCGCGTATCCTTTTTATACCAACTAAACAACAAGGTACTGAATTTATGGTCAATATTAAATTTTTTTGTATTTTTAGGAAGTCTTAATTCTCAGGAGGGTGGTTATGTGTATAGTGATTGGATAAAAAGACAAAGCGATCATACAACTATTGATGAAATCTTAAGTTGCTTCATTTTGTAAATTTCTACATAGCAGTGGAAGCATCTTGAAAAATGTCTACTCGAGTTTGCATCAGAATAATATACGCTTCTTTCTTGTAAAATTGTTTTCTATGCGTCCTTTTTCGCACTTCTCTCCACCTGGATTTCGATTTATACAATCTCTCGTTTTCATTTCAGGGGATTTATTTCTCTCTGTCTTTCAAAAAAGCGATGTCATATTCCAGTTATCACAATAACTGCAAAAGCCCTGGTTTTGTTTTCCTATGCGAGGTAATTTGCCTGATATATTTGTGAGAAACGCTTTGATGCGAACGCTAGAAAAGTAAGCCTGAGTGTGGATTCTTGTTTTATTACTTCCTTGAGAACATTCAAGCAATATTTCCTTAATTTTTATTACGCATCTTTTTTACATTTTTAAAAGGAAAGTCGAATCATTTAACTTGACCTAATAGAACTGCAGAAATTCCTTATTATAGAATGATTTGACAAATCCTGCAGTTTATACTTATCTATTTTCCTCCCTTCTACTTCAACCATTCTTCAATACTTCTTGCCATATTTTCATTGAAAGAACGTTTTTTAGTCAATATAACATGTAATTATATCAGTGGTTACGTCATGCCACAAAATAGAATCTTGTTAAATCTTGCATTGATAGGTGGCTCTAGGAGACATGCAAGTGGCGGCTAGAAATTGCTGGAGCAACAGTCAAAATGAAGATGATACTGATACTGGTAGCGCAAAATACCACTCTCGCGCTCTTGGCTGCAGCGTAATGCCAGACCCAACCCAGGATGTATTCACACCGTACGGGGCGAAACTTTGCGTTGGTCGTTGGAAAGAGAATCCTGATGGAGAAGACTATTGGCGCTACAATGAACACGAATGCCTCGTGCAAGATCATCGACAAATAAAACTTCGCTATTTAGTGATGATTCGGTGAACCCAGCTTTTGCACTACTGCAACGTACTCATCCCTTTGTATTTCTAAGGCACATGGGGTATTTGTGCCCTGCAAGTTGCAAAATGGGTACTATTTTTCATTCTCAAGCTATCACAACCTTATCATCGCAATATTGCAGTGTTTATTCGTTGATAATGACTATAAAATGAGTTTAAATTAATAGGTAATAGCACTATTTTACTACAAGGATCGTTTCCCCTTGTCTATGTAAACTTGAAATTGCACAATCATAATTATGATATTTGTAATGACATTATCTTACTAAACTTAAGTCTGAAGATCCAGTTGCAGTATCGCGTCCTTTTCTGGCCTCGGACGACACATAGTTTGCAATTCATTTGTACATGAATTTCTACTGTAGCCATCTATTATGGTTGTAGCGGATATCATTTCAGGTCGTAAAAAATCTGCGAGAAAGTCGATTAGGTTTTAAGCTGAGCAATGTTCAGAACGTTGATTTTTCATTTTCATAAATGATAAATGTTTTTGACACCAATGAGTTTGCCAAAGCATTTAAGATCACCTGAAGAAAGGAGATTTTTATGTTGTTTTAGTGAAACTCTGAAAATAAAATGGAATGGGTTTCTTTGTTTTGAACTAGTATTCTTTTAGAGTTGCATTTTGTTTAGTTTGCATCTTGTTTTATTTGCGATCCACATACCGAAAATAAACACCTGGCTTTTGGTCGTAGTCGAACAAACGCTCTTCATGAAAGCCGACAAAGATATTGGCCAAGGCGGGTCCCACAGGGCTACCCATAGCGACACCATCCTTTTGTTGGTACATTTCATTGTTAAAGCTGAATTCAACTGAACCTGTTGCAGTTTCCACCAGTTCAATGAATACTTCCTCTGGGAATTGTGGGCTATTAAGCTCGCTCCGGTACAAAGCGTCGGCGCATATTTTGATGGTCTCATTCAAAGGGACATTTGTGAAAAGACTACTTATGTCGAAAGAACACATTAAAGATGTTTCGTTTTCGATGTTCAAGTTTTCTATGAACTCAGCGAACGTAAAGAGTCCTTGAAACAATGTTTTGAATATTTTGTTTCGTCCTACAAAATATTCACAACATTGTATCAAAACATTAAAAACAAATTTTTTTTTGTTTCATTTTGAATATATACATATATTTTGAACCTACCCTTTCATGAGTTTTTTGAGATGTCGTCAGGTCCCATTGAAAATTGATCTTTTGTTGTTCGGTTGTCATGTGTTGTTATGTTTCGAGACTGATTGGTCAACGCCAAGAACAGTGGCTCTTCAACGCCATGAACAGTGGCTCTTCAACGCCATGAACACTGGCTCTTCAACGCCATGAACACTGGCTCTTCAACGCCATTAACAGTGTCTCTTCAACGCCATGAACAGTGGCTCTTCAACACTATGAACGCAGGCTCTTCAACGCCATGGACAGTGATGAGGGTGGAGCCATTAGCATGGGGCCTTCACATGTCCAAAGTCGATTTGATTCAAATAGGAGAGGGCTTTTTAAGTTAATCCATAAGGAACTGAGCCCTAAGATCACCAAAAAGTTAAAGAAGGATTGTACTGATCACCCCTAACTTTTAAAAACTGCTCGAATATCAATCTTTTAAAGATCGCGTATTTTCAGGTATTAGAATTAAGTGATTAACAAACCTTTGATATACTTCTAGTACTGACATCAACAACAACAAATTAAGAAACTGAGAGCTAATCCCGAGCTCAGATAGATAATAGAGTCCAGAATTTCGAGGTGAGGTATTGTAAACCTCATCGACCATTTTCTTGTAAAACATCATTTCCTTTGTTATTGTATTCTTGTAGATCTTGTAGTTCCTACTTATTGCCTAATTTTTACCCTTGATTGCAAGATTCTTAAATCCGGCGAAAGGCCACCTTTTGATAGTATCAAAGCAACATATTTCAAGCAGAGAAACGTATTTGCTATTTGTTTATGACAATATACCATCTGTACATCTGGAGATTATTCTGAAAAAGTTGATGATGCTCTTTGTGCATTCAGAGCAAATGAATGCAAACAAAGGAAAAACGAAGAATTTACGAAAAAAATGTTTGTAGAGTTGTACAATTTATAGCCTAATTTTTGTTAGGTGTAAAGTAAGATTTCATATTTGGTATTGTAACATTTTCTAGTTTTTAGCTGCCATTGCTTTGAAATTCTGACTGCAGAGTTACACCAACAAGCAATTTAGCATGCATAGATCAAAGCAATGCGACGCTTGGCGTAAAACATTTTAGTTCCTAAGCGTCCATTGATTTACTGCAAGTGTTAGGCCATTGTCGTGTCCATATATTTACAGCATGATGTTTGTCCTGCTTATGAAATCATTGGCCAAGTTTTACCCTTTCAGTTGTACTATTTTGACTGCCTTGGGCTGTTGTGAGTTTCTTCTCTTCTTCGGTCATTTGTGAATCGACACCAATCCATGTGTACAGAGTCATATTTTTTGTTGTCACAACAGAATATCTCAAAGAGCTTAGTCCATCTTTATCGATAAATTTGCTTCTACTATCCAGGAGCTGCTTCCTAGAAACCACGAAGAAGTTTCAAATTACTTTCTGTAGGTATGTGATTTAAATAAAGATATTGCAGTTTTCTCTATGTACAAGGAAAATTGGTGCCACTATATGAAAACAAACATACAGGAAGATATGTACTGTTCTATGTATATTTGTGTATCTTTGATAGATTTCTTAGTCTATTTTCATGTGCCAAGTTAATGGTACTGGAATTCAATTCTGGTACAGTTAGTGCCATAACTTTTCTCTTTGACGATCTTTTATGCAACGTCTGCTGAAATGTGCATCCGACAATACTAACAAAATCGACAAGTTTGTTATTGCTTATGCAAGAAACTGAACTGTGGCATTTGATTGCTATAATAGCATTTGTCACGCATAGTCGGTAGCTCATTTTCGATGGTTGCATCATTTTGATATCATAAAGTTTGTTCGTTGTTTCATTGCTGCGTGAAAATTGCTGAATGGAAAGGTTTTTAAGTTAATAGTACGAATATTGGGTTTAAAAGCAATGCAATACCATGAGGTTTTACATCCATCTCAAAACCAAAATAATCCAAATAGATTTTTGCATTTGTGTGTCTTATAGCAAAGATACTCAATGAGTTTACATGTTGAAGTGGAGAAGCTACACAGAAAAGACTGCCTGTCCCGCAGATAGATTTTTTCCAGGGTGTTGTTTTGTTGTTACGTTGTTCTCTTTTGCATGTGAGTGAGAGACAGCCTCTCTCCGATCTTAGTTCATTCTAGTAGAGAGAGCTCGAATTGTGTCCGAATATCCTTATTCAAAGGATTCCATGCAGTTAATGCCCTCCTTCTGTTAAAACCGTTTTCAATAACAATCTGAGATCTTATATTAAAGGTAACAACTGTATGTATAAACATCACTTACGCCATTTTGTTTTTTTCACTTTGACTGTGTTTTATCATGGTGTAGCGACCAGTCTCAAACGGTGCCCGGACAAGACGAAACTCGTGTCTTTGTACACTGGGGAAAAAATGCCAATGAGTTGTGTGTAAATACTGGTGTCACAATTGCTGCAACCGTCAAGCTAATCTTTAAAAATGGTTTGTTCACTTTTTTACAGATTGTCAATGGAAAACATAATTTTTGAGGGATTCAATTATTTTTGCAAGCGATCCGAATCACCTAAAAACTCTAGACATGCGGAAGATGGATAAATTAAGAGAAACAGGATACAACATTTTTATAAAATCAAACACAACGATTCCAATTTGATTTGAAAAAGTTTTTCTAAAAGATTTAATGTAGAATGTTTGTTAAATTATAATTGGCTTTGCTTTCACTAGACAATTAATGTTTCTTTTAGCGTATACGATTTTAAAATATTTCTGAAGTAAATGAAATTAAATCAATCTATTAAAATAAGGGAAAATGACATGAAAGTGCAAAAATTGAAATCAGAATTCATCAAATGGTGGTCACCGGTAATACATATCGTCGTCTTCCGCACCCCATCCGTAATATTTGTTTGCAAATCCATTCACCTTAATGAATGCTTCTTTTTTGAATGATGTCACTCCTCCAAAAATAAAGTGATAAAGAAGCCTGAAAAGAAATTCATCTATCCATTATTATAGAAGTTAAGTGTTGAAACATGATGCAAAAATTGTCCTGATCCCTTCAAATTGCTGGATTAGTTCATTGCACATTTCACTCCATTTCATTTATAATTTTTTATACATAAAGAAACCATTCAGAAATAGAAAATATCTAAATAATTATCTACAAATAGGAGTATATTAATGGAAAGAAACCTTTGGAAAATCAATTTGCAGCTTCTCAAGAGAAATGTGATTTAACACTGTAAATACATTTTAAGTTGTTTTTTGAAATATCCAGTAAGTTAATTTGCAAATTTCATCAGGAGTTTCATTCCATGCTTTGCACGCTGTATAATGAAGGCTTTTTCTGATAATTTCTTACCTGTTACGTACCTGGGAATCTAGAGATCTTTAAATTGCCTGGTTATATTAGAGAAAATGGTGCCAAAACCTTGGTTCGCACTTGTCCCACAGTTATTCAGGACAAAACGTTTTGAGTAGGAGAAACTTTGTAGGCGTTTGAGAAAAGGTAAATTTGCTTTCGATGTACGACATCGGCAGTAAAGATGTGACTTTCAATTAATGAATAATAAACTGAACAAAGCTGTGATTTTAAATGAATATTCTCGTATCTTTTTAGATAGGCAATGTCACCATTCTAGTATCTTTCTTTTAGATTCTTTAAACAGGACCTTAACAAATAGAGGACAACATTGTTTTGTTATGGCAGAAGTTTTTCTTTATTTGGTCCCTAGTGAAAGTCTCGTCCTATTTTGCAATCACGTTATATAGAAAGTATAATGTATAGAGTAAATAACTGTGGCTCGCACAATGTTTACTGAAACAGGCGAATGGTAAAAGTTTCTCTTTCGAAGCAAAGAGCCTTTTTTTCTCAAGCGTGGTCGTTAGAAAAGGCTTTTCGAACAGCGTCAGAAACCCAAAATTATATTTGAAATAAATTAAAATAAATTAAAATATTTTTACTTGTATTTAAACTTGTTGATTGCAGGAGCCATGTGTCTCACACTTGAGGGACACCCGTAGTCATTTCTGTCATCTTCTGGTATCATATCAACATCATGGAAGACAAAACAGTCAAAATCGTTATACTTTTGCGAATGCTGGAATCCAACGTTCATCATCTTGCCCTTGTTAAATGGCTTGTCGTCAATCTAATAAAAAATCATTACTTACAGATGGTAAATCAGCAATAGTCACAGTTTATTTTTCTGTATTACTATCTTTTTTGTTCAATGCTCTCATTTTTGGATTATTTAAGGCTCGGGTCTTCTTAACTTTGTTTTTATTTCAACGTTGATTTTCTAAAACTACATAGAATTGTTTCTAAGACAACTAAAAAATGGTTTGTCTGAAATTTTTTGACAGAGTTGATAAGCTGATGAAATCAAGTTTGTTAAGTAAACATGATAGAAAGTTTCTACAAAACATCACTTTTTTCATTCTAATTCTCCATCAAGGTTGGGCATGTTCTTCCGGTGTTTTAGATTTTCTGAAAATGGAGCCTCAATGTTCTTCTACGTATAGTGTGTTCTTTAAAAAGAATATCTTTTCTTTTTCGTAAATTCATTGGGTACAATTTTCTCAACCTATAAATTTGACATAAAAACCTTATTTAAATTTCCAATGAAAAATGTAACGAGTCAGAAAGGCAGCTATCTGTCAGAATTGCAAACGTGCAACAAAGAAAGCTGCCAAAAACATTAAATTTTCTGAAACTTTATTAAAGTAAAAGAAACATATTTGTTAAAAGAGCCTAGCATAATAACAATTTTATCTGTTTCACTTAATACTATTTTAGCTCTATCTTTATTTGCTGTAATACTTTGCGCCTTCAAATTAATCAAGCATCACCCAAGAACAATATTCATAATTATAGGGGCTTCAAAATCGCAATGAACTTGTGAGTTCATTGATAACAGTTAGGAAGGTGAATTTTGCCTCTTACCTGTTCAATAACAAAAATCCTGTATTCTAGCTTTTGCTTTTGAAGAATCGGATGCAAATATCGCAGTAAAATGGCCAAGTGTTTATCACGATTGCGAAATGGGATTATAACAGCAACCTTCAAAAGAAAATCAAACTGCCTTCTTGTACATTTTTGTATTTTTAAAAATGTAACAGAGAGGAGAGGAAGATAATCAATCAGTTTTACATAAATGTGCAAAGCAAGAATGCGTACTGTGTATGTAATGATGTGTTTAACTGTCGTTAAGTCTACAGTAGCTGATTGAATCAACAAAACTATGTTACTATTGTAACAGCTACCATTGTGAATGTTCAATTTTAAAATATCTTGTGGATATCTCTCGTCTCTGTACGGACGTGTGGATAGACTGATAAGCATTTAGTAGTTGAACAAAGTTTCTACCTTGTGCAATCTGATAGTAACATGGTGTAAGATTATGACGTGCCCCATCTGAGCACGGCCCTAGGACCTTTTACTCTCCTAGAGTAAACGCAGCTTAAAAATTTCTCGTTTAAACGCAGCCTGAAAGTATTTACTACTTCTACGGGATTTACCTTGCTCTTTGCACTGCATTGAATGGGATTCCAATGTCCCCCAGCCTTGACGTTTCTAAAAAACGTTTCTTTGTTTGCAAACTCATCGAGGTTAACATCTCTTAGATCCATTGGCAATCTTCCAACTAAAAAAAGGAAGAACAAGCTAGCTTTCGAATTAATCGCACTTTGTTCGCTTTTCGTTATTTGCACGAAATTATTTAATTATATCAATTATATTTATAATAAAATTTTTTATATTGAATTATATAAAAAAATTCATTATCAGCTAGAAGACTTTAGTCAGAAAATCTTAGCCTGACAATCTTGACAATCCAGCTCTCTGTATATATTTAGAATGGACAAATGATTGAATCGTTTTTGTGCCATTGTTCAACACAGCCACGTCTTCGTATTTCTTGCTATTGCAAAGGATCTTTCGCCGATTTCACTTGTTGCGGAGTTCACACGTATTAGATTAGAAATCATCTTCAGACGATGAATCAGATTTCTTTCGCCGATCCTTCAAAGCATTCTCTCTAATTCTCTAAGAAGACTTGGTCCAAATACGATTACGTTAGGAATGCTTCTTCAGCTTGATAAGGGAACTGTCATAAACACGCTTCTTATGACTAGCAACGTTCAATTGTAAGACTAGCAAAGTGCTTGACGAGGTTGACGAAAGAGGATTTTGAACGGTCTTGGGCAAAAATATGATAACCTAGGTTTGGAAAATTGAATTTCATCATTTGGGCAGAGCAGATACGTCTTACTCACGTATGTTTTGCTTTCCAAAAATTCTAATAAAAATTTTTGTGATTACGAACCTTAAAATTTTTAAAGACTATATTCTTATAAAAAAGTGTGTATTCAAATGTTTTGATTATAATTATCATCATCGTTTCATGGCCTGATCTTTTCTAAAGTTATCTGATGTTTTCTAAATCCGCTTAAAACTGTTAATCACCGATGAAAAGCTTCGAGCTACAGGCAATATTTCACACGGGCGTTGTAAAATATTCTACGTGTGTTAACATTTCATTGGTTGTACTCACTGAATCAGCTTTCTTTTATCACGTGGTGTTCATATTGAGTTATGCGTTACATCGTGCTTTCAATGTAAATTTTTTTAAGCAAATAAAGAACATATGACAAAAGTATGGTTTTGTAATAGTTTAATTACAATTTTATGCACAAACGTATGGTTGTATAATAAATTTGTAGGGCAAGTCACATCAGTAGCTTGACAGATATGCGTGAAGATGATACATCGATCTTCCATTGGTAGAAAATATTTTCTATTCCAACACCCTAAGGTCTTGGACGCAGGTAGATATTCACTTAAATGACATCATTTCAAAGAGCAACATTACTTAGAATATCCTCGTAATTTACCTAGAATATCCTCGTCCCAACCACATGAATGCTTGCGATCATTTTCTGGAAATAGAAGCGGCAATATCGATCCAATCTCAAAGTACTCCTTTAAAATTGTTGTTTCTCCAGTCTTTTGCATGCTCGAAAAGAAAATACTAAAGATGCTAGCTATAATAAGAAAGAGCAGTACTATGACACTGCTTTTCATTAGACGAACCATATTGCTCATTAGTTGGGTTGGTTATTTTTCAAATGTAGGCGAGGCATTGAAATTTTAGGCGGACAATTTTTCGTTTCTTAGCAAGCTTGCTTATGTCTGTTCGGAATGCTATGTTCTGGCTGTTTGTTTTAAGGTAGTTGAAGCAATTCATAAAAAAGATAAAACACACTGCATTTGTGGCAAAAATTCTCTTTTGTGTACAATGAGTCATTAAAATGCTTACTGTCTCAGAAAGTCTTATAGGTTGCGAAATCTCTCTGAATTTAAGCTGGGCCCTTGTACCCCTGTGCTTCAAGCTCCCATGCCCCTGTGGCCCCGTGCTCCCGTTCCCCCGACTAGGGGCGAAACTTCATTATTAATCATTAGAGGGGTATGAAGCTTAGATGCCTGACGAAAGGGCATGTCGTGCTTGATGAAAGGGTGTGTCATACCTGAACATATTTTTTTGGGCATATCGACTCAAGGGTTGAAATCATCGGGGACCCCGAGAGAGGGTCACTAAGTTTGTTTGGCCTTCAGACTCAGGCTGTTTTTCAAAGTCAAAAAGTATGCCTCTAGTTTTTCTGGAGTTACCTATAAATATTTCCGAAAAGCAAGCATTTGTAAGGCCTGGCTTTTCTATAAAAGAAAAATAGTCTTCACTTTCTAAATCTCCTAGCTATAAAAAGAGCACCTTAAAAAAGAGATTGAATTAGGATCTCAATTTCGTCACAGTGGACCAACAATGCACATCTTGGAAATTTTGAAATTAAGAAACAGCTACACTGACTACAATGTTTCAATAAAGATAGTAATCCCATGAAAGAGCTTTAGTTTTATTTGTTCCTCGTCATGACCGTAGCCCTTGAAGAGGCCGTTGGTGCACCCATGTATGAACATCCGCCTTCCATCTCATTCTGTCTTCAGTTCTTCTCGATGCTTCCGTTGAGCCCAGACCAGTCCATTGTCTAACATCGTTGCCTTTTTTCTCCTGCTAACGTGCCCAGACCATTTTAGCTTCCGCGTTTTTACAATATCCAAAAGGTTTTCAATTTTGCCACATTGTCTTTGGATTTTACCTCTAACAAATTTGTTAGATTTTCTATCCTTCCGAGATATTCCAAGAATTCTTTGGAAACATTTTAGACGGGGAATTTTGTAGAACAAACTAGCAACGAACTTATTTCACATACCAATTAAATCGACCATGGAGAATTCAAATCCAAGACGGACCAAAAAATTTACGAGGAAGTTGCTTGTTTTTATGACGTCATCAAAAATTGATACAAATTCTTTAAAAATCAGGCAAAGACTTGACCCCAGCTTTTATCGTATTTTTCAACTAAATAAACTATGCAGATATAGAATCCAAGATTTAATAGAAAATATTTTCAACAGATATCAAATTTTTTGATGACGTCATAAACTTAAGAAAATTCGCTTTGAACCGCATTAATTGTTTGATCGCAACTATTTTTGTCGACCAAGTTCCAGATTTGCATAGCGCATATTTAGTGCTTTTTAAGAATGAATAGAATTACTACTTTTCTTACTTCTAATCGTTTTTGCATGACGTTATCATCATTTCATGACGTCATAATTCTTCACAGGTAATTTGAAATCATGGATGAGAGAGTCTAAAAATGTTTAAATAGTAGAAATAAGCTGGACAGAAGTAAATTTTGTTGAATAGGAAGTGCTATGGAAACCTTTCCTCGTTATCACAGTTTTCTTAGCTTGAAATCCCAAAGAAAATGAGTTCAACTCATCTTCTTCTGCTTCAAGGTGATCACTAATCTACTTTCCTGTCATTGTGACCAGGCGCGGACCTAGCCAAAATTTTGACCGGTTTTTGGGTGCTTTCTCCCCGTACTTCTCTGAATTTTCACTACCATCTTTTATCAATATTTATGAACCATTAACACACAATGCCCCATGTGTAGCATTAACAGAAATGTGCACTGGTAGTGAGAATTCATGAGGCAAGTAAATTGTAATTTGTCTCCCTTTATTGAGAATGTCAAATTTTCACTCAGTTCAGTATGTCCTTTGATCCTCTTCTTGCAGCTTCGATTTTATTTTCCACGAATTTTTCCGAAAAAGAAAGTTTAGACCCTCAGTACAAAACCTCGGATTCTCACTTGCATCCATATTTCACTTTGTATCAGGTTGCAGCATATGATTACCGAGCGTCCACACTTTTGCGCTATAGTGTCGATATCGAGTATGCTTTTTGGCCACAGGTTTTTTTGCATAAGGGAAACATATGGGCACCGGTTTCCACAGGTTTTCAGAAAACAATAGCCACCGGTTTCCATATTGGAGCATAGATAGCATACTCCAAACTGTAACTTCGAGTGGCCACTGATTTCCTCGATTTTGAATTTCTCGGATACTTTGGGATGAAATATGAATTTAGGAAACTCTGTCAGAATCTGTGCAACAAGGGAGAGTTGTCGTTAAGAAATGAGGAATTGTGTGGGGGCTCAATTCAGTATGTAAACAGAAGACCTTTATTCACCCTGCGACAAAAGCAGCAATGTTGTGTAACGTTTTAGGTTCTTTGCTAGTGTGGAGAGACTGGCGTCCTTAGGCCCTAAGACCTGAGCCAAGTAAAACAACGGCGTAGTTATAGAACAACGTGTTTCAATCGGATTCAAGACAACACAAACTTATTTTTAAGCCTGGTTTCCATTTGATCGTTCATGATCGCTGACGATCGCTGAGGATCGCTGGAGTTTTGCAGCGATCGTAAACGATCAAATGGAAACCGCATGTCAAATTTGTAGCGATCCCCAGCGATCGTGAACGATCCGATCGTTGAGGATCGCTGGAATATAAATGATTTCTATTCCAGCGATCCCAAACGATCCACAGCGATCCAACTATCCCACATTGCGCATCAATTTTCCTCAGACGTAAGATGCATCAGTGTTGCTATACACCCCTATAAGGTGCTTTTAATTGAAATTTGCGAAAATATTCAGAAATCTATCACCAGATTTCAAGATTAATTTTACCCTAAAAATATTTGCACGTATTCACCTGAAAAAGTATTCACGATCGCCCAGTCGCAATTCCTGCATGAGAGTGTAAAACGCACCATATTCGTTTCTTCTCTGAAAAATTTCTCTGACACAAAATCGATGCTGCCTTCGCTTATGCCGATCGATTTGCTTCTTCAATAAAAGTAGCACAAAAATGCATGCTTCCATCAGAAATCTTTCGTCTACATCCGCCATTTCAAGAAATCTGCAAAAAGCGCGCCAGAAGCATCCAGAAAGGCAGGGATCCTCAGCAATCGTGAAAGATCGTGAGCGATCACGAGCGATCCAGATCGCTGCAAAACTCCAGCGATCCTCAGCGATCGTCAGCGATCATAAACGATTAAATGGAAACTACACACTGACGTAAGACAATAGATACCTGACAAAAAGATAACGATTGATCACAGATACATCACGCAACACAACTAATTCATTAACACGTTACAGTTGCAGTTAAAATTTTAAATAAAGATTCAAAATTCACAGAGAAACAAAGCTTTGAGAATTTGACCGGTTTTCTGAAACCTGTGCAACCGGTCTGGATCCGCGCCTGTTGTGTATGGCGCGCATATACCGCCAAAAATAGCTCTTTCTAAAATTTCACCAACTTTCTAAAAGTTTAGTGATCTTCTAAAAGTTCAGTTGCTCTGTCTAGTCTTAAAATTTTAGTAATTTCCAAAGTTTCAACCACCGTTCAACTATTTCTAAAATTTCAATTACTTAAGCAACGTTTCTAAAATTCCAATCGCTTGCTCTGCGAGATTTCTAAAATTTCAGTCATGCTAGGTTAGTTCTAATATTGCAACCATTTCTAAAGTTTGAACCCCCGCTCAACATTTTCTAAAATTTAAATCACTCAAAAGTCTCAGTGGCTTTTCCAAAATTTCAATGGTGAATGTTGATAACCACTTCCTGAACTTTGTCAAGCAGCCTCCTTTTCCACCATTTCCCCGAGAAAGTGAGTGCAGGTGGCAGCATGGCTGGCATTATTGCTTCAAAAAATCCATGACCCCGGATATGCAAAAAACTCAAAAAATGAGAAATTTCTAGAAAATTATTTTTTGGGGTCTAAACAACCTGAAATGCTTTAAAATACGTCCGCAACACCATTTGTGGAGTTTCCGATGAATTTCACGCCCGTACCTCTCAAAAGGTTTCAAAAAATCCATGACCCCGGATATCCAAAAAAACTCAAAAAATGAGAAATTTCTAGAAAATTATTTTTTGGGGTCTAAACAACCTAAAATGCTTTAAAATACGTCCGCAACACCATTTGTGGAGTTTCCGATGAATTTCAGGCCCGTACCTCTCAAAAAGTTTCAAAAAATCCATGACCCCGGATATGCAAAAAAACTCAAAAAATGAGAAATTTCTAGAAAAATTTTTTTGGGGTTGAAACAACCTAAAAAGCTTTGAAATACGTCCGCAACACCATTTGTGGAGTTTCCGATGAATTTCAGACCCGTACCTCTCAAAAACTTTCAAAAAATCCATGACCCCGGATATGTAAAAAAAACTCAAAAAATGAGAAATTTCTAGAAAAATTTCTTTGGGGTCGAAACAACCTAAAAAGCTTTGAAATACGTCCGCAACACCATTTGTGGAGTTTCCGATGAATTTCAGACCCGTACCTCTCAAAAATTTCAAAAAATCCATGACCCCGGATATGCAAAAAAACTCAAAAAATGAGAAATTTCTAGAAAAATTTCTTTGGGGTTGAAACAACCTAAAAAGCTTTGAAATACGTCCGCAACACCATTTGTGGAGTTTCCGATGAATTTCAGACCCGTACCTCTCAAAAAGTTTCAAAAAATCCATGACCCCGGATATGCAAAAAAACTCAAAAAATGAGAAATTTCTAGAAAATTATTTTTTGGGGTCTAAACAACCTAAAATGCTTTAAAATACGTCCGCAACACCATTTGTGGAGTTTCCGATGAATTTCAGGCCCGTACCTCTCAAAAAGTTTCAAAAAATCCATGACCCCGGATATGCAAAAAAACTCAAAAAATGAGAAATTTCTAGAAAAATTTCTTTGGGGTTGAAACAACCTAAAAAGCTTTGAAATACGTCCGCAATACCATTTGTGGAGTTTCCGATGAATTTCAGGCCCGTACCTCTCAAAAAGTTTCAAAAAATCCATGACCCCGGATATGCAAAAAAACTCAAAAAATGAGAAATTTCTAGAAAATTATTTTTTGGGGTCTAAACAATCTAAAATGCTTTAAAATACGTCCGCAACACCATTTGTGGAGTTTCCGAT